ACCCCAAGCTTTCAGGTATCTGGCATGGTTGCTTTTTTTTTGATAGATGCCAATTATTACGGCCCGTCAGGCATGGCCTTTCTGTAGATCAGTTCTTTGTGTGCAGGCTTCTCCCGCTGTTCATCTGTACTCTGTCGCACAGGCTGTCAACCAGAATGAAACAACTTTTAGAAAACTATCCCTGACCGAGAAAGTCTATTTAGCTCCTCTTACTTGATGGCTGATTAAACGTTATGCACAAGACTCAGCACCACCAAGCTCAGTTTTTCATCACATTTGATGCTGTTCCGTGGTGCTTCACCGAGCCGATGGTCCCTCGAATTTTCTTGTTCTTTGCTATTGCACTAGATGTTCACTTGTTTGCAAGGTAATTGAGACGTCCGAGGACTCGGAATGCTCGAGTAGTTTTTTTTTTTTTTTTTTTTTTTTTCCGCGGTCGCAGCGGGATTACCGCGTGAACCGCAGTCAGCTCACGCGTTCACGAAAACGAAGAAGCAGACGACGACAAAGCAGACAACAAAGCGATTTAAAGCGATAAGACGACTGAAACTGCTTTTCTCCACTTGCTGAGGAAAGTAAGGCATCACAAACAACACAATCTTATGAAGTAAAAACATGCAAGAGAATCAAGGTGATACCGGGGCGTGCCAAATGATAATCTATGATGATGTACGTATGCGCAGCCGTATGTAGCCGGGAAGCCAGGAAGGGATGACTACAAGTAGCATGGCGGCGGCACCACTTCCGGAATGCGCGCGCCTGCGCAGTTCGCTTGGTGACATCGGTCTATTTCAATCACCTGAACTCTTTAGCCTGGAGCGTAACGCCCACTCAAGACGTCAATTGCTTTTGAGCTAAACGCCGAAATAAGAAGCGCTCTCTTCTTTACGTCGCTCAGGATGCCGCTTACCTCGAAGTGGAACTCAATGCATATAATATACGAAGTCCACTCATCATTGGTGCCGTACTTGGTACGCCATCGCGGCAGACTTGGAGTTGCGTCCGTTGACTTCAGAGACTGGTTCGGAACTCGTTACCATTGCTACACATTATTCGAGATGCTTCTGAAGCTCTCTAATCTACGTTGTGGGAGCCGAGGGTGAACGACGAGGCAGAGAGCACGTGACAGGCGGCCGGCGGAGAAGACACGAGCTGGCGCGAGACATTGCGTGCTGAGCGAGGCTGGTAGCTGGACAAGGAACGTCGAAGCCAGGCTGCCTAGCCAGGCCCATAACGAACCCCGGAGCGGTCCACCAGCGAGGTCTGGAGCAAGACCGGTGGAAACGGCGAGCCCGGGCCATATGACCTGGGCTATGACGATCCCGGGTGGTTCCGCAGCGAGACTCGGGCATTGATAGCCCGGGACAGCCAGCCTACGCAGCGCTGGCGTGGGAAAGGCGATCCGCAGGCCTGGACACGGACCCCGACTGTGAGCTCTGATCGACGGGCGACAACGAGAGTCGGCGGGCCTGGACTGCGGGTTCTTGACGACGGGCAACCGAGAGGTACAGTAAACCCATTCGCTGTCTTCTCGTTGCAGTGTGTATCTCCCTGGGTGACGGGCGGAGCGCATACCGATAGGGCAGGATTATTAGTACAGAGGGACCTCCCCCATAAAGAACCCACATTAAAATGGCGCATCCAACGTGGGGCCCGTTCGGTATGCCTCTGCTTCTAATCGTCCCCAGGGAGTCCCATGGATTCGTTGAGCGGGTTCACTAACGCTAACGATGCCCGTTGAGACAAAGTATTTCGGAATTTTGGTGACTTGTCTCACTGCAGAGCTCAGCAGGTGTCTCCTCGGATCGAGTACTTAAAGGTCTCGAAGGACGAGGTTGCGGACGTGCTTTCTCCGGTACCCCAGAATAGTGGTTGGCAGAAGGTGACGCAACCGGGGGGAACACGAGGAGCGCGGTTAAGATGTAAGAAAGTCGTCTTCGGAGGCAGAGGGGAGGCACGGCAGGTTCGCTGGAAGGCAGGATAGCGACTGGCAGGAGGGAAAACAGCCAGGAGTTATTGCATATTTAGGATTTAGGCTTGGAGTGATGCGGTGAGCCAGTAAGCGCTTGTGGAGGTCCGGGGTACAGATTGGTTTTTGTCAGTGGGTGTCGGAAAGATTGCGGGAATTGCAGTCGGCACCGGGAACACTGGCGGACGAGATTGTCAGCGGGTGTTGGATAAACTGGCGTAAATTGCAGTTGACACCGGGAACGCTGGCAGGCGAGTTAAGGAGCAGTATGATTTGTAACCGTTGGGCCAAGACGGCTAGTTGCTTCGCGTCACTCCAACAACCGACGAAAGGCAGAGGGACGACTCTCCCTTGAGGGGGTCGTTCCGAGAAAGCTACGAAATGTTTTATAGGATACTTTTTCGGCTTCACTCTGGCCGGTCGTGGCAGTGACAGCAAGACTTTTAATAAGTTATGTCGTGTCACGACCTGGCCGGGGATGAGGCGGTAGACATTTAGGTGGCTTGTAGTTGTCCAGCTTGCCTTGAGGCGTGAACGGTTTAAGCGGGCTTGCTCGCTGAGCTACCGCCCCCTCCGAGGACCGAGCAGTCCCTAGAGCTCGTATACACGTGGACGGAATGGGACGCTGACGCTTACATCGAGTAGCACATGGTATATGTAGCCGTTGCGGAATTGCGGGTATGGTATTTGGTCATCCCGCCACAGGCTTTGGATCCCTTCGCTTGCACAAAAGATGGACTAGGTTTACGCCATCGTTACCTGTTCTGAAGGAAACTCACGCTTTGAGCAACGCAGCTAGTGGTTTTGCCGCATCGCTTGTTCCGGGGTGAGAAGGGCATCTGAGGTAAAAAGATGCGAGCGTCGTGTCTTACTTCTAGGCTTACTCAGCGAGATACAAACGAGGAGGCTTGCCCGGTTCACATCGCTGACTTGAAAGGATACTACCGTTGTCGCGATGGGGAAGACGTATAACATGAGGTTGCGGTAGGACACAAGAAATCCCCTGTTCTTGGCGACCCAGGAGCGAGCTCTAGAATGCAGACTTGCTGAGTTAGCCGCATGGTACATGAACCCGTCGGCAAGCTATGTGGCGGTAGAGGCTATGGCCACTGCCACAATCTGCGGCAGAGTATTTGTTCGCTGTGCAGAATAGCTTCTTGGAAAGACGGCCGTATACAGACGGCGTAACCCAGGAAGCCCACCGGGAGGGAAGACGGGACCATTCGTTTTCCCAAGTGCTCAGGGTGGCTGACAGTTGTTCGGCCTGACGAACGGTTCAGGCGGGCAGTTCTAAGCCCGCTGTGACCTCTAAGCGGAACGGGGCAAGTCCGTCTGCGTCGGCCGGACCAGCTTAGAGCAAGCCCCCTGCTGCATCGCGGTGAGTGGGACAGCGAGCGACAGACAGGTCGGCATTGTCTGCCGGCTTCGCTAGCCACCACCACCTACGCCGCTTTCGGACGCTGCAACGTGGCCACTCTGGCAACAGTAACAGCGGCCGCCCATGAAGCCCAGCGGCTCCCTGAGGCCGATGAAGTCCCCCGAAGTCCGGGCCTTGAGGGGGGGAGAGTGTGGGAGCCGAGGGTGAACGACGAGGCAGAGAGCACGTGACAGGCGGCCGGCGGAGAAGACACGAGCTGGCGCGAGACATTGCGTGCTGAGCGAGGCTGATGCTGGACTGGAACGACGGAGCCGGCCTGGTTTGGCCTGGCCCATGACGAACCCCGGAGCGGTCCACCAGCGAGGTCTGGAGCAAGACCGGTGGAAACGGCGAATCCGGGCCATATGACCTGGGCTATGACGATCCCGGGGTGGTTCCGCCGCGAGACTCGGGCATTGATAGCCCGGGACAGCCAGCCTACGCAGCGCTGGCGTGGGAAAGGCGATCCGCAGGCCTGGACACGGACCCCGACTGTGAGCTCTGATCGACGGGCGACAACAAGGGTCGACGGGCCCGGACTACCGGCTCTCGACGACCGGCAACCGAGAGGTACAGTAAACCCATTCGCTGTCTTCTTGTTGCTGTGTGTAACTCCCTGGGTGACGGGCGGAGCGCATACCGATAGGGCAGGATTATTAGTAGAGGGACCTCCGTAAAGAAACGCCACAACGTACAGCTATTTACAAGGTCAGTTCACTACACCGATGGGACATCGGCACATCAGTGAGACCATCGTGTTCAATTTGGCTCACGCATCCACTCACGAGGCTCTTCTTTGTCGTCACTGTTAGTGTGCTCCCACGCACACAGAAACAGGATGCTGTGTGAGATGCAGCAGATCCTATTAAATAGTTGCTAATCCAGCAGTGTGCATGCCTTTTCTGTCACTCTCTAATCCTTCTTTCATGTTCAGCAGGCACTATATATAGCACCAATGAGTCTCTTTGTCAGTAAACCAACGTGCGACTCAGACTTCACAAAGAGTTCAAGACTACAAATTATTATTCAGCTAAAAACAAATGCTGAATAGAGTATGGTCTGAAAATACTGTCAAAAAAATCAAATAGGACCCGCCCAACACTGTCAGAGCCCAAATGATACAGCGTGCAACTTCTTCAAGATACAAGGGGCAGCAAGAAGACAAATACCTAATTCAGAAGACATCCTTCAATGCCCATCACTATAAAGTCGTAAAAACAATATCTGATGCGCTAACTATCACTATGTCACTATAAAAAAATGTCAAAAGTGTCTCATTAATATGAACACTTCAGTTCTCCCCAAACACCTTCTACCCCCCCCCCCCCCCCCCCCCCCCCCCAATGGGAGTTGTCTACAATAACAAGACAAAAATTCATGTACCTTCATGTTTGTCTTCAAAAATATTGAATAGGTAGCGGGGCACCCACATTGGCGAGACATGACCACACTCTGACCGCACAGCTGAGCACACAAGATTGAAAGAAGACATGTTGTATTCCGCATTTCATGCACCCGTGGTTGGTAAATTGGGGAGGGGGGAGAAGAGCAGAGGCAGAGCAGAATGTCGGAACGTGGCCCCCGTGTAGTTTTAAAAGGCAAACCCACACTCACTTCAAAGTCCTCCCCAATGCCCCTGGATGGACCGACCCGGTTGGACCGCGTCTGGACACCATGGGGAGCTGCCTTCTTTTTGGCAGAACCTTTGGCACGGCTGCTGAGCGTGCGATGCTTGCTTGCCAGCAGGTTTTCACACAGCTGCAAGATACGACAAGAGTCACTCGGTAAAACTGAGACAGCGTGGAAATGCATGAAGCAGTGTTAGAGGGATCACACATCAGGGAGCTGTTAAAACTGTGCCAGATAGGTTAAGATCAGTTTGCAGTCTTCATAAGAAGCGGTGTATAAATAATTTAAACATAAAATAATTAGCGAATAGCGTTTGCTATTTGGCTCAAGTTGCAACACCATTTTTACTGTTCGAAGTACTCGAGTTTTTGGGAAAATTTTACAATTACGAATAATGCCTTCAAAATTTTCCGATTTCGCACAACAAGCTTCACCGCATCACACCAGTGCTCTCACGTCAAGCTTCATCACTTCGCACTGAAGCTTCATCGCTCTGTACAGACATTGGACGGATGAATGCTAATGGCTGTAACATTTGTAACGGCTGGTAGCTTGTGCCGCCTAGTCTAGAAGCCTAAAATATGACACCTCCCCTCTCCCTTCTAAGCCAATTTGTTTCCCTCTGCATTTCTGTAACTATCCCCAGGCAGTGTGGAATACTGCCAGGATGACCTTTGGGGGACCAGGCAAGAAAACTAGAAACATCACCCCATCGCCTTCGCCCTCGCCGAGACGCGCCAATTTTCCTTTCGTCAAACCTATGCGGTGTTACCCTAACACTGGGCCCACTGGGAAACAGGGTGGAGACTTTGGGCCGGAGCAATGTGGCAGGAAGGAGTCCCAATTTTCCTCTGTCCCGCCTGCCCAGAGCTGTGCTATAGTCGGATGCAACCTGAGAACAATCTTTTAGCTCCACCCACAAGCGCATTGCGCCCATCTGAAGTGCCTCCGCCGTCGAGAAAGTAGTTCGCTAGCAACGTTGCTTTTTCTTCCTCCAGGAAACGTGTCTTAAACTACTACAATATTTATTTAATTCATTCAGGACATTTAATCAGTTAGAATACGTTTTTGTCAACGAAATAGCTGTTTAGTAAAGAAAGAAAGTCATGTCCAATGTACCGTCTTCCAAATTCATTTTCTGTCCAAGATACTGTCTAACATACCGTCTTCCAGCGCTAAGCCTCGCGCCCGCTTCGAAATTTTTGTTGGCGATAGCGTCGCTGGATTCTCACGTTGTCGCGCAAAAACTGCTGCAAACGCAAGCCAATACCATTAAGATTTCGTGGCGTAACCTCGGGCACGAAAAACACGGTGCAAAAAAGCAGAATAATTGTCACGATAAACTAGCGTTGCATTGCTAAGGCCAGCAGCCATGTTGAGCTTTTTTTTTTTTCAAAAGCCACAGAATCGCGACGTCATGAAAACGATTGGCTGGCGTTTCTCGGCGTAGGATTACATTTTCCTCTGAGAGGCATTTCCGGTTTTTTTCCTAGCTTGCAACCGACTATAGTTAGTTTTACTTCATTCAATTTTTCCAGAATAATTTCAACCAGTCTTCTAACCTCCGCTTTGTGACTGTAATCCTTTTCTCCCCCATTCTTCAATCCTCACCAGCAAAACCCAGAGCACCTGTCAGGTCCGTTACCCCTTCAAGGAGGGCAGGGCGAAGCCCCAAACAATTGAAAACCAATGTTCTAGCATCTTGCTCTCAGGCATGTTTGGGGAAACGACTAGGGTTGTGCGAATATTCAAATATCAGTTTAGAATAATATTCCATTCGATATTCTCAAGATGAAGTGCGATATTCATACTTTTCGAAGTTTTGATAGCGGCGGCTTAGTCCTGCCTCTCACCCAGCACCTGTGCACTGCTGAAAATCAATACTCGCGAAGCTCGTGGGCTTTGAAGATATTGCTACCCCGCAGTGCCCAGGTACTCTGTGAGAAGCCCACTCAATGGGGCAGGCAGTGGTATCTTGGCAACCCACGCTTACCATTCGTGCCCGTCTTTTTTTTTTTAGTCAAAAGATGTTTACCAGTGGTTCGGTTTTATTTGCAAAGGAATAGTATAAAGAAGGGGTAAGTGCACAGTTTTTTTTTTAATTATTTAGCAGGAGCACGTACACTGCTTGCAAAGTGTTTAGGCTTAGAAGCATCAAATGAAAATACTGAAGGAAAACATTTTTTACCTTTCTTCCATTCAGTTTAATTTTGGCGCATCCACTTCCGGAACCTTTTAGAAGCTTCAGATTCCTAACCGGAGGTACTTCACAGAACTTCTCCGTCGGCTGATGAGCTCTCAACCATTAAATTCACTGGCACTACTGCCAGAGCGGGCGGAATGCAAAGAGAGCGGGCGGAATGCAAAGTGAGCATCACGTGCTTGGAGCGTCTCATTGGAAAATTACTATAAATAGCCCAGCAATGCGAAACAACGTGCAAAACTAACATTTATAGATCGCCAAAGATTCACCACAGCGCGAGTTTAGGCCTTCACTTTCACATGTCTAATAATTACTGTACATGTATGGTGCCGATCGTCAAAGGGTTAAGCACAGTTAACGGTAACGAAACGCTTAGACAACCTTTTCCATATTCGGTTTGAAAATAACCAGCCAAAACCTCAAAACCTTTGAATTCACTTCAAACTCAAAATCCACTATTGCAAAGAAACAAATAATGCGGAGAGGTATCTCTTGATTCGACGAGCTCGAAATCTTGCTCACTACTGTAAATAGACCTTCTTTCATTACAATTACAGTTAATCTTAATTTAAAAAAACAATGCTGGAAATAGAATGCCAACCTACATATTTGAATAAATAAGGTAATAATTTCTTTGCTTGCAATGCTACATTATGTTTTACTTGACTATATGTATCAGGGACTTTCTTTTATTAAGCACAAGTATGTGAAACGTCTCTCATGCAAATAAACGGCTCTTTTTCATAAATATGTGTGCTAAGAAAACAAAAATTCAAGCTGGAGCTTTTACGCGTTCATGCTCAGTTTACATTAAATGTAAAAAGTAAGTATTTTTACAATATTAGATACCATTTGCAGTCTTATGGCGCGTTTATATTTGTGGATTCGCGGGCGGATATGCGCAAGCGGAAAGCGGATTGTGGAGCTAAGTGGCGAAATTGACTCATCGCTGGCAAAAAATCTGGATATGGGTCCCGGACCGATCCAGATTTTCAGCTGACGACAAGCTGATTTCACCACCCGGCTCTAAATACGCTCATCGCCGGCGCGGACCCACCCACGAATCCTAAGTGTAAACGCACCATTAATGTTTGTCTTCAACTCGCAGCAAAAACTTTACCATTCACACAACTTTAGCCAAGAGACTAAAGGCCTGTTCGCACATACAGCTCAGGAACTCAGTGCCCCGCTGCATGTGAGCCCACCTTCTCCTTGCTTACACACACAATGCTGCTTCAATTCAGTGCCGACAATACAGCAAACTTTGCATTACCTCAACGCTTAGGTGCACGCGTGAAGTGGCATCTAACTGCTTCAGTCTCTCCTAGAAAAACATTCGCTGCTGGTAAGAGGCTTCCGGAAGACTTTGTTTCATTTACAACAGAAGAAGTGCGGCACGCCGAACCGGAACAGAGAGGCGAAGCTGTCAGACGCAAGCTTCCGCTCACCACCTTGACGTCGAAGCTCTGCCGCCTGTGCTGACTTTCCTGGTGGTAGAGGGTCTGCTCCGCCTCGGCCATTTCGGCAGCCCTCCGGAGGGCCCCTGAGACGAGGCCGGCCGTGAGAGAGTGGCACAGCAGGCTCCGCCCCACACTGGCCGGGGGCCGGGGCGCCTGGCTGGGCCCCGCCTCCTGGGGCGCTGCCGGGGGCTCCCGCGACTGCCAGTGGCCCAGGGATTGGCGCACACCTTCCACGTCGCCCGTGCGCAGCATGCCCACCCGGCTATGGTGGCCCGGCGAGTGGCCTGTGTGGAGTGAACCGTATGTTCAAGTATAGTCGCTGACCGCTTTTTCAGACGCCGATAATTCAGACTTTTTCTATACTTCGGACCCAAAGGAGGGACCGTGACCTACCCGACAGAAATGGTGCATAATTCACGACCAATGTTTCGGACAGTTTGAAGTCGAACAAAACCGTCGCGAGCGATCAGCGTGGAAACACCACCGAGAAGCCGCCATTTTAGATCCTATGTTAACTGCACACAGATTGGCTTGGTTTGGCAGTGCTGCTTGAGTAATGCTAAGTCCTACCACTAGGTGACGCTATGCTACAGCTTTTTTTTTTCTCTAGCTGCGTGTCCTTATGATCATTTTCGTCACCCTTTTGCTTTGTTATGATCATTTTCGTTATCATTTTGCTTTGTCCATTTGCCATTCTGCAATCGTGGACTTGCGACTCTCATCTCGTCTCGGTTAATCGTGTTTTCGGACAACGGTGGCTTGGGCTTCATGGCCCCCATCTGTTCTTCCGCTGTCGCAAAGTGTTGCAAGAAGTGCGGAAAGTACTTGACCATAACGCTAAAAAAGAAGGCAGCAGTTCTCAAGCTAATAGAAAGTGGCCATACAGAAGCGGAGGCGTAACCTAAAAAGCACTGTTCACAAAAAAAAAAAAAAAAAAAAAAAAAAGAACTATTGGCGACTGTATTAGTGAGGTGCTGCATGATTTGAAACACGAATCCAAAGCTTCTAAAATTTTCCGGTTCCTCACCACGTCCTGCAGGTGCACTGTGGCAACAGCCAAGACACCGAACACTGCTGCAGACAGTTACACTTCCACATTAAAACTCTAAACTCGTGCCCCGCTAAACTTGTTGGACGGTGCACCTGTGACACTGACGCCGCATGATGCCATGATGAGACACGGCGTGCCACCGAGGGAGCGCAAGCCCCGTCTGCAATGTGGTGTCCCTCACCGGAAGGCAGCCGGGCGGCTTGCGAGGCCCGAGGGGGTGATTGCTGCCCACCCGAGCCTCCCAGCCTGTGGTCCTGCTGCTGCTGGAGGCGCTGGATCATCTCGTCGATCACAGGACGCTCTTCGGGGCCTTGGTTCTCCAAGGGACGCACGGGCTCCAGAATCTCTGACTCGCCTGCAAGCAACGAGGGCAGGCCGTGGTACTTCGAGACACTTTTTGCCGTTTTCTTTCGAAGAACAGGATAGCTATGAACTCGAGAATTATTTGATTCGGGAAAGATCGACAATAATCTGCATGGCACAATAATAAAACTGGGGGGAAAAAAAAGAAGGAAAATGTATGGGTCTATTGCTAGCTTAGTGGTCAAACATTAAAGAGACATTGTTCGGTTTAAAGGTAAAAGTACACCCGCCCTCAATTATTTTGGCAGACAATCAGTTCGGTTTAGCTGTACTGAACAATGCACCCATGCACATGCTTGAGAGAAGCACAACATTTCGCCCAACCGACCAAGGATCAAGGCCATAAAAGCAATAGAGCTCGACAGGGGCTCTATTGCTTATATGACCTCGATGTCAGGGTGTCCGAGATATTGTGCGATATCACAATGTCACGTGACACCGTGATGTTACGCGACACCTTACCTTGACGTAAAAAGTCATGCAACTCCACACACACAAACACGGCATGTGCCCAGCTAATTTGGAACACATTCTGTGTGTCTCGTAGTTTTTTTAGATATGATCGACACGCTTAAACTGCAACGGACTAAGAACACTTAAAGGGCAAAAGGACAACTCTGGCCGAAAATGAAAGCAAAATAAATTACTGGTATCGCTTTAGTGGCACAATATATGATCAGAGCAGAAATAGTATGTCAAAGTGAAACCACATACTCCACTAAAACCGATTTTAAAGGTGCGACCAGCTGATATTTAGCGGGCGGCAAGCAGGTAAGCTTCTGGTCAAGGAACAGTGGCCGCAGCACCCCCGTAACGTCACATCGCGGTGGAGCCGCGGTTGATTCTGCACGTTGTATTGCGTGCCGCAGCACTACGGTGATATCACGTCGCGGCCGTACAGCTGATTATCAGTGTTCCCATCCCTCTAGCAAATAGTTTCGGTTTTGCCATAGACGCCCGAAACCAAACTTTGAGCGGTGATATCTTTGAAAACTACATGCAATATTAGAGAAAAAAAATATTTATAAATATAGTCGCCGACCAATTTCTTGGGCGACGATTTTTCGGACAAGTTTGATTATTCGGACGTTTTCGCCGAACCGTCACTCACCCCATAGAGTTAATGTATAACACTGACTGAAATTTCGGATGCCATAAAGCCCATTGCTCGATATTTTGAACATAATTTGCGTGATTTCCTCAGTTTAAAGCCACAAAACAGCTGCCGCGACAGCGTTGCGAGCTTAGTCGCCGCCATTTTGGTTGTTTTGATTTTGCCCTGTAGCCTCGATACCACCTCCTACGCAATAAACGAACTAAACTGAGGCTATAGTCAGGTTTTCCGGTTCCACTATAGCCAACATGGCCGCCGTCTGCCTATTCTTATGGTTCTTTTAGTTGTTCTCGTGGTCCGTGTTTTTCGGGTGCGACCGCAAGAAGATCGACCGTTTGTTGTTCCTGTGGTCTTTGAGTGTGAAGGTTTTTTGGGGATAGGCTTAGTATTAAAGCGAACTAGATGGACTAAAAAGTGTCTCCAAAAAGTGCCAAGTGGCACCAAATTCAATTTCGCTGTTTGTGTCAACAAAGGCGCCGACAAAGCGCAGCACCGTGATCAAACAGATAAACAAACAAGTGAAAAGTGAACAATATAAAGCGGAAGCTGCACGAGAGCTCAAACTCGACATCAAGCAAGTGGAAAATGGCCAATACACGGTGAAATACAGTCTAAGCTCGTTATAACAGATCTTGATTTTGACCAAGATTTTGGTCTGTTGTAAAAGGAGTATGCTGTATGCAGATATGAAGTTGAGTCAATGGTGCATAGAGGGAAACCAACTGAACTTCACAAATTGGTATGTTATATCCAAATGTCTGTTGTAACCAGGTCTGTTATAATGAGCTTAGACTGTATGCGCGGAAATTCAATAATTTGGCTGAAATAAAATTTTTCGGACCGCTTGATTATTCGGACAATTCGGGGTCCCCTCCGACACCTTGTAATTCAGGGAGACTGACCGAGCTGAAAACAGTCGCAACCCCAAATTCGAAAATATTGCCAGGAGTCGCCCTTTAAAGGGGCCCTGCAAGGACTTTTTACTGTTTTTTAATTTGCACCGAACCTGAGTGCACTGAACGTAGTAACCTAGTGAAACTTTTCTTTTCGCGAAATTCGCTTTATTTTTAAAGGTATAGGCAATTTAGAATTACAAAAACAAGCAAAAAATAACCTCCTGCATGATGTCGTAGGTCCTGGCTTGAGTGGCCGTGAACTAGAGGAGGAATAGTGAGCACATCGAGCGCTCACGGCCGCCGCACTCCGTGTCGACGGCGCCAGAGGGCGCCACTAAAGCATGTTCTGGATAGGCTGTATGCAGCGGGCAGCCAAAGCGGCTTTCATTGCGTTTGCTGCGCGATTAAACACTAATTCGGCATGACACTTCATTGGCCACAAACGACAGCAAACACGGGGTAAAAATCAGTTCAGAATGGGAGCCACTTCGCGCTGCCATACCGCGAAACGGCCAAACCGCAAGACAAAGCCTCTCGCCAAAGGCCTTCGGAACGCTCGGAGCCGGTCGTATCCTCCTGTTCATACGACTGCAGTGCCACCGCGTACATCCGGGATTTTTCCGTGTCGGCGCTTTATCCCACTACTCCTTTCTAGTATGCGCCGCCTTTTCCACCGCTTGGCGGCGGGTATGTCGACGGGTCATTTCTTGTTTCCGTACTTTATAAACTGCATTTCTTTCTTTTTTTTCATCTATAATAGTGAACAAAAGCTACTTTTATAAATAATTCAAACGGTTCGCGCTACTTATATTTTGTATTTCGACCAAAAAGAAGTTTTTAGTGGCTCCGACCAGTAGTAAGCCCAGGACCAAAGACGTCACATTTTGTGCGCTTTCGGTACCGCGGGTCGCCCTCGTCGGTGGAGGAGGTTTCCGTGTCGTCCAGTTAAAATATGGCGCACTGATATTTAGCTACTCTTTCCGTGCCCGCTGGCTTGCCCGAACCCCAAGGGACATGGAAACCGCATAAAAGGTAGACGCTTAAATATGATTGCAGGGCCCCTTTAAAGGACGCACACAGAAAGGAGAAAGGTGCTCAAGCTCACCGTTGGCCAGGACCGCCACATAGGGCACAAGCTGGGAGTCGTGGCAGCGCTCCCTGCCGGGCACCAGGCGCTGGAGGGCTGGTGGGTACGGGTTTCCGTCAATGTCCACCAGGAACGGTGGCGGCATCAGGTGTGGCGCGCACTGCGTCTGCTCGTCTAGCACGTGCTGCTGGGCGTCCCGGATCAGCGGACGGTAGTCCGTGTGAAAGAACTGCTCGTCCGGAACCTGCAAGGGACCGGCCAGTTCATTTATATGCATACATACAGCAGCCTCACTGGGGCTATTGCTTAGGTAGGGGGTGAACAGGAAGCAGACAATATTGTACAAACAACAGTCGACGACGGCCAGAAATCCTTCTGGAGACAGATGAATAAACGATTATAGGCAATGAGTTGTACTTTCAATGGTTTGAGGGAAAAAAAAAGTATGTCAATCAATGATTGTTTTTATTTTCACCTCCACATAGTACAAGCACAAATGCCAGGAGGCAGACAAAAGGTCAAAAGCTGTTGGTATGACAAGGCCTGGTCTCCAGTGTTCTCGACAAATCAAGCTACAACAATAGAAAAACGTCGAAAAAAGAACTAATGAATGCATCAACACAAAATATCATACAAACAAGATCAAACATATGAACAAATGTGTCGGAATGCATCTGTACATGGATGAAAGATTTGAATATTTAGCTTGTAATGGTTCCCCGTAGACGATGCATTAACGGACTTGAGATAGTACTTGTTTAATGAGGGACGGTGTGATGGGTAAGGCCTCATTCACACAGCCGGCGTTTCTCCCATCCCGTCACCGCCGCGAGGGGCGTTCCCGTTAGGGAAGAGGATTTTCGGCCCGGTTTTCGCCGGAAAGCTGTGCCCCGTCGGGTGCCGGGCGACGTAGGGAGCTGCTCTACGGCACCGGTGTCCCGGCGGATGACGGAGTGCCGCCCCCATCGAAAACCGACCAATCACAAAATAGAAAAGTTTCGCTAAGTTTGGAAGATTTTTCATCGTTCGGTTGCCAACAATCAGCCAACGCTTGTTGTGTCGTTTTTCTTGTTCCTTTTCGGCGGGAATTGCTAATAGCAGATGCAAATCCCTAATTTACAAAAAAAGAAACGGGCGCACTAATGTTCAGGCACAATTATCTCTGTATTTTGTAATTTAAGTCGAGTAAATAAGCAATCCGATCCAATCCAATCCTGCCGTCACGTCTCCGCCCCGGCGTACTCCCGTGACGGTGCTGGGATGGGAGAGGCGCCGGCTGTGTGAATGAGGCCTAAAACTGCCCTTTTTAAATTCTCACAAAAGATAGAGCAAACAAACTTGCAAAGACTGGCTTGCCTTCTTGTAAGGGTCGCTCGACCCGTAGCCAAAGACGCTGATGTGCCCGTGAGAGTCCGTCGAAGCGAACAGCAGGCCGTCTGGTGAAAACTTGCAGTCAAACACAGCCCCGTGTCCCTGCCCTTCAATCTGCCAAAGAGAAAAGTTGTCTTCAGGTCAGTGACCCATTTACCTTAAAGTTCCGAAAGAACGCCCACCCAAAATGAAGAAATAAAAGGGAAAAACATGGGGTGGGCTATCTTTGGGGATGCCACAAAAAAAATTCATCAAATATTAATGATAAACACCAGGGCACCCGCTACAAACCACGTGACACGGCAACCGACATTCCAGATTGCGGACACCGCAAATTTGCGTTTCACGATGCAACAAAAACACAGGGATTCGCTATGAACTACTGTGTCACGGGAAATGATACCGCAGGTTGCAAACGCTGCAGATTCGCGTTTTATTGTGCGAAGGACCCGCAGAAACCCGTCAAAAACTCTCATCTCACGGGAATGAACACAGCAAAACGTGGACACAGCAGATTCAAGTTTTATGGTGCAATAAACCAGCGTGAACCCGCTACAAACTTGCCTGCCATGGTCACCGACACCGCGTGCACAAATCACGAACAAAAACGCGGGAATCTGCTACAAAACTCGTATGTCAAGGGAACAAATACTGCAGATTGCAGGCGCAGCAGAATCGTATTTCACGATGCAATATAAACTCTTAAGACCAACTCGCCTGTTACGGGAATCAATATCGCACGCACAGGTCATGAACAGAAACGCGAGAATCCACTACAAACTCTTATGTCAAGGCAACGGATACCGCAGATTGAGGACGCAGCAGATTCGCATTACACGATGCAATATACACGCTGGAACAACTCGCACATTACGGGAACCGATGTCGCATGCGCAGATTGTGGACAAAAACGCAGGAACCCGCTATGAACTCGCTTATCAGACGTACCGGTACAGCAGATTGCGTGGCAGATGCGATTTCCGTTAAACATCAAGTGACGTCCGACGGGAATAGGGGGGTGGGTGATGTTTCGGAACTTTCATGTTACAGATATTTAGCCAGAAAAACGGAATGGGCGATCTCTCGGGGTGGAAGTTTTCTCGGAACTTTACGGTAGTGACGGGCGAAAAAATTGAGGGACAAGTCTGCACCATGTTGAAGAAGCTTCGGATGGAGCAGCCCATGGCGAGGTCCCAGATGATGATTCTCCCGTCGTGACCACCGCTGAGAAGCACCCGGCTGTCAACAGGGTGGCTCTCCAGTACAAACACCTCGTCCTCATGGCCCTAGGGAAGAGGAGAAATGAGGGGGACCTTCAAGTGGTCGCTCAAGGCCTCCAGAACTTCATCACCATCAGTTTAATCAGTCAGCGCTGTTTTAATCTTTAATCATGAAATACCAACTAGCCCAAACTTCTACTTGAGTAAACAAAGCAAACCGATAACATTCGGCATCAGTCACGACCACATGCTGTCACACAAACCTGCCATACTTTTTAACGAGATCTGCCTCATCATCTGCAAGGGCAACAGATAGGGCCCTACCTGTGTGTTTCTTCGTCCTGGTCCTACGTCAATTTTGAGCTGTTCCGACCAAATAGTATGTACCACCAACTAGGCCATCTACATGCCTTGTTGCTGTTGAAAACTCCCAACACTACTTAAAGTTCAAGTAAAAATAATAAGGGACGACGACATCATCTCTTGACCTGGAAGTAAGAAGAACACTCAGAATAACAGGGGTGTGCTGCTTACTTAGTGGCAACGCGACAGAACAGTCTTATGCCGAAAGAGCTTAGCTGCTGGAAAACTACCTTTTCTAGACATGCTTTGACCAGGTAGAAAAAACATGTACGCAGTATGTACATTTGGAGTACAAAATTATTCTGCGAGAAATGTTGCTCGAGCACGCTACTGCTTCACGAATGAGCACGGGAAGCGCAGCTCCTAAAAATCGACCTCGGGGAGGGCTGAATTTAGGTCCGCCGGCACGACGCAATGCAACACACGACTGCAAACGGCAGCTTTCCACTTCAGAAAGAGAAAAAGCGGGGAACTCACAAGGAGAGTGTGCTTGAGCTTGCCCGCATGGGAGTCCCACACTTTGATGGAGTGATCGTTGACAGCTGTCATCACCATATGGTCGTCGTGACTCCACCCCACCATGGTCACCTTCAGCTTCTGCTTGGGGTCCTCTTCGAGCTGTTCCTCGGACCTGAAGGGCACAGGCAGACGTTTCCGAGTCGAGCAAGATCAAGCACTGTCCATCGTTGGGCGAGAAAGAAAAGGAGCGCTCACCCGACCAGCTTGGTGGCCATGCGCAGGGTGATGGACCTCCACTGCTGCCTCTCAAACGTCCAAACATTGGCCGTCCCATCCTTGGAACCACTCACAAAGCGGCAGCTGTTGTTGGCAAACTGCAGGCTGTCCACCTGGTCCTGGAGGGCCAAAAGGATCAATCTTAAAAGACTTGCCACTACCGACGGTGTACCACCTGATTGGACTAACAACATGTATTCAGGTAATACCAATTAAACCGGTTCTTTAAAGGGGCCGTGCGACAATGTTTGGACTTCTGTCAAATAACTGTGGTAGTTATTCCCTGTCACGTCTGGATAAAAGAAATGAAAACCAATTTTGCTTATGCGCGTAAGTACTTTAGAAAAATAAATGTCAAACAATTGAACAATTGACGTTTTGGGCACCTTTAAAACCGCTCTAAAATCTCACATCTTCCGAGTCACGTGAGGAGTGACGTGCAAAGGGGACAGGGAGGATCCGGTTGGGTTCTCTTTCACAGCCTCCAACGTGCATGGCCTCTGCTTGTGATTTACCGATTTAAATGGCGACCTTGGAGGTTGGTCTGAGCAATGTGGAGAGGGGGAGAAAGGGGGGAGGCAAAGAGCTTGCATTTTTTGTAAGGAACTTCGACCGACGTAGTAGCAACCATTCAAGGGAGAAATAGTTTTTTTCACCTCGGGCAGATGGTGCTAATACTGAATATAGCATAACTTTGTTGATGATACAAAGTTTTTGACTCATTTACTTATGTTGAAACAATGTTTATAAAACAAAACATTAGACTGAGCACATAATCGTACATCTTGCCAACTTATACATTATACCCATTGCATGTCATGCCTTGGTTCCGATGGCCGCCACCCTGCAGCTGCAAATCGCGAAATATTCCCTTTTTTGCCTTTGCTATTAAGCAATGGAATCGCGATATTTCAAAAGAATGAGGCGGTTTCTCTATCCCTTCGTGTAAGATAAACAATGCAAAAATTTAAAACTGCCAATTCTTTCGAAGTTAAAACTGTTGTATCGCCCCTTTAATTCATTACTGTGCTGGGAACTGCGCTCTGTTTCAGCATAAATTGGAGAACTACAAAAGCCTTAGCGAGCTAACCAGATTGTCGGAGCGACACATGTGACAGCGAACTGCGAGAGTGCACCCCTCCTGTAATGAGCCGTCACGTGGTTCATCGCATCACTCTGACTGGCTGACAGGGGCAGCAACTTTTGCCTTCTACCAAGTTGTGCTTGAAGAGAGTATAGTGCACCTGGCCTTTGTCTGTGGTAGATACAGAAGCAGAATCACTGCAGAGAAAGAACATGCACAGCCCAGACCAAAACGCTCATGACAACTTACAAAGATTGAAATGGTTTTTGCAAATGTGAGCGCTTTAATAAAAGCCAGCAGTCACATGTCACTTATTCGGTAAACCGTTGCCTAGGCAACCTTGCAAACACATAGTACTAGTTGCGCAACTTGCTAACAAGCAAATAATTTTTGGAAGATTCCTATCTCTAATCAAATCTACACACAACGCACAAAAAAAAAAAGAAAAGAAATGTAGAACCACGGTTGCATACCGCATGAGCCTCGAGTTCAGCAATCCGTTCTGGTCCTGAAGGAGCCAGGACATGATACACCCTGACGACGTGATCTGTACTCCCGGTGGCCAGGAATGCACCACCTGTAAAAGTAAAAGATTGGACCATATGCATCACCACCCATCAACCTATTGGTCATCCCAGCTTTCATTTCTAATTGCAAGCACTAGTAGCATAAAAACTCAAAGGGGCTAAAAGACTGCTCTACAGACAACTTTAGCAGTAAAACAGCTTCAAACTTTCAGCTACACATCCACAATGCGAGATGATCTTCATGTTTGTTTGTTTTACCAGTACGGTTGTAACTGGCTTGAGTGCATATGATCTTCCTAAAAAGCTGCTAGTATTGGAGGCTCTCTCACTGCGAAAGTCCAAGTATACACTGGGACTGATTTCCAAAAGCTACCAGCTCACAATACAGCTTTCGTAGACTAACACAGTAGTATAGAAAAACTAGGTTGGTGTATGATACTGAGTAGGTTAAAACCCAGCTGTGGAAAAGCTACTAAGTTCGTCTTGATGCCCTACTACTGATATAGCAGCAGCTTCTTTTACAGGGTTTACAAAGTAAGTATATTACACCGGACAAACAACAAGACAAACCTGGACTGAAGGAAGAGCAGATCATTTGAGCACCAGCTCTATTCCTTTCTGTAAACTTCAAGGGTTTTGAGCTGTGAAAACAAACAAAAAAAAACGTTTTGCTCAGTTTGGAAAGCACTAACTCAGCATGTATGTTTTATATACATGAGGAAAAAGACTTAGCAGCTAGAAAAAAAGAAAAAGAACACAGCTAGATTAAAAAGCTTACTTGAAGCTTTTCCTGCTGCTGGAGTAGTCCCAAAAACAGACACAGCCATCGTTTCCCGTTGATACCAAGAACTGTCTTTCACCTCTTGGATAAGGACAAAACTAAAACAAAAAGAAAGTGCAAAAACTTCAACAAAAAAAAAAAAGAGACAGTTCAAGGCTGCTTGCTCTCTATTCTAATACAGCAGATATAAAAAAAATATACAAGCTTGATGATGCTAACAAAAACTGAGAAGCACAGAATGTGCGAGCAGCCTTCCAGGAAAGAAACGACACCCCCTTCTGAAGATCCGCTTTCATTTCCGACACATGCCGAGAGATGGCGACACATGACTGGAAAGACTGCAAAGCACGTAGGCTCATCCACGCGCCGCACAAATGAGCTCATCGTTCTTTGCGTGATCCAAACCACAAAGCCTGGATAGCTCAGTCGGCAACGCACTTGGCTCACAATCTCAAGGTGGCAACTGATGTCTTTTTATATAGCTTCCTATGGGCGTAATGACGGCTGCTACAGCCAAATGTTGCGGAACTCCATGGAAAATGGACGATAAAACACATTCTGTGTTAAAAGAAAGCCTGGGTCAGTATAACCACCTCTATTAGTGTATTCATTGACATATGCTTTTGAAAAAAGTTTTATCGTAGTATACAAGTTCACTATGCCTATATCATTAGGTAGACCTTTTCACATCAGAATAGAGACACAAAAAAAGTTAAATGCAGACATTTTTGATAGAGATAAATCTGGCTAGGGATAGACTAATTTCAAAACTAAGTTTCAAATCTTGGTAAAACAGTCACTTCAAATAACTCCCTTATCTACCTAACTTTCTTGGATGATACTTATTTCTAAGGTAAACGAGACAAAAAATCTCTTGAGTGTCACTGCGTGAGCACCATAAATTAATTCACTTTTGTGTATTTTACATCTCACAAACTTAATTAGGCTGGAATGAGTGAACACCCATGACATTCTAATGCCAGGCACTGCGAGATGCCAGCCTTCTATAGAGCCCTTTCAGTTCGTCAAATACAAATACCATAGGTCTGGCAGGCGTTAGTGTCAAATAATTTACCAAACCCAAAATGAAAGCGAGCATCATGCATAGCCTTTATAAGCAGCTTAGAAAGCAAACAATAAGCAAAGTAGAGTCTCACCCTGAGAGAGGTGACCATGGCAGTATGGCCCAACAGCACAGCCACAGGGGCCAGGGTCTGGAGGCACCAGACGCGGATCACTTTGTCGCAGCTGCCCGAAGCCAGCAGTCCGTTGTCTGGACTCACGGCCAGGTCTGTGATCTCGGCCGAGTGGCCGCGAAGCGTCACGAGCAGACGTCCGTCGCAGGCGCTCCAGATTTTGACCAGAAGGTCATCTGCCCCCTGCACAAATGCATTGAATAATTGGATGGCAGATCAGCTTCTGTCATGATAGGAGCAAATTTCTAAAATGCCACACATATCTAGAATTGCATAGAATTGCAACTTTACGCTTTTGTCAAGTAGCAAAAGACAAAAAAACAAATGCAGTGTGAGAAACAGCCTGTAGCAGATAGCTAAAACATTTCCTAATGTCCCGAGGTCCTCCTTGAATATACATACGGTCTCCTGCAATATGAAAGACCCACTGGGAGTGCATCGCCGGGACAGCGGCGGGCGGGGGTGCTGCGTGCACTCTGGACGATTCTATTCTCCCTTGAGGGGGGGGGGGAGCACCCTCACTCGAGGCCCAAACGACTTGAGCGCGCCACATCGGCGTCAGGCCAAGAGATATAGTCATGAAGGCTTGAAATAAGCATAGTCATTCCTGTTTTCTTTTTATCAGTTGTTACAGGTGTAAAATATCAGAACTGGCACTGCCAAATAAAAAAAAAAATTACAGTTATTCCTTAATCCTATATTTAAAAGATAAAATATGTTGATGATCGCATTTTCTCGTGAGGATAACATGGATCTCACGCTTTAACGAAGACAATAATTGCCTTGGCTCCGGCAATTGTGTGTGTGTGTGTGTGTGTGTGTGTGTGTGTGTGTGTGTGTGTGTGTGTGTGTGTGTGTGTGTGTGTGTGTGTGTGTGTGTGTGTGTGTGTGTGTGTGTGTGTGTGTGTGTGTGTGTGTGTGTGTGTGTGTGTGTGTGTGTGTGTGTGTGTGTGTGTGTGTGTGTGTGTGTGTGTGTGTGTGTGTGTGTGTGTGTGTGTGTGTGTGTGTGTGTGTGTGTGTGTGGGTGGGTGGGTGGGTGGGTGGGTGGGTGGGTGGGTGGGTGGGTGGGTGGGTGGGTGGGTGTGTGGGTGTGTGGGTGTGTGTGTGTGTGTGTGTGTGGGTGGGTGGGTGGGTGGGTGGGGGGGTGGGGGGGTGGGGGGGTGCATAAAACTGCAAAAATATGGTAAGCGATATTTTAAAAATTTCAGTGGGAAAATAACGGTCGACTGAGCTCTCGAATGCATAAAGCTTTATGGTGCCAGAAGCCGAAAATGGGTAAAAATGAGCACCTATTTTTCTTTTGAATTTTTCAGAAAATCCCTTACAACTTTTGAATGAGATACCGGTTCGTGCTGAAACTTTGGCATCTGGTTTAAATCTCTAGTGCTACCTTTGGGTGCAGAATGGGTGTTTGGCAATGTAGTTGATTGTGGCAGAACGGAACCCAAGACACTTGTTAAGGTGAGGAAGTTAAAAGAATGAAAATGACAAGATCCTCGATTGGTACCACCTGGGTAGGCACAACCGATATTGGATCCTTGGATAAAATGGAAATTTCACCAAAAAAAAAACAATTAAGAACTGAACTGAGAAGAAACTGAGCCTCACCGAGAGAACGACCCAAGGAGGATCAAAAAGGACCGCACAAAGCCCGACACCAGCCCAACCCCGCGAAGGGGCACAAAAGGACGACACCAGTGGGTCGACAATGGGCGAAGGCCGATAGGCGAGCCCAACAACCACCGCAGTGATATTTGCCTTTCTTTTCGGCACCAAAGACAAAAAACATTCAACTCACTGTGAAGATGTAGTGTCCACTCCGATCGAAGAGGACACAGTAGACCGAGGACAAGTGACCCAAAAGGCGCCGGAACAGCTGTGCCTTGGAGAAGAACTTGGTGGACAGCTGCTGGGAGCAGTTGGGAAGCCCGCTCAGGGCTCGGCCTTGAAGCACCAGCGCTGCGTGCACCAAGCAAACATTCACCAGTAAAGTGATCGGAATCAAGCTTGGCCACCGACTGTTTCGATGGCACCATACCGAGGAAGTCAACAAGTCCGACGAGAGAGTTTAGGTCAAGGTAGGTCTCGACTCACCCACGCTTGGTGCGGTGACCCCTTGGGGAAAACATGGCGGTGACCCATGGAGCCGGGCCGCCACGTCTGCAGTCTTGCGTAACCTCCTCACTTCTGTACACAGAAAAGAAAAAAAAAATGGTAAAATCTTTTATGAAACAACAGCGCAAATCCCAATAAGACACAAAAGTGGGTCGAAAGGGCTCTTGTTGACACTATGACCCTATCATTAGGTCTCTTAGCAGACTGCCCATAGCTGTGAGGTAACAACATATTCTCAAGTGGTAACAAAATTAGAATAAATAAAAGGTGCTACTTAAGCAGGAAAGTTCAAACTTAGTACAGTACTAGACATCCACAGCATTGTTCACAAATAAAAAGGTAAAAAAAAAAGAAGAGAGGCAGGCTGGAATGCAATACAAATCCATATTGTACCCAAGCTAACGATAACACACGCTAACAGCAGAAAGTTTTAGTAGATTGGTCCGAAAACTCCCACAATGATACCATATACTCTACCGACTGCCTTTGCGCATGCATCGTTTCGTTATCGGGTGTCGTTTTCGCAGGTATCAAAACAATCTATTAAAACTCTATAGCATACCTCTACATTCTACCACTTCAAACTGCCAGAATACAACAGCCAATTTCAATGCCAAATCCATATTTCTTGTAGCCTTCTCAACAATAAGGGGGGCAGAGTCTGGATCTGTGTTTCAGGTTGTCGCTCCGTGAGGGGAGGCACTTACTTGACTGCTGCCTGAGCAGAGAGTAGCTGCCAGACCCCAACAGGGACCTTGAACCAGTGACCCCGGAGGGGATCACCTGGTCCAGCAGGGGTCCTATCCTTGAACATATCCTTAGCAGGTAGTCGTTGGGTATGTGAAAGTTGGACGATTCCTTTTATGGGAAAACGAGAGAGAGAAAAAAGCTATTGTAACGACACTTAAAAAACGAGCAAGCTGGCTGGTGACTATTAATAATAATTACAAAAAAATAATAAAAACGGGTTCTTTTCGTGTTATAGTCAGATGGTGGCAATCAAGAAAGCAACATGCTTTCAGTTAGGTTATTCTTCTAGAATGCGGAGCACATAAAAGACAAATGTGCACACACACACACATGCCTTGTGTGTGCGAGTCCCCTTCAAGCATTCCTCAGTATCACAATTTTGTAATTAGGAAAAATGTCGGATTGTCAAAGCTGCAGACATGCACAGCAACCTTAGCAAGCATTCTCAAGAAAGCTTTTTTTTTTTTTTTTTTTTTTTTTTTTTTAAGAAGTTGAAAGACTATGAACAAAATGCGAGAGCTTAAAAGCTAGAACCTCGAAAAACCAAAATTCTAGGTCAACACAACTAAAAGCTGTGAACAATGTTGAATTCCTGACAAAATGACAATAAGACAGAGAAAGAAAGCATTCTTAGTTTTGCTGAAAAATAAGCTAAAAATTACAAATAAAACTGAAAAGGAAACAATTCCATCACTGACCCAAGCACTCCTGCTCCAGCAGATCTCATTATTTCTGCTACTGTTATTACAGCAAAATGTCCTCATGCATGACACATTGTGTATACTAATTCTCAATCGTTTTGCAACTTAATTTTGATGTCATTCAACTACCATTCCTTTTCTTTCATTTTGGTGGGGTCACTAAGTCTCAGTCGCTGAAATAGAGTGACCCCTTCAATATAAATTGAGTGACAAAAAATAAAACAAAACAAAACAGCAGCCTTGTTATGACATAATTCAACTGGCTGCACTAATATCAACATTCCTAGTTACAAAAAATCATTCAGTCCCCATCGAGGTTCTCTTCTCAAAAATGAGCCGTTATCAGTGGCATTGCTAGGAATTATTTTCGAAGGGGGGGGGGGACTTGTTTCATTTTTGCCTGTCATAGTTGATGTACTGTACAGTTTCAAAGTGTTAATAAGCAATGCTTCGCAAAGAGAATATCAGGTGTAGAAAAAAGTGTGAGCAGCAGCAGAGGCTTTATTTGACGTTTCGAGCAGAACCTGCTTTTTTTCAAGTGAAGAAAGGTTTTGCTCGAAACATTGAATAAAGCCACTGCTGCTCAATTTTTTCTACTGTACAGTTCGTGGGTATGGCCACGGCATTCCCCAACCCCCCCGGTCGGCTGGAACATTTTGGTAAGTATTCAATATTTGCCTTGCTTTACTTAAAATTAAAAAAAAAATTCTTGTTTTTTTTTTTTGTTTTTTTTTTAGGGGAGTTGACTTTTAAACTACCCCTTGCCTACGTCACGGGCCGTCATCAGCTAATTTTTGTTTCAGGTACCATTCCCGTCGCCAGTTACCAAAGCACAACTCCAGAAAAAATGGTTTCGATCTCCAACAATTGTGCACAATACAAACTAGAAGTAAGCGTTTCAACGACCGCCAAGTTAAAAGCGCGGAGTGCACCCAAGAACGCAATCACAAGAGAACAAATAAAAGCTGTATCGACGCGGAAAGGTTCCCATGACGACCACCACCAAGAGCGGCCAACGTCAAAAGAGGGCGCAACGGACAGCCGTCCATTTTGCAAGCGTCCCTCTGATTGGCTGGACCTGGAAAGCTCCTCGTTCATTGGCCAATGGGTGTCAGATTAGAGGAAGGAAACAAAAGGGGGAAAAAAATAAAAATAAAAAGGGGGCTCCGGAGAATCGGAATTCATCAACGGAGGGGTAGTCAATTTTATTTTTACTTTTTTTTTTTTTTTCTCAAAAATGTTGTTAGTGTCACGAACGCGGCCGAAACTGCCAAATTCAAGACGGACAGAAAGTACCGTTGCAGGAAACCCCTACATATATGCCCGCGGGCTACAACGCAAAAATGCCGCCACGCAAACTCTGATCAAGAATACGATCAGAACACTCACCAGTTCCGAAAAACTTCGATGATGTTCATTTCCGAGCCAATCAATCCGTTTCGGCAACAGCTAGAAGCATTTTTCGAAATTAGGCTTAGACAGACAAACCCACTGTAGCATAAATGAATCAACTGAACATACCGTATGACACCAAGGAGCAATGTTTTGATTACTACGAGCCACGTGCTACACACGAGGTTCTGTCCAGGAGCAAACTTCACTTACATGGTGTTCCTCGATCTCTCGCTTGAGAGCCTGCAAAATGCACGATTTGGTCAACTTCACGCTTTCCTAGGCTTAAAAGGATTACAGGCAATCGAGTCCATTACCTCGCCAGCTTGCTTACAGGGTCCACTGCTTAAGAACTTCGATATTAGGAAGTACAACTCTGCAAGCAAATCGACCCAGAATCAAGCACCGTTCCCACCGCTCTGAACGCATCGCAGTGGGTCAAACTTTTGTTCGGCAGAAACGCTATGTCACAGCACCTTTTTCCAGGAGTTCCTGCGTCCCCTTGTCGACGGCACCTGTCGACATCGTTGTTCGGACCCAATAACAATTACTCCATGGCTCTAAGCAGAACAAAACAATCCAGAAGCGCTACAAAGTGCTTACACCGAAGGCAAAATAAAGATGGTCACTTTACAACGACATTGAGCCGAATGTCTCGAGCGAGCGGATGTGCTGCCGATGTGAAACGTAGTTCCGAACACTTTCTGTATTACACCTTATAAATAAAAATAACGAGTGAAAACAAAAATACTAACATTTTACAACGTAAAGTATATAACGTAAAGGCTCAATAAATAAATTATTACTTGAAATTTTGGTCACGCTTGCGCTACCCGTTGCGCAGTGATACCATTTTCGCATGCACCAGCCGCACCGCCGCACCAGCCGTTGGCGTGCGAAGAATTTGTTTGTACCAATCCAGTTGGCATTGCTGGCTCCGAAGCTGGTGTCGTTGCACACTCTGAACCATTTCCTACGTACTGTTCACGCGACGCCAACATATTGTATACGTGAGCATAATCTTAAGTTTATGAATACGCTTTTTCTGAGTGCCTAGAGATTTCCCTTTCGACTCTCGAGGAGGGTCCGTGGTAGCGCCGGTACCATCGGCGTTTCCCCTGATCGGTCCACGTTTTCACTTTCTACCGACACTACAGGCAGCAATGTCTTGGATTCACGAAACAAGATTGACATGGTTACAAGCGGCTGCCGTCCGTGTTCTGAAGACAGGCAAGATACCTACGCACCTCGCCGTAATCATGGACGGAAACCGGCGATTCGCAAAGAAGCAGAACATGCAATGTGTCGAAGGCCACTTGCATGGGTTTGAGAAACTCTCCGAGGTTGGTTTTGGTCTCCCTTGCCATAGAATGTTCGTAATTTTAATCGAACGCGACGCATTAACGTTCGTTGAATTATTCCAGGTCTTATTTTGGTGCTCGGAGCTCGGAATCACGGAAGTGACTGTGTACGCATTCAGCATTGAAAACTTCAAGCGATCCAAGGAGGAAGTGGATGGCCTCATGGACCTTGCCTTGAAGAAGCTGGAATCGCTGTTAAATGAGATGTAAAACGCGTTCCAACGTTTTATGCGGAGCGAAAGCGTTCCACATGCATGGAGGAGTCTCTTACGTTCTCCCTTCTTATTTCCGGGGTACGTTTGAGTACACGAGGTTCATGTTTTGATACGCAGGGAGAAAATACACGAAAAAGGGCTGTGCGTACGTGTCCTTGGAAACTTGTCCTACTTGCCCGTGGAAGTCCAAAAAGTCATTGCCGATGTCGTCTTACAAACACAGCACAACACCAGGTATTTCGGGTAATCCTATGGTTTAACCAGGCACATAGCCAGGATTTTGTTGGGGGGGGGGGGCAGCAAAATGGAAGATTTTGGGGAAGGCTGGGGCCCGTGACTCCCCCCCCCCCCCCCCCCCCCCCCCCCTGGCCCTGGCTACATGTCTGGGTTTAACGATTGCTTTACCTAACGACGTTGTACCTATTGCAGGTGTTACCTGAACATATGCATATCCTACACGTCTCGGGAAGAAATGTGCAACGCAATACAAGAACTGGCTGCCGGTGTTCAAGAGGGTCTTCTGTCTCCCGAGTAAGATTTCTTGTTAATCTTTTTAGGACTGTAGCTTTGATCCAGTCCTCCCAACTTTTCCAGTGACGTCACAGAAGAGTCCCTTAGCCATGCACTGTACAGCCGGAACAGCAAAGACCCTGCCCTGGTCATTAGAACTTCGGGAGAAGTTCGCCTGAGCGACTTCCTTCTCTGGCAGAGCAGCCATTCCGTCTTGGAGTTTGTGTCAGTACTGTGGCCAGAGTTCTCGATATGGCACTTGCTTGCGGCAGTTCTATGGTACCAAAGGCAAGAATCCCTACTTGAGGTGCGTTTTCAACTCTCAACACTCATTTCTTACATCTGGGTGCTTGTTCCACTTTTCGATCCACACTTCCTCTTCCTCACCCATTTCCGGGTCACGTCTTGTCTAGTGAAAGGAAATGCTCTAAAACCCTCATCTTCTCGTGGGTACTTAAAAAATTCTGTAACTAATGGAGGGCTTTAATTGCACCGACGCTTACAACCTTCTGGGGACGAGAACATGTCCTCTCGTCCTAACTAATGAAGAATTGAGATGGCAACAAAGAGTTTTACACTACTTGGAGCCTTGTGGCATGACAGGCGATTACTGCTTAGGGCCCACCTTATTTCTGAAAGTTATAGCAAATGCATGTCAGTTGCAAGTGAGCTCAGCACGATCAGTTACACATTATATGTGACTGCATAGTGATGCCGCATGCCTGTCCATGATACTTAACTTTCCTTTTCCTTTCTCAGATCATTGCCCTGTTCGCTTTTCTAATAGTGACCTTGTTCAACTTCTAAATTTGTGTAAAATAAAAAAGAAGATACCTTTTTATGGAATTGTACCTCAAATGTGATTAGTGTGTAGAATTGAAGATGTACGTGTGGTTAAAGGTGTTGGTTTCATTCCGTCACTCTTTAGGTACTTTATGATTAGCATTAAGTTTATGTAATGAGTGGATCTAGTTACCAAGCTGTCCACAATGATGGTCAGTCTACATAAGAATTGGAGAAGCAATAATAAACATATCTTGCCACAGCACCTGATATTATGACCTACACATTAGGTGTCTGCTAAATCTGTGTATATTCCAACAGGCATTTCACAATTTTTAATGAATTCTGTCATCTTCTATCTTTCAATTAGGTATGCTCTGATTAGACCCTATTAAAGTGCCAGGCTGCGGCTTTTGTTCTTTCAGTGCAAAAGCATTAACTGTCCCATGGAGTGAGCCGACGTCATCAGCTTTGAAGCCGCGCCAAACGGCACTTTAAATCCTTTCTCCAAATTAAGTCAGCTCCCAGCTATGAAACCATGCGGAAAGATTAGCCAAATGGCACCTAGTTTCCCCGATCCCAAAGGAGCAGAGTAAAGCTGATGGATTTTGCCTTCAGTCCCATTGGCTGGCACGCGTCGACGAGGCTCCCATTGGCCGCTGCGTGTCAGTTTCAGTGACTGCCACCCCATGGCGCCGCATGTCTGTCAGCGCGCCAGTAACACTGAACGTCCAAGGTCGGAGCAGCAAGGAAAGGGCGCGCTGTGCCATCGACGCAAATACGCTGCAGACGAAATAAGGGAGCGGAGAAATGACGTGCATGCTTTCGCATTCACAACTTATAAGAAGTGCTTAGGTGTACCTCAAGCCTTTTTTAACCAAGCATGATTATTATTTTTTTTTTTTTCAGCAACTGAGGCAAGAAAATCCTAAAGAAACTTCGCATGAAGAATCCGGGGGCGTGAACCAAGAGGCTATTCAGCAGTTCCTTGAGAATGTAGAAACAAGGTGGCAGAAAAAACTGCACGCCATGAGGCTGGGACAGACTACTCAGAAGTTAGTCATGAACTGTGTGTAAATATCCTATGGTGTGGGGTAGGAGACTACATTCATCAATGTAAAAAAATACTATATATTTTTGTAATAAACATTTTGTTTTGCTTATGTGGAGACTAATTGATGCTGTTTTTAGCATTCATTGCATGCCAGTGGATGATGCCACAACAAGCAAGTGTGGAGTGATTTGTGCACCAGGAAAAACAGGTGCAACACATGTTCTTGCAGCATTACGGCAACGCCAGAGACATTTTGTGAATGCTTACACAAGGCTTGAATCAGTACGTAGTTTCAGAAGTCACAAAACTGCTAGCTGCCACAATTGTATTTTTCTTTCGGTATAATTGTTTACCATAAACGAGATTTTCTTTCCATTTAGATCCATGAAATTGCTCATTTTCACTTATAATTTTGGATGGAAGACTGTGTTATCAATGCGTATTACAAAACCTGAAAACAGTCTACTTTTGACTTCCTTCACTCTGGGCACATTATGCTGAAATTCTTTCCTTCAATCATATTGTGAAAATGCATGTCATTGCAATGCAATGACTCAAGAATTCCAACACCATGACGTAGATGTCATCTCTTACCTTGTTGGTTTGCACTGTGAAGACTCCATGCACAATGTTGTGAAAGTGCTTCACTTCCAACACCTGCAGTGTGGATCAGCCTTCATAAATATTGGTTTCATTATGGCTTTCTGTTCACATAGAGATCAAGTTCAATGGAAATAGCAGAAATTTCACCAACTGCTGAGTATGGGACCATATTTAAATAGAAAGAAAAGAAATGGGTTATGTGAACTGAAGGGCCGACGACCAGACGCAAGATTCTGCAAGGCAGATTTTCCTTACTCTGGGGGAGGAGGAAACGGGCAACTGTGGACAGGGTGGAAGGGGAAGATGTGAAAGCTGGGGAAAAGTGGAAAGTGCGAACTGGGTCGTTGATTTCTAAGCAATAGGAAGGTTAGCTGGCCCTGATAGGAGGCAGAGCCGTATATTGGGAGAGTTTGGCCAGTGGGTGTGGCGACGAAGGCGCCGGAGAGGAGAAAAGTAAATGAAAGGGAGGAGAGCTCCGAAGGAGCGAGAGAGAAAGAAGGAAGCAGAGAGGAGACGACCGCCATTTTTTAGTAACACTGTCGGAAAAGAGCACTGCTGAGGCTACGTGTCGTCTGCTATGGGCCGACTTCTTTTTCTCCTGAATAAAAGTTTGTGGCCATACGCCGAAAAATCTTCATTTATTAGCTTTTTAACCCACCGAGGAATAACAGAATGTCATTTTCTTGCCAAAGCCAGCGATATAAATGGCAATAATGAGATTTAGATGCCGATCCCACGCATTCCGCCGGGAGAATGATCGAAGATGGCGGCCCTCCCCACTCAGGTGGGAGCAGCCGGGTGTTCACGCGCATGCGCTCATGCCTCTCGCTCTGCGCCGCGTGCTGATTGGCTCGCTTGGGAGGAGAGTGTTACGGCGGCGAGATCATAGACTGACCAAACTCTCCCCGTATACGGCTCTGATAGGAGGTGACTTGCTTCTCTGTTTTGGGGGAAACTTGGCCAGAGAAATAAGACTGCTACCCTGGGATGCCTTTAACTTCGGTCATGCAATGATTGCACAATGCCTTCAGTACATCTGTGTAAAGGGCACTCTCTTTCAGGCTTTACAGATGGCTTTTAAAAAAGCCATGAAAGCTACGCTAATGTAATCTGCGCAGGCAAGTTATACGACCAGGACATAATATAGAGCTAATCATCACGATCAGTCGGATAATTAACTAATATTTGTTAATCACTTTTTTTAATTGGGAAAAACAAACATGGTTCAAATTAGAACCTTGCCGAGCATCATCCAAAAATACTCAATCAGAAAAGCCTAGCAACATTTGGAGCACGTGGTAAGCGCGGCGGCGCATTAAAGTCGCCACTCTTCAACAGAAACAAGGTTGGCGGTGTGCAAATGCCGATGATAACACCACCATGCACTTATTATCGGTGTTTGAAAACTCGACAAAGGGCATACTAAGTGCTTCTTTCCAACTCCACCCTGCTAGCCCAGTTTATCCTTGTCAGCCGCATCTCCAAGCTCCCCGGCACAAAGCGGCGAAGCCCATCCTACGTGGAGCACAAGTTCGTCTGCTTCTTGCACAGGGGTTGTAATGATGTCGGAATGCCAAGCTCTTATTGGCCGATTGAGAAAAAAAAAAAAATAGTGGGTAGACCTCGAGGTGTCTTCTAGCACTGAGGTCTACTTACTATCCTTTCAATCCAAGCCAATCGGAGCTCGGCGTCGTTCTGACGTCACTGTAACTCCTGCACAAGAAGCAGACGACTTGCCCTCCGCATAGATGCCTCCTTCTGCATTTATGTAGCTAACAATCACCTAGCCCCCCAGCCTTTCACGCTCACCTCCAAATTGTGGGTTGGCACTTGCTTGGTAATTCGTGGTTCACGTCGCTACCTAAAACAGCAGACAACAGGCAGGCGAGAAAAGAAAACACAGCCGAGGGGTAAACTTCGATGAGGAAGCCATTTTTTTTATTCCTCCGCGTTTTCATTACTCTAGGGCGCATCACGGAAACCACACACACACACTGACGTCGGCCACGTCTCTTCAGCTCGGCTGGATCGTCACCCGTTTGCTCTCCGTTTTAAGTTGGCGGGGCAAATAGGGGGCTTGGGAAGGGTCGCTTAAATTAGACAGAAACGCCGGCAGGGCTTATGCTGGCATCTGGCTACGTCTGAAAACGTACTGCTGTCAATAAATCGTCTGGAAGTCTGCAAGAACCTTTCGCATCCAGTCGGAGAAGTACGAGAATGCAAGCCTTTGGCCCGAGGCCTCGAATTTTGAGCAGTCGTGTGATTACTCGCGTCGGAAGGGACGCATCTTGCCGAAGTGAGAGAGTTCTTGCGGATTTCCGGAGGATCCTGCAGCTGTCCGACTTGTCGAACAAGTCCTGTCATCGACAACAAGCGTAGTAATAGTAATAATAATAATAATAAAAAAAATCTGTGACCTCTCGAGGCAGGATAGGACGGGACTAGAAAAAAAAAAGGTGTGTGGTTGGAGGGGGAGTCTGTGTGTAGACGTGACGGAACAACGACATGAGATCATTACCCTGATAGTGAGCGCAATAAGCAGTACGCAAAAAGGAAAAGGGTATGGGGGGCATGCGAGGGAAAGCTTCTGCTAATTCTGCCTCGGCACAAAGAAAAATAAAGTGCCTCATTTTGCACAAACTGTTGAACACAACTTTTGCAATGACTCCAGGAGAATTCCACCCCCTAAAAAAAGAAAACGCAAAAAAAAAAAAAAAAAAAAAAAAAAAAAAAAAAAGAAGAGGGAGTGGGGGACCATGTCTTGGCACAAACTTCCATAATAATAATGATAAAAAAGCTTTGCCCTTCCTTTCAACTGGTTGATTGGTTGATTTACAGTTGTGCTTCAAGGAGGGGGCAACGAAAAAAAAAAAAAGTGGATGACTGATGTGAAAAAAAATAAGTTACTAGTTTGAACGACCACCAGGCAAACAAGAATCGGGATTTGAATGGGAAAAAAGGAAAGGACTAAGTCACACATGATGCATGAAAGGGGAAGGAGAGAAGCAGCCGAAGGTGAGCATTTGCTTTTCCCGACGAAAGAGATGTATGCAGCAACCTAAAAGGTGGCACTTCAAACCGGGAGCGAGGAATGAAGAAAATAAGCTCTACAAAGTGCCGCTTTTCGTTCGACCTCCGCTGGATACCGGCGGACGGCGGTGCAAAAACAAAAAGCCAGGCCAAGCGCCGTTCAATATTTGTCCGATTTCTTTTCGCATTGCAGGAGAAACGAAAATCTGCGCACCCCAAAATGCAAACCAAACAGCCGCCTCCCAAGAACAAAAAAATTTAAAAAAAAAAGAAAAGGACATTTGGGGTTCTTGGGAGGACAGGGGGAACACAATGAGCAGTGGTGGTGGTGGCAATGGTGGTGATAGATGGTGACAGTAAATGGTGATCGTCGCTGCTTCCCCTCCCCTCCTTCCTGGGGAAAGAGGGAGAGTCGAGAAGCATTTCTCTTCCCCCCCCCCCCCCCTTCAAACCGCACGCACACGCACAAACACACGGGGGCATGCCCTCGAGACACGCATGCACACAACAAGAGGAAAACCCTTGCCTCCCGACCGGGAGTTACTGGAACGAGCGAGGGGAAGGGCAGGAACAGAAGGGAAGAAAAAAGAAAGAGCAGGGGAAGGGTTCAGCAGTGTGTCTTCTTTCGGGCAAGTCCGTCCGTCTGTCGCTAGTGGTCGGAGGGGACCATCTTGGGGGTGTAGACGGAAGCATTGGGGTCCAGGTTGGACTTTGGGAGTTTGTCCTCCCCACCGGCTGAGCTGTTGTTGTTGTTGCTCGGCGGGTTCGGCGAGGACACAGTGATGAACTTGGGGCTGTACAGGAGGGAGGACACCAGGCCCGAGTCCAGGGACACGGCCGGGTACGCCGTGCTTGCTGGCATCACCGCCATCACCTCGGCGATCTTCGTCTTGAGTTCGTCCACCTCCTTCTCCTTGTGCGTCAGCATCGCTGGAGGACCAACACAAATGTCCTGTAGGTGATCTGCATACCCGGAAATCTGGGCAGCGGTATGGAATGCTTCGGAAGCAAACTGTGCCAGGAACGAATTTACAGGGAGGGGAGCTCCGAGGGAAGCTTTTTTTTTTTATGGAAAAAACAACATAAATTAGCTTTCTTTTTAGGAATAAATGTTTAGTTTTTGGTGAGATGGCAAATATTAGGTCCACAAAATAGATATGGGCAACGTATTGCCCGTGATGTCACATTCATACGTGATGTCAAATTTCCCTGCAGACCCCCCCAAATCTGACCTATAAACACACGCACACTCATTCTCAAGCACAATTTGTTTGCAACAAAAACTGTGCAGAGTAGAACTGCAATAATTCATTATAAATTTAATCAGAATACTAATGATTCGCAGAATTTCCACGGTCCAGCAATCTCTTATAAATATATGACCTTTCACGGTTGAAGGCGTGTACGTGTTTGCAAGTATGGCTTCAGGGTGCCGCCATCTTGCTCGGTTGGGGTGCACACCTTAGGCGAGCAAGATGACCAGTGCCCTGAGGCTGTACTTGCAAGCGTGTATTTGTGACTCCAGCAAACTATGGGGGCGCGGAGCGCTGGTCAGGCAAAATGGCAGACGAAAGGAGGTTCTTTTCGTTGTTCAGCATGCGGACCACCATAACTGCAGCATAAGATTGATGTTATATATGAAAGCAAAAGCAATTTTTCGACGGTAAAAAGCTTCTAGTCAGTGCGTAAGAATGACACGGCGGAAGCATAAAATAAATGACTGGAAACAATGTTTGTTTCTATGCTGCCTATGAGAACCAACCAGCGATAGCACACGACAGAGTCAAAACGGCCTCCTCTCCTGAGCTTCTCGGCGTTGCCGCTATGCGGCGTTGATTTCATTGGAGTTGCCAATACGAGGTGGTAACTAAATGTAGGATTTAGAAGAAATCTATAGTATGGCCCAGCTATGCCTAGTAATCAAGGTGGTTTAGAAATTTTGATGTTACACGCAAATAATATTTCTTGAAGCTTGAAAACGTGTTGACAAAGATCAGGAAGCACAGAATGTGTCCCGCACGCCGTGCAGGTGCTTGGGACACTAGCAGAAACCACGCTACATGTGTGGTTTGTGCTAGATTTTCATTGTGCTCCACATATGTTAGCCAGGGCGAGACGGAGTGTACGAGTGTGAGGCACTGCCGCACTGGTGCAACTTTATATGGCCTTCGAGCATTCTGTGACGTCAATGAGGCAAGCGGTCACATGATATGAAGTCACACCTCTCTTACTGGCATGTTTTGCTGGGAGCCTAATCCTTCCAGAGCAGCTGTGCTATGTAGAATCAATACTTTGGCTTGAGCTAGTTCGTTCATGTTCACCTAAAAGGTTCAAATGTGCAAAAACACAAAAACGGAGAAGGAACACATACAACATAAACGAATATGAGCAATAATGCGCATAAATCATTAGGAGATCATGGCCTATAATATATTTTGGCCCCCATACTAGCCACACTTCTATTCTTAAGATTTTACAGCAAGTTGCAGTTGTCACATTAGCATTTGTCTAGTTCTTTTCCGTTCTTTTTCTGGGTACCGGGAAAAGAATGGGAAACAATCCGTTCATCTGTGTGAAAGAACTGAAAAGAATCTGTGCATCTGTGTGCTCCATCCTGCTCTGGAGGACTGCATTTTTCTTAAAATACCTATGCAAAAGAAACGAAATATAACTTTTTTTTTTTTTAGCAGCATGAACGGGAAGAGGACGTCATAAAATACATTTACAGTTGAATCTCGTTAATTTAAACTTACGGATAATTCAAACTAACATGCAGGTCCCATCCTGTGCACCTCTATGGCATTAAACTCCCGGTAATTTAAACTTTGCTTTATTCAAACAAATTTTCGGTCCCCCTCGAGTTTGAATTAATGAAATTTGACTGTATAATGATAATAAAAATAAAAAATTTAGACCGAGAGCTTTATTTACGGCGCAAAACTAAATTGTAGTCGGCGCCCACGGGAGCCTGTGGAGAAGTGGCAACTAGCAGCCATGTGACCGGCCATTAGTCACGTGGTGCTTGTGCTCTTTCGGGTGCTTCCTACGGGCTCTAACAGTTACCGTATTTGCACGAATATAACGCGACCACGAATATAACGCGAGGACAGTTTTTGATGCGCTCCAAAAGAAAAAAAATATTATTACTATTATAACGCGAACCGATGCCGCGTCAATTTCTCGCACTCGGGGGCACAGCAGAAGTGAAAAGTCAATGGAAATAGAAGAAATATCAGTTTATGTTTTGACTGCACTCATCCTCACTGCTCAGGTCCTTCCGTTTACAATCCACTTGGCGACTACGCAGGTATGCAGCAGCACGGCACCTGCTTGCCTGGTAGTTCTTTTTTCTTCCGTGGGAGCTCCTCGGCAGCCCACAATCCAAACAAGGCGCGGAAGCAGAAGCACCAACACACAAACACCAGACCACTCTGGAGCAGAAACTAAACAATGCGCTGGCAGAAAAAAAGACTGCTGAACCCGATACACGATCACACTTCTTGTTCTGATCCCTGTTCGTAAACAAATGCCTCGTGTTGCACGATTGCGTAAACGCGGTCAGTGGTCTTGGCTTGGCTTGTGTTGACTTGACTTGGCCCGGCTTAACTTGGCTCGAATTGGCCGGCGCGCGCGCGTGCGGCGTGCGCGCGTTGTAAAAACACAAAAGCGATAAAAATGCTTTTTTGTTTTCTATTCGCCCCTTCACGTGGCCCCATGGCTAGAAAATGCGCCTCCACACCCCCACTTCTTTTTCCATTGGATCTTTTGCATTGAGCCAGAGGGATGACTTTCTCCTCTGGCTTTCTCCAGACTCGCGCGCCTTGTGGCTGAACTCGATTCCGAATATAACGCGAGGTGCGTTTTGGAGCACGTAATTTCGAAAAAAAACTCGCGTTATATTCGTGCAAATACGGTACTTATTAACCTTCACTTTCTCGTTACACTTCTTTTTTTAACAAAATATTTTGAAGTTTGAGAAACAATAAGTATAAAAAATCGTCCCTTCTGTTTTGGCTCGTACGAAAGCTTTACCATTTCCAGTTCGAAGGGGCACAATGTCACATGTTTTAGTTTTTAACATGTCAGTTACCCCACAGCGACGCCGCTGCTTGACGAACACCAGGACTGCCGCCCTTCATAGAGCAGCGACGTAGCTTTGGGGGAACTGACATGCTGGAAACTAAAACATGCAACACCGCGCCTCTTTGAACAGAAAATGGCGAAGCTTTTGTTTGTTCTCGTACAAGTCAAAACGGAATTGACAATTTTCTGATACTTGTTGTTTCTAAAACATCAAAAGATTTTGTCAGAAAAAAAAGTGGAACAAAAAAATTAATATTAATAAGTAACTTTTAGCGGCCGTAGAAAGCTCCCAAAAGAGCACAAGCACCACGTGATTAGTGGCCAGTCACGTAACCGCTAGTTGCCACTTTACCGCAAGCTCCCGAGGGTGCCAACTACAAATTCTTTTAAAATCGTAAATATGGCTCTAAAATTTTAATTTTGTCTTAAAGGCCAACGTACATTTCGCGCTTTCCACTTTTGCCCGCCTCCTCCTTCCTTATATCCTCTCCACTTTTTACCTTGCAGCAACTTGGCTCCCCTCGCAACTTAGGAGAGGGGGAGCGCTAAGAAGATTATCTTCCTTGTAGAAAACCGAAGTTCTACGACGGCCTTTAAATTTATTTTACGACATCCTTTTTCCATCCAGCAGTTTAAAACTTTTTTTCTTCCTTTGCATACGTTTTTTAAGCAAATGCTTGCGATGCGGCGAAACAAGATACATAAGATCGCAATCCACTCTGCGGGTGTTGCTCCTCTGCGGTGCACCGGTGCAAGGTGAGAATTACCAGTGACGGAACTAAACAAACCCGCCCAGACAGACCTGAAAGTACTATGCGAAATATTGCAGAACTTCAGTGCTGACAGATATGAAAAAGAAAAACAGACCAGAGAGAGTTCTGCAGTTTCAAAGCCACAGTGTATCTGAGGCTAAACTAGCTGCTGAATCGTTATTTACTTTCTAGTCCCTCTATTGACAACATGGTCGCCCTATTGATACAGTCAAACCTGTTTATAACGAATGGAAGGAAATGCTACGATCAGTTCTATATAGCAAGTAATTCGATATAGCAAAAACCATTTACAACGAACTTCCACGATGCGTTCATTGTAAGGTGAAAGCTTCTCTTCCTTTCCCATCTCTTCGCTTCCACCTTGTAACAAAGTGCTGAGCTTTTTTTTTTTTTTTTTTTTTTTTTTTTTTGTTTTGCGTGCAGAGAATCTTCTTTTAGCTTTCTCCCCTTCTGAATCGCTTCTCTTCGCTCAATTTTGTTCGCAACTAGAGCTTTTGGAATTTTTTTTCTTTCCCACTTTTTTTGGGTGGAGAAGGGACAGGCTAGAATATGACTGTTAGTGCGTTTTTCGAAGCCTTCCCGGAGGAAAAAAGTTTGATATAGCCAATATGTTATTCGTCATAAAAAGTACTTTTTACATGCATTTTTATTTAAATTTTCCGTGAGTTCGATATTGACAATAATTCGCCGTACAAGGGGTTCGTTCTAAATGGGTTTCACTGTATAGCATTCCCAGTCAAGTGTGGCACTACATGTCCACGAACTTGGCCTTTGCTTCGAGTAACAACACTGCTAGTCCATTTTGTCACTACCATGCAGAATATAATGAGCCAGAGACAGTAATGCCTACCCAACATTCTAGATGGATGCCCATTGGCACAGGAACTCCATATTTTGTCCCAAAGTGAATGAAGGGGCAACAAGTAGCTGCTAGATGTTAACACTGTGTGAGGCTATTGATTCCAGCATTTAAATTTAAGTGCAGGGTTCTTAGTCTTGACCGGAGGGAAGTGGAAAAAAAGGAATGACCATAAACAGGAGCAACTCACCCTGACAGATCTCCAACTGGCGCTTGGCTTCGCCCAGTGCCGAGAAGAGGTCGAGCTTTAGCCTCGTCTCGGCACTGAGCGAGTTTTCGAGGTGGGTGTTCTTGTCCTGCATTGCTGCCAGCGCCGACATGAGCACCTCCGTGTCGCCGATAGAGTCCTTGTACTGCCGCAGCGACTGGAAGTAAAAAAAAATTCACATTTTTAGTGCTAAGACTTGTCTATAACATACTGCAGGTCAGATGTGCAATCAGCACGGCGGGTCCTTGATCGTTTGCATCCCAGGGAACGCCTCTCCATCTTTACAGATAGCCAACAAACGCCTGCCCGTCTCAGCATTAAAGGGGTACGGAATCGAAACCTAAAGTATCACCAAAACGCTTCGAAACTAGTGAAATATGATCCATGATAACCGTCAATGATAATCACACGCTTGTATTTTCAGTGGATGGCTGTATTTTTCGTTTCAACTGACAGATTCTGGCGAGCACTTAAAACTCAACCATCGAGGCTGCGCAATACATCTCGGGATATTTGCCCGTGACTTCACGCTCGCAACGTCATGGACCCATAAACGCCCCCAGGGTACCGTAATTACGAACGTCGTCACTTGGTGGCGTCAGCTTTATCGTCAACGTGTTACAATCCCACCAAGTGGGAATACCTGAGGTATGGTGTACTAGAACCAAGAGGTGTGCCAAGCACTGGTCGCTTCCGGGCGCCCCCATTAGATACTGACGTGCATCAGACATTCCAATGAAGCTCAGCCTCCCAACCACCAGGTGGCATTGAGAAATCGTTTTATTCGTTTTAAAATCGTTTTTCTTGCGTTTATTAACTGAAGACTGGTGTTTCTGAGCTGCTGTCATAAAGAAGACCACGTCTACACAAAGAAATAGGCACTAAAATTTCGGTTCCGTACCCTCTTAACGCAATAAAGCACTGCAGAGGCCTACATAATTTTGTATACATTAATGCACATAATAGACAGTGTTTCGCACATATTGTAGTCATGCATCAATAGGTGGCTCAGTTGCACTAAAATAGCACTCAAGCTGCAAGAACACCTTGGTTAGGGATGGCCCAGAAAATTTGGGAATTTGGGGAACCCCTGAAGGCGCTCGATAGAAACCACCGGGTTCCGAGGAACCCGGTCCGAGAACCCAGGGGATACAGGATGCCACGTCGCAAGTTACACTCACTCGATACAACGTGGCTAAAATTTGATTTAAAATAAGGTGCAGGCAATGTAACAACCAAACATCTGTGAATATTTGGAGTTTCAAATACGATTCAAATACTTTTTACATTTGATGAAAAATATTCTTATCTGGCGTTTTGTGATGCAGTTTGCATCTTCGAGCTAAAGAGCCGTAAACAATGAGTGCCTAGGCACACATGACAATGAAGACATGGACCTGGGTGAAGCCAAACGCAAGTTGGAGATCTGTCGGGGTGAGTTCCCCCTGTTTACGGTCATTCCTTCTTTTCCAGTTACCTCCAGTGGAGACTAAGAACCCTGCACTTAAATTTAAATGCTGGAATTAATAGCCTACTGCAATGTTAACATCTCATGCAGTGTTAACAATGACATCCACAATTATGCATAAACTTAGAATGAAAAAAAAAAAAACAAAAAAACTTTGCCCCCTACTTCACTGGTCAAACAGAAAAAAGGCAAAAAAAATGACCGCATCTTTACGTGGCGAATGATGTTGATTGGGGCGAAGCTCTGGTGGTGCTGATGATACTGATTTTGCTCATAGGTAGTGCTGATGGTGCTGATTTTTTTTTTATTGCTCAAAGGTAGTGCTGAGTTCCAGGTTGCGTTTCGACTTCATTATTACTGCTTTATGGTCGGTGAAACGCAGAGCCAGCGGTTCTTCTAGCGGATCAGCTTGGATCCACTAGAGGCCGTGGGAACGCATCTCCACTGCTTAAGGGGGAACACTGGTCTTGGAGGTTTTTTTCTTATTCTATAACCAAACTCAATGAAACTGCACAAGGTTGTTCAGCTTTTTTTGCTGATTTCATATATCTGATAATTTCTTCATTCAGTAGAATTGTCCTGAAGATAATTAAAACTTGCCGGCCTTTGTTTGGAGGAATGATAGGGAAAAAACTGCTCAACAAAATATCCTTTTTAACACATGGTCACATACTATGAAGTGTAAAGAATACAATGTTGAAAGTACTTTTAAAATAAACCCATTATTAGTGATTTTACACCATATTGAAGTTCAGTGCTCAATGCATGGCTAACAAATAATAAAACAAAAGATCAAATAAAAAATTTTCTAGACTTATATTACAAAATCTGCTCTCAACATTGTATGCTTCACACATTTAGCAACCCATTTCAAGAAAGGTTATATTTCTGACTGCTGTAGATGCTGAGATATCCCTCCTGCAAATTTTCAACGAGTCCCAAAATTGTGTTACGTGAAAACAATGTTTTAGAGTCAACTTTAATGCACATTCAGCTTGCATAGACATTATGAATTGATTTATAGCTTAAATATTCATCCACGAAATTAGAAGCTTGGTAGATTCAGAAGAACAACAGCCATCGCAGTTTTCAAAAGAATGCAGTTTTAGGAAGTTTTTGGCTCCAAAGACCCATGTCCCCCCTTAAGTCAGCAGTCCATGTCAGAAAGAGAATGTGTGGTATGGAATGTGGTTATATACGCATTTGAGCATTTGAACGCAGCGCCCTCTCGTCTATAAACGTTGAGCCAATGCATGCAAAGTTTAACGAGATTATATACGCATTTGAACGCAGCGCCCTCTCCTGTATAGACATTAAGCGGCTACATGCAACGTTTCATCCATGACATCCCCAGCTCTTGAGCTACTACCACACCTCAGAGCCCCCTCCTCGTCCCGCAGTCGTGGCCGATTGGTTAAGGCGATGGACTAGAAATCCATTGGGGTCTCCCCGCACAGGTTCGAATCCTGTCGACTGCGCAAACATTTTTTAAATTTTTTTTTAAGAAGACAGATGGGATGGCAACTGATGTGAGCACGGACGCCGGACAAGGCTAGACCCTAAGGAGCTTCGCCCCTAAAAAAACAAACTTTCAGCCTTTCTACTCGGGTGAAGAAGGAAAACCAGCAAAGCTGTACTATGATGGGACGACCTCAAGGATGCCGCCTAGAGGACAACGTCTAGGACGACCTTCAGGACGACTTCTAGGACGACCTCAAGGACGATGCCTAGGACGACTTCAGGTACGACGTCTAGGACGACCTCAAAGACGATGCCTAGGACGACCTCAGGGACGACGTTTAGGACGACCTCAAGGACAATGTCTAGGACGAGCTCAACTACGACCTCAAGGACGACCTCAAGGATAATGTCTAAGGCGACCTCAAGGACGACTTCTAGGAAGACCTCGAGGACGACCTCAAGGATGACTTTTAGGACGACCTCAAGGAAAACCTCGAGGACAACTTCAACAATGATCTCAAGGATGACGTCTAGGACAACCTCAAGGACAACTTTTAGGACGACCTCAAGGACGACGCCTAGAGAAATTCAGCCTTTCCACCCTGGTGAAAACCAGAGTGGAAAGGTTGCCACCATCTATGAGTGATGGCGGCAACCAGTCAAACCGGCAAGCCAGTTGTCTGGTTGCCGCCGTCGCTCATAGATGGCGGTAGCTGTCCAGAGTTCTGTGTCGATGTTTATTTGGTGACGGACACGAAACTAGGAAAACTAGCCCTTAACAGCTCCGCTTTTAAAAGACAAAAGAGAACCTTCAAAGAATCATGGTGTAATACGCCAAAACAACAGGGACAAAAAAGCGAAGATAGAACCAGACAGGACGCGGCGTAACTTTCAACTGAATTGTTTATTTGGATGACAGAATTTAAAAAAAATTATAAAATATAAAAGCAGGCACACTTGGCAGAACACCAAAGATATGGTCTAAAAACACCCCCCCCCCCTCAAATGCCAGCGTCATTGGTTCCTCAAATAGTAGAATTCTTTATCAGTCAATGACAAAAAGGGAGCGCTTATACAAGTATTGTCATGGTGGGACCTAATCAGAAAGGCTTCATGAATTTCTCTTGCCGTTTTTGTTTTGTAACGGCCCATGACACAGGTGTCACCAAAGATGGGGCTGCACTTTTCAGAGTTGGGCCCGCAATCGCAACGGTCACAGTGGACCGCTAAGTGGCCAGACGGGGACTGCCTGATCGCCAACGCATGCTCTCTGGCCCTATCATTAATGCACCTCCCCGTCTGGCCAACGTACACCTTACCACATGACAAGGGGATTTTGTACGTGACACTGGTGGCGCACTCGCGGAACTTAGTGACATGTCGTTTTTTGCACGACTCTTGTGGCACACCCGATTCCTCTCCTAATCTGCTTATCCTTTTACACAGTGAAGATAGTTTATTCGGTGCTGAAAAAACGACTGGTATGTCAAAGCGATGGGCCACCTTCTTCAGATTGTGGGACATCTTGTGAATGTAAGGCAAGACAACAGGCCTACCTACCCTCTTGGGAGCCCTTTCGCATACTGCGCTGTTGTCTTTTGGCTGTTGTCTAAGCTGTACGTTGGCCAGACGGGGAGGTGCATTAATGATAGGGTCAGAGAGCATGCGCTGGCGATCAGGCAGTCCCCGTCTGGCCACTTAGCGGTCCACTGTGACCGTTGCGATTGTGGGCCCAACTCTGAAAAGTGCAGCCCCATCTTTGGTGACACCTGTGTCATGGGCCGTTACAAAACAAAAACGGCAAGAGAAATTCATGAAGCCTTCCTGATTAGGTCCCACCACGACAATACTTGTATAAGCGCTCCCTCTTTGTCTGACTGATAAAGAATTCTACTATTTGAGGAACCAATGACGCTGGCATTTGAAGGGGAGGGGGGGATGTTTTTAGACCATATCTTTGGTGTTCAGCCAAGTGTGCCTGCTTTTATATTTTATAATTTTTTTAAAATTCTGTCATCCGAATAAACAATTCAGTTGAAAGTTACGCCGCGTCCTGTCTGGTTCTATCTTCGCTTTTTTGTCCCTGTTGTTTTGGCGTTTTACACCATGATGCAAAACCAACTAGCCCAACTAGCCATCCTTATCTTCAAAGAATGGTGATATGTATGTACTGCACAACCTCTGACCACACAATCGACCAGTCAACATTTTTACTGGTTTCTTTCGAGTTGGGAAAATGATGAAATATTATACCTTACATTTTCTGTCCTATTTACGAGACATGTGTTGTTTGTTTTAGGTGAAAGAATACAGTTGAGATTGGTTATAATGAAGTCGGTTATAACGAAATAGTGGCTACAGCGAAGCGATCCCGATTTCTCATTCCCTTCTGCACTTCGTTATAACTGAAGTCGGTTATAAAGAAATACCGGATATAGCGAAGTGATTTCCGTTTCCTGTTGACTTCGTTATAACCGGTCTCGACAGTACGTCTTGTGGTGGATTGAAAAGGAGTCAAGTGAGCTTGAGTGAGGAAATATTTATGGGTAAAATTAAAAGAGCTGCTAACTAGCAAGGACAGGACAAGTCATCCTCTCTTTCCTCATACATGCATAACACATTGCTAGCACTTCGAAACTTTCAGTGCTTTGCTTGCCCAAAAAAATCAACTCCTTATCTAAAAAGAAAATGTTTGTTTTTAGATAAAGTTTGTTTAAATTGATGTTTGCTTCAAGCATGCACGACTGCATCAAAAGCACCGTAATGCAAAGACCAACTGAATAATTTTTAGGTTTAACTAGCTTGACGTGTGATCTGCCAGGCGAAGGAAAGTAAAAGCCGATAGAGTTCATGCGAGTAACTGGAGTCAGCTGACCACCTCAAATATAATTTTGAATAAAAACCCAGTAAGAAATACCTAACACTGCCTGTTTTTCTTAGTTTATTGCGAAATTGCTTTTCAATAGGATTTTTAATTTAAGATTCAAATTTTCTAATAGTAGTTTTGAATAATATGCTATTCAATATTCGTTTCAAGATGAACAGCAATATCCTTATTTTTCAAAGTATTATTCGTAGCAGGTTAGTCTCGTTGAGTGCGCTTCTTAGCTAACATCGGTGCACTGCAACACCCGCCAAGCTTGCATCCGCGAGTGTTGCTTCTCTGCACTGCACCGGGGCTCGGTAAGAAGCGCGCTCAACGGGGCTCACTTGTCGTGATCAACACTTCGAAAACATGAATATTGCAGTTGTGTACTTAAGAGAAACACTTGCTCTCAAAGCGGGATGGTGCACATGTGTGCCTGGTGCATTTAAAGAAAAACAGAAACTTTGTGAACGCTGATATTTACGTTGCAGTAAAATTTCCCAAATTAAACTATGGCTATTCTGCAAGAGTATATGTTAGGCAGAAATGCCCTGGCAACCTGCATTCATCATTCGTAAGTCTCCTTTTTATTTTAATTTGAAATTGAAAAAAGGATATCTGCATGTAGCAAGATGATTTTGAAATCCCGTCAATTAGGGAAAGCTGGGCATCTCTATAGGCTTCATTTAATGTCAAATGCATCATTTACTTGGCATTCCAGTATAGGCATTAGAATTTCTAAGGCCACAGTCTATAAATACAACTAGATTAAAACTAACTTAACTTAAAAACGGACAAATGAGAGCTCGAGAACAACCTTCACAAGTTCAGCTGGATTTTCGTTTAAGTATGGTGCAGTAGTGAAAAACTTGGAGAAACAATTCAATATTTGATTTGAAAATAATCAGCCAAAACCACTATTTGCTTTGAACTTAAAGTTCACTATTTGCACATGCTTACTTAATTTTTCACTAAAACAAGACCTTTTTCTTTCGAAATCAGTTGTTTTTCGCATGTTGTTTTCTAACTTCCATTGGTTCTTGAGCAATTCTTTTCGGTGTAAATAAATGAGGTTGCTTCATTTACATTCTTGTTGGCAAAAAGCTAGCTCAGTATCTTTGCAAAAATGAAACAGACGAACAACAATAACCCTAGCTTTCCTAAGCACTAAACAATGAATTTGCATACCTGTGCCTCCCGCTCCATGGCTCGTAGCTGATCCTCACGAACCTTGACGTCCCTCCTCAGTTGCCGCACATCGTTTTCTAGATCTCTCCGCCGCACTTTGCAGCTGTCTGTGCACTCGCTCCTGCACACACGACGGAAGAGAATGACCCCAGAAAAACCGTGGGTCACTAACGCGAAAGATGCAACAGCTGCGTCAATGCACGTCCTACCGTACACTGCCCGGTCAAAACAGGCATTGACAACATTAGAACATGCAATCTCCACAAGCACATTGCTTGCAAGCCATCCAGATTGAGAAGCATCGAATGGAAATACTGAAGGCGAAAAGTTGTTGCCTTTCTTCCATCCAGTTTAATTTTGGCGTACCTGCTTCCACGACACTCCCGTGGTCTCAGGCTTCGAACTGGAGATACTTTATAGAGCATCTCCATCCGATGATGTGCTCTCGTCCTCCAAATTCAGTTCTAAGAAGCGCTGAATTTTTGAACCCAAAGAGCCGGCACTCCAAATGCCACTACACAGGAGTAGCCGACTCGTGAAGCGACTATCTCGCATGGTATCACGAGTACGGAACGTCTAATTTTGGAAGTATAAATAGACCCAGCAAGGTGAAACAGGGTGCGCACCAGACTTGGGAAGTAATTTGTTACAAGTAACGGATTACTTGTAATCCATTACCTTTTTAAGTAATTTTGTAATTGCACAAGTTACTTTTTTGTGGCAATAATTTGTAATGTAATCTCGTTACAAATATTGGTAACAAAATACTTTAATTACTCGTTACAGTTTAAAAATATGAATCTAGTACAGAAACTGGAGAAATATGAGTAGGCAATTCAGCAGCATAAAGATAACAAGTTCAGCAAAATAGAAAACAGAGTGAAGAAAAAATGTTCAGCCTTTCCGCTCTCGTGAAGAAGGAAGACCAGCGGAGCTGTACTCGATACACTGTGCTTCTTCTTCGTCGTTGTCTGTTTTTCGCGCTGTTTCCTACGATGAATTCCCATTCAATGGGGGGCGCCCAACTATCAATTCTTCTATTATAGCTGGAAAGGTTGCCGCCATCTACGAGCGACGGCGGCAACCATACTGGTTGTGTGCTTGCCGCCATCGCTTATAGATGGCGGTAGCTCTTCAGGTAAATTTGTGTCCACATACACGGACACGATCCTGGGGAACCTAGCCCTTAAAGGGATGCTGAACCGAAATCTGGATTCCCCAAAACACGCGGCTAAAGCGTGCAACGGGATGCTACAAACACCAAAACATCACTCATACAGTGATATCTCGATCGGATGACCGTATTTTTAAAAAAAAGAGGCGCATTTGGCAGGAATGTTGACATCATGTCTTCCGAGAAGGAGAGGGAACGGCCTCGCGTCTTCTCCGCCTCGCGGCCTTGGGGGAGCGAAGCGAAGAGAGGAGGAAACTAGGTATCTTGACGTCACGCGCCTCGTCGGCCTGGTTCAATCTCGACTTCTTTTTCCAAAAATACGGCCGTTCATTTGAGATATCGCCTTACTAGTAGTGTTGTAGGGATTGTAGCATACCGCCTACATCTCCAGCATTGTTTTTTTTTAAATCCAAATTTCGGTTCACTATCCCTTTAACAGCTCTGCTGTAAAACATAACAGGAAAAAAAACACAATTTTTTTAATGACCAGTTGCTAGTATTAGAAAATGTGCAAGGCATATACAAAATATGTGAAAGACAAAGATAAAAGATAAAGCGCCAAGTAGGCGTTGTCTTCCTGACCTAGCGGAGGCAGACACTGCCACTGAGCATGCAGTGGCAGCGTCTGCCGCAGAATTCCAGGGATCATTTCCGGTTGCCGTAAGCTAGCGGGACGGCGGATGAAGTTGCAGCTTTCGCTGCCATGGCAGCTTACAGGTGAACAGAGTGCACCTACATTCTTTCTCTTAAATACAATATTTTATTTTCACAAGGAGTACCATAAAGCCGGAGTCGCACTGCTCGTACATAATACAAAAGACAATCTGCAAACACGAGTCACCTGTAATATCCGTGGTTCAAATGCCTCGTGCCAAGTTTTCTCCTTGAACTCATTGCCATGCGGCATTCAAAGTATGGTTCTCGCTGTGGCTCGCGTTCGAATCTATGCAGACTGTCCTTTGTATGATGTATAAGCAGCGTGACCCTGGCTTAACATGGGCATCTGAGACATGGAAAGTAGTGTTGCAGAACAATTTTGAAAACATCAAGATTGTTTTTCTGATAATTGTACGGGAAAAGTAATGTGAAAGTAACTTGTAATGGAATGAGTAAAGTAATCCATTACCTTTCACCAAAAGTAATTTGTAACGGTAATCCATTGCATTTGAGGCTCAGTAATTTCCAATTGTAATCCATTACATTTTTCAAGCAACATGCACAAGTCTGGTGCAGACACAACAATTATAGATCTTAAAAGGCATAAATAACAAATAGAAAAAGCTCCCGTGGTGCGCAAAGTTTCGCGCACCCACGGGAGGTCTTTACATTCTTTACAGCATTAATACCTAGCCTTTCCCCTCAAACTTTGTGCTGGAATTTACTGGACGCTTCTCTATCTGGTCACGAAACCAGATGCGGGACGTGATGATGTTTCTCAACAGAGCAGTGAAGACCTGGTTGTTCTCTGTACCCACCTGGCCGTTGCCATGGCGACCGCTGCCCTGGCTGCGGCAGCCTCCTCCGCTTTTTTGGCCTTGCGCTCCTGACTGAGTTGCGCTTCGAGCAGACCCCTGAGCTTGCGTTCCTCCTGCAGCCTCTTCTCCAGCTGGTTCATGCTCGCCTTATCCTGCTGCCTCGCTGTCACCAAGTTGTGAAGCCTGCGGAGCACGGACACGGAGTGACACCTCATTAGTTGCACACGCAACCAACATTCGTTCAAAAGTGTGAAACAAACAATTCAAAAATAGAACAAAGCACAAGCACGCATGAGAAATATGCTAAAAAAATCTATAATCTCTATTAAGTGTAACAGTTGTTCTCAAATGGGGTCCGCAGACCCTTTGGGGTCCCTGAAGGCCTCCCTGGGGTCTCCAAAGCCCTTGGCCATCCAGCCGATCAATAAAACTTTTTTTTTTAATGATACTGGCTCTCCTAATAAGTTAAATAGATTGAACCAAGTGCGCCAAGTAAGTAGAGTTGATAATTCTCCATTTTAGAGCTTCAAACTCAATTTGCGAGCATCCAATACCGTTTTCCTCCCCAGTGGATGGAGTCCCCCATCACTTCCACCCATCCAGAAGGGGAACTCGAAACATCAGTGTTTGACAACAAGTGATGTATAAGATGTTAATGTAAAGTTATTTTCAATGTAAACGTTAACATAAAGGACAAAAGCTGAAAATATATTATTTTTTATTTATTTGTGCATTCACGGGCCCAGAGGCCTTGCAGAGGGGGTGAGATTATAGATTATAAGGTACAAAAAGTAAACAGAACAAGGAAATCATGAAAGAGGTTCTGGTAGTCTCGTTACAGCATTTTTAAAACTAACAGGATTAAGAATTGTGGCAAAAAGATTTAAGAATTGTGGCAAAAAGATGTTAGGGAATTCCAGTCAATAGATGTATAGGTATATATGATTTAGAGTCTTTATTAGTGTGACACTGTGAAATCCCGACTTTATGTAGGTGATTGCTGCGTGACGATAGTATGGGGGACAATTCCAGTAGACGTTCAAATTTAAAAACTAGGTTGCGAAAACATTTTTTTTTTTAAACAAACATAAAACGAGAGATTTGGCATAAACAGAGATTAGGCAAAGATAAACAATTTCTCGCCTGCGGTCTCACTGTTATTTCTCATAGATGTTACACTTGATGCACCATGGAAATTAGAAGGAATAAAGCAGATGGACCTATTCTGGACAGCTTTTAGGGTGCCCCGACAAGATTCTGACGAAACTGATTTCACTGGGCCATCAGGCCTCAAAGGCCAACCTGCAAAATATATTTGAACCAGGGTGAAAATCCTCCTCGCCACCTTTCCCATTTCCCCCCTCTCCCAATTTAACTTGACGGCAGAAGACTCCTTTTCTTAAGAGTGGGGAGAGGAAATTGGGAAGGGTGGCGAGAAGGACTTTCACTCTGTTTGAAAAACATTTTGCAGGTCGGCCCTTAAGTAAAAAGCCAACCTGCCAGCACTCCATATAGCCATCAACATTTCTTTTTTTTTTTTTTTATGAGCAAAATTAAGGAATTATGGAAACCAAGGGTACCTTTGGCATTGTATCCTTGATTTCTAGTGAGTGCAGCCTGTTTGTCTAAGAAATATTTTTGCCATAAGTCAGACATCTTATTTACTACTACTTAAAAGGGCATTGACATCCCCCGAAATTAAGCTTTTATTTTTTTCAAACTCAGAGGGGTGGTTTCGTACACCGTAAGGCGACATGTGATCACTGGCAGGAAACGAGGAATTGCACTTCTGATCCGAGGGAAGGGAGGTAGCGAAACGTTAGCAGCGAAGGAGCTTTCAACAATAATTTCTCTGAGATTATTTTTTTTTTCTTTGTTATCATTTTTGTTTCCAAGCTTCAAGTTCCCATGGTGACATCTCATAATCCTTATCAGTGGTTTGGTATAGTAAAGCATGTCTACAGCAAAAACTGACACAGTTAGGATATAAAAGCATTAACTCAAAGTTGAAGTATACTCATAATATTGGTACAGGCATTTAAGGGGAGCTGCAGGTCAGAAAAGGGAAAGATTTTTCAAAAATATTGATATTGGGTTTTATGGTGTCCCATTATCCTCGAATCTTATTTTACTTTAAAAAATAATAAGGACCAGTTATGATGGCGAAATTAGTGAAATACTCATTTGAAGAACTCCTGGCAACCCAGAACGGCATAAATTTGTGTCATTTTTGTATGTGCGATTCTTCAAATTGTGACGTGGCCGCCATCACATTTATGTCCAGAAGTAGGCCCAGCCGTCTCCTCTCCATCGCAGTCTTCTGTAGCTTAATTTCTCACAGAAAATTATTTGCAAGAAATTATTTCTCTCTCCACGAAAGAGTGTTACTACACATCTATGTATGATTAGCACATTTTACTAGGCTCTTCTAAGTGTGTTGCCCCATGCCCCACGTGTGCACAAGAACATGATTTTTTTCTTCATGTGCATAGCATTCTGAACGTAAAAAAAACAAGTTAGTTTATCAAAACTAAGACCATATTTATAAAAAAAAAAAAGATATAGTGGATGCTTTCGCAATATTTTGCAGTAGTATGGTGGAAAGTTACCGTTCAGGGCAGTAGCCTAAGTGGCAAAGTTTAATGCTTGTTGACATTTTGCCCGAGTAAAATGCTGAAAAGCACCGACGTTGCGTTTGCGCTAACAGTGTTGCACAGTGTACAATCCACTCCAGACAATGAGAAGGTAATGTGCGGGAGGGGGCATACTTGTTTTGCAGGTTCTCATTGTCCTGCTGCAGCTGGAGTAGCTCGCTCTTTACGGACCGCTCTCCCGCACTTATGCTGTGGACTTGAGCTCGCAGGTCCTGCTCCGTCTGCCGACTGGCCTGCAGGTCCGCCTTCAGCCGCTTTATGTCCGCCTCCAGTCTGCGAGCGGCAAGCGGGATCACATCAGAGACACTTAGGATCAGCTACTCCTGCCGTCGCCTGCACGTCACATAGTACAATGTTGCGTCGCATGCGGACGACAGACAATTATATCATCCTATATTTTCCGGGATTGCCAAAGCACGGCGGAAGGCTACGGGCGTCAGCAGGCGCTCTGTATACAACCTAAGCACACAGTTGAACTCCTGTGGTTTTGTTTGTGAAACAGTAATTGCTACAAGCAAAAATACTATTGCCACCAAAAAGAGCTAGAAATCTAAAAAGACAAAAGAAAAAGCACTCGGACATCTCAGAGTATGGGTAAAAAACATGCTAGATCCACAAAATAAACAAAACAAAAATCCTCAGGAGGGGTATGCAGGTATATGTAACAAGTTGTCTTGTTGTACTGTATTGTGTGTTGTGTTGTTCCCAACAAGTTGTTACAAAATAAAAATCCCCCTCCCCCACCATAAAAAGGCATCTGAGCGTAAAGTTTGTAAGCCAAATTGCAGCTCCTTGCACAATGCTGGTAGCTAGCGTCTAGCTGGCACATGTCGAAAACTGACAGATGAACACTATAACCAAAAATCTTAGGTATTTGTTGCATTAAACAAGTGTAACCAGACTACCCTATAATACCAAAAATGCACCCATGCCACAATAAGTACTTTTGAAAGATCTAAAAAGAATGTAAATGGCACATCAAACGCTCGCTGTAAGCCTTTTGGACTGACCTAGCTAACCAAGATGCCGTTCTACACCAGTATCTTCTCCTAGCACACAGGTGCTAAGTGGTGAAGCTTGACCCATGCGAGCCACTGCAAAGCGCTGAAGCCCACCCTGTCTCGCAATCTTTTTGTATTTTACTCTTGGACTGAACAAGTGTCCATCTGCCAGCTTCATGGTGTAAGGCAAAAATAATGGAAACAAGAGAAAAAACAGCCCTGCATGTCTGTTTTCTCTCTTGTGTCCATTGGTATTTGTGCCTTACACCATGATTTCTAAAGGATACAGCAAACAGTGATGTGATTGGTCGTAGTCATTTTGGAGCAGCTCATGAAGCAGCCAAAACTTAATTTTGGAGAAACAAAAAGAGCTTTTGGAGCATAACCGCACACTTCTTTTTCATTTATATCACTGGAAATGTGAAGGGGAGAGACAGCAAATATTTGGAGGAGAAAAAACACTAGCTGTTTAGTTGCATGGAAGCACCAGATGCGGTAACAAGACGACGACTGATGAGGGACAGCGCAAATTGCCGTGAATGATTTTTTTAGTTACGAAATCTTACTGAACAAATGTTAAAGTACAATAATTTTGAGCACCTAAATTTATGTGTCCTTCAAGTTCTAGGAGGGTTTAACACAACTGCAATTCTTAACTCAGACAAAAAATAAACCTACAAAAGAGTCCATTTATACCTTCTTGCACAACGTCTCGCTTTGGAGGAGTACTTTTCCCCTTAGCACGTGGGTACGCTGTGGCGAAGAAAGACATGCTACATTGCGACGCCTAGTTCGCAAGTGTCACTTCACTGCAGTACACCAGTGTGCAGTGAGAAGCGCACTCAACAAAGCTAACTAACCCACCAGAACAGACCATGAACACGAGACTTGTTGCGAAACTTCCGAGTACTGTCAGTGCTTGGTGCGAAATCGAATCAAATAGTATGTTATTTGAGGCAATTATCGAAAGCCCTGAAAACCCGCACAAGCCTACCCTAACCACCCAGCCCGGTAGCGAGGCCATCAGCTGCTATGTTTCAGCATTATTAAAGTGACCTTGAGTTCTGGCACAATGTTGGCGCAAATTCCTCACATTTTTGTAAAATGTAGCAGGCTGTAGCAAGGTAAGCACTTGGGCGCAGCAATCACATCACTGAGCAAATTAAGTGTCATAGATAGCAACAAGATACAGCTGTACCTAAGTACTTAAAAAAAAATGCCACTTAGCAGTTATACAAAATTTTATGATTTGTAGATGCTTCACACTAACAATATAACACTGACATGATGTGTTTGTGCCACAGAGGTACTAGAAACTGTTTTAGAAGTAGATGTCCTTATTAGTATAGCAGAATGAAATTAAGAAACAAAATCCCTCCAATAATCTGCATGCACTGACCATTTTCAGCCTTGATAGTTGAGAGACTCATCTCAGCCAAAAAGGTTGGAATCTCACAGGAACTAAATTTATATTAATCAAAGGAAACAACAGTCAAACCGGTAGCCAATGGTGTAGCCAAGGGAGGGGCATATGGTGGCTTTAGCACCCCCTTTACTGCCTCCCAAAAAATACAGCCGACCCCCCAAGAAAAATTCCTGGTTACGCCACTGCTGTTACAATTTATAATATGCACTGAAACTTTTAGAAACTGTCAAAGATGTGTTCCATGGACATATAAAGCGCATTGGCGAAGCCCCATCAAAGTGTAATTCCAAAAATTTGCAGAATAGGAATTCACCAGGTTGCCCCTGGGGTGAGCGGTAGTTTTAAATGTTAGCAATGTGAGCATAAAAAAACAATATATATATATAGTAACAAGGCAAATTAAATTTAACATCAAGAAACATCTTTGTCAGTAATTGTTTTTTTTTAACAAGCATATCAACTGCTCAGGGCTTTTCTGACTAGGAAAACAGAGGGCTTCTGAAGTACATTTTGAAAGTAATCACTTGCTGCTAAGCTACTTTATACACAACTTGCACGAGCCATCATAGAACCATACTTGTGGTCGATCCTACTTGCTCTTGCCGAAGGAAACAAATTCTGTGCTGTGAAATGTATAGTGCAGAAGCTATGCACCCAGCAGGTCACCACAACAGAAGCTGATGTGACGTCGATGCAAGCCATATATAATACAATAACAGCACCACATGCAGCCCCCCATTCGAGGCAAATTTCCCTGATTCTGCTTGTTACCAATCCCTAAGGCTAATTTGAACAATGGAGACAGAATAAATATAAACTATAAAATGTGGTGCTTGCACTTGTTCTACAAAGGTAAGGGGCAATTGAGCCAGCGCAGTGACTGCTAACCTGGGGTCGTCTACAACACGAGTCACGCTGCAGTGATTGCACAACTACACGCTGCTAGAGTCGGGGTTCGTACAGAATTCTTGATTAAAAATTCGAGGGCCCTTCGAGGATTTCAAGGGTATCGGAAGCAAAAATTTGAGGCCAATGCAAAGCAAGAGTGGTGATGGCATGGGACGCTCATGCATCACAGGCATTTAGCCAAGTAATCACTTCTGCAAATATTTGTGGTGAAAAATATATATTTTTTTTCTTACGTCAGCACTGCTTGAAGTTTCCAAAAAAAAAAAAAACCATGGTACAAGAAAAAAAAAATATAAATAATTACCCAACTTTTTTTTTTAATTTACCTGCATTCATATATGTAATGAGGCCAAATTCAAATTAATAAATTTGTTTTTGTATTGTTTTCATTCGATAAAAACAAGCTAAAATTGTGTATGACCATTCTGTATGACCACATTAGGTGTGGTCATACAGAAGAGCATGACCACACCTAGTGTGGTCATACTCTTCTGTATGGCCACACTAGGAGTGTTTTTAGTCCTCATAGTAGGTACATATACTTTATGCATACAATACCTTAATAAGTTTAAAAGAAAAGGTTTTTCTTGACATTAAAGCGTAGAGGAAAACAACATTTTGGCTGCAAATTTCATATTGAGGTTGTCCAAGTAAAACTATACCAGACCGCTCAAACGAGAGTATGTCTTGATAACTTGTGATTTACAAAGTTTTAATAGAATTTTTATTTTTTTAAGAGAGAAAATATTCTTTGAAGTTGAGCATCTGAGATATTGTGCAGAGTGGTTCTATGCGGCTATTTCTCTGCACAGCACAAAGGTGACGGGTCTCATCTGATTCGGAGTGCACGCTCTGGTGCTAGCTATCGCCTAGCAACCTCTGCGTAGTCATAGCTGAACTGTGTGCTTTGTCAAACATAAGCCCTCTATTTCATGTCAGAGGATGTATTTATCTGAAAATGAAGCTCGTTTAGTCAGTACCAATATAGTTACGCCTCCCTCCGGCTTGAAAGCACCTGAAACAGCATCCGTCTGCCGAGGAGCACGACGCTGCCTACCTAGTGATATCTCCTGCAAGAAATGTGTGAGCTTCCACAAAAGCCCTGAGCTTTTACAATTGGGACAAAATGAGCCATTCTGCAGCTGCAAGCCCTTCCGCTGTTTTGGAGCCTTCAGAGAGTAGTATTATCAGTCTTGTTCTTGGTTAGTGCCAATATGCTCGATATAACTCGAATATGTAAATCGAAACTAGCACTACTCACTTTAAATACACCTTGGCCTGTGCTGCTTTAGTTTTTTCGGCATGCTTTTGGCTTTAATAATGTTGTGTTTCTCAAAAGAAAGTGTGAAACCAGACAACTGCGGCTTAAATTTTCTTCATGCTTTCATAACTTGTCTTTTTTTCAGGCAGCAAAATTCTTCCGTGCCCTTTTGGGCCAAGCGTTTGCCACAAATCTATACCCTGACTAGATGGAAGTTTATAACAAGTGTGGGAGACTTGAGCGAGAAGTAAAGCAGCACCTCCTCACATTGCATTTTAGAAGCTCGCCGGATCACAATTCCACAGAATGTGGCCATCACTTCTGTGTTTTATGTGAAGAAGTACATGTCCTTGGTGGCTTCTAAATGGTGCTGCAACCCTTTTCCTGACCATGCGAAGAACCGCCAGGGGTTGCTCATTGTGACACTGAGACTTGCAGATGCCCATCCTACCCTCAGTCTAATTGCCAAATGTGCAAAAGGTTCCTCTATCAACCTGGAACGTCCGAAAAGTTTAATAAGTAGAGGAAGCAGCTCAAGAATGTTTCGGTCAATCCGATGAAAGGGACTCGGAAGTGCTAATGTCTGCTAGGATCGATGAAGCCCTGACAGCCGTTGGTTGTGAGCCCCATATAAAGAAAGCAAGCACAATGGAGATGAGAATGCTACGTAAGGAAGAAAGTATCCAGACTTCAGCAAAAAGCAGAAAAAAACATTATGTCAGCCTCTTGGCATTGGCCAGTCATCTACTTTGCGGGGACACACGGAGAAAGATTTTGTGCTGTCTGATTATGGGCAGATAATGAGCGATCTAAAAGCTAAATTGGCACAAAAAGAAAAATGTGGAAAAAAAATTCTGTTGGCTTGGTCTCGCAGAAAAAATATGGAGCTTTTTAGGGCATCCAAGCAGCAGGTGCCCAAGGTCATAAAAATCAAAGAAAAACAAGAAATACTATGCACTTCACAAAAAAAAAAAAAATATTATGCACTTTACGCGTTCACTCACAAAATGAGTCCGTTTTGTGAGTGAACACGTGAAGTCTTCTGTCAGAAAATTTTTTAAGGACAACTCAGTCTCCTACTGCCTCCCAGGTAAAAAAGATGTGCTGCGTGGCCGTCAGAAGTGGCTACTTTTGATGAACCGAAAAGAGCTTCACGAAGAATGGAAGAAAGGCTCAAACCTAAATTGTGGATTTTCAACTTTTGCCAGTATGTGCCCCCCAAACTGTGTTTTAGCCGGGGCAACTGGGACACACACTGTTTGCATATGCATGCAGCACCAAAACTTGAAGCTGATGCTACACGCTAGTGAACCCAAGGAGACCACCGGAGAATTATTAGCAACCGCAGTGTGTCAACTTGAGGAAGAGGACTGCATGTTTGGCAAGTGTAACGTGTGCCTTGGTACCGAAAACATTGCGACTTTGCTCAGGAAAAGTCCTGCCCTCGACACCAATCAGGTCAACCATGTTCAAGTTCAGCAGTGGAAGAGTGGCAGGCCTTGAGAGCTTGAAACAACTCTGTTAACATCACAGGAGTTTGCTTAAAAGATTTTGGACACATTTGACGAAATCAAGGGCCACCATTTTATAAGCAAACAGCAAGCCCACTACTTGCGGGAACTAAAAGCAGGGCTAAAGGAAGATGAGGTAATCGTGCTCATGGATTTTGTAGGAAATTACAATTTCCTAAAACAAGTTGCCCCGCAGTCTCATCACTGGGTCAACAAACAGGCTATACTCCCTGTTGCTGTTCATTTCCATCTGCCAGAAAGCTCTGAAGAACTATCTGTCAGATCTTTTGATGCCATTTCAGACTGCCTGGAACATGATATTGCAGCCAATCACATAGCCAGCCAGCCAGCCAGCCAGCCCCCCCCCCCCCTTCCCCCGAAATCTTCCATTTTGCTGGGGCCTCCTCTCCCTCCTCCCCCTCATACAGCATTTTGTTATAGGCACCCCCCCCCCCCCCCCCCCTCCCCCCGAATCAAAATCCTGGCGACTTGCTTGACTGCAGCAGTGTATGCATTCCAGAGTGAGCTTCTGAAAAACATCTAAAGAATGACCTGCCACAACTAAGAAACATTTTTTTAAACTTTTCTGATGCAGTACAAAAACAAGAACAACTTTCTAAACCTTTGTTTTCACAATAAAGAGTTCTCTTTCGGCTGAATGGAATTTTTTCACAACTTTCCACGGGAAAAGTCTCTGCAATGGCTTTGGAGGACCAAACAAAAACAATGATTGGCACCAAGGGCCAGCCTTCAAAGGCCATACGAAGACCAAATAACCACCCTACTAGAGCTCTTTACATGGGTGCAAAAAAAAACATCAAAACTGTAAACATCCTATGGTTACCAAATGTCATCGTGCAGAAAAAGCGAGCTGAACTAGCATTAAGATTACAAACAGCAGCTGCCATAGAGGGCATGCGGGATTTCATCACTTCGAGCCAATTCCACCTTCAGTGCTTCGTGTTTCGATATCATCATACTTGGTGACTGAAGAAGTTCAAGTGTCAAAAAAAGTCTGAGAACTACAACGTCTACTTCAACAATGAGCCTCCCAGAAAGGTGTTATCACAAACAAAATTTTGGGAAGTTGACTCGGAAGGCACGACCCAATGCTGGAAAATGCAGACAATAATAAATTATGTTTTCCTTTAATCAGCTTTGTGGCAACTTACTTCAGCACCAAACTAAGGCACATATCCCATATGAAGCACTTCAGCTTGTACAGCGTATCAGATAAAAACCCGTCGCCTAAGTGTTACGCGGAGAAGTGGCTGCATGGAACCACTCCGCGCAATGTTGCGGATGCTCGACTTCAAAAAATATTTTCTCGCTTAAAAAAAAGGTCACTTCAATTAAACTTTGCAAATCACAAGTTATCAGGTGTACTCTCGTTTGAGTGGTCTGGTCTATTTTACAGCGAAGCTGTTTATGGCTACGGTTCCGTGAATTTTTCGCGTGCGTCAACGAAAACTGAGGTCCCGAATTTGATGGAAAATCGCTTCATTCTATGCAAAAGCTTATACGTCTCATCACTTAGATATGCATTTTCGGTAGATTAGTTATCAACAGGCACCCTTTTCAAGATCAGTAGACACTCAGGCAGATAATAAAGGTATCTCAAAGATTTGCCGCTGTGCGACCCGTGTCAGAAATGTCTACACTCACACCACGCTCTCTTTGCCGTCGTTCCAAGTGCTTGAGTTCACCAGTGGCGGTTCCGCCGCATGTGTCTAGTTTCCCCCGGCTCCTCGAGGCGGACCTGTGTCGTGTGCTAAACAACTTCGCTGGTCATCCACCTCCACAGTGTGGAACGTCTCATGATTTTTTTAGTTGGACCACCTCTGTGCAAAATTAGCAGCTGAATTGTAGCCAAAATGCCATTTTCCTCTACTTTACGTTTTAATATTAGAGAAACCTTTTCTTCTAAAGGTATGAAGGTATTGTATGCATAAAATATACCTGCAACACAGGCTGAAAGCACTCTTAGTGCGGTTATACAGAATAATAAATTTAACAATAACTACCTAAAAAAACGGCACAATTTTAACTTTTTTTTTATTGAATGAAACAATAGAAAACAAATTTATTATTTTAAGTTACTTTCATTTCATGCAAATGAAAGTGAATTCAAATAAAAAGATTGGGCAAGCTATCAAATCATTTATATATTTTTAACTTTTTTTACTTGTCCCGCGCTTTTTTTGGGAACTTGAAAGTGCTGACGGAAGAAAAAAAACATTTCACCACAAATATTTGCGGAAGTGACTACTCAGCTCAATGCAAACAGCTGCGAGTTTTTATCTTTATTTTAATTGAGCGAGGGTTGAGCGTCACGCCTGGGACATTTGGCATGGATCGACCGTTTAAAATGGGCGCACGTTGCATGACGCAATCATGACCATGATTTATGTAAGTTGGTGGCTCTGCAATGCAAACTGTGCGATGCAATCATAGCTCGATTAAAATTGTTAGATATGTTTCACGTACATGAAGCAGGCCTATTTAAAAAGAATAAACACATTTTCTGGTGGCCAGAGTCTTACGGCAACGCAGCTAATGGCAAAAAAAGTATGCCGCCATGTAGGTTGCCAAGGACACCGGGCGAGAGCTCTTTTCCCGCAATAGTGTTGCGCACCACTACACGCATCGCTGCAGCTCGGATGAGTTGAAAGAATGTGTATCTCCTTTTATGTAAATCGACAACTTCACAAAAAGTAATGCCTCACTCTTTTTTTTTTTTTTTGTAGTGGCATTCGATTGCTTTCACTCTGGAATTTGCGCCTCTGCGTATGCCTCCCGCGAGTGAACTTCTTGATCCGCCGCGATTCGCAAAAACACAATAATTCCCGGATTTTCGAGGAATATACAAGGAGCGTCGAAACTTTCAAGGAGATATAAGGGCCCTCGAAAGGCTTTCATCAAAATTCCGGGTAGTTGAGGATTTCGAGGAGCTGCACGAATCATGCAGAATGCCGATCTCCAATGCATCAGGCGGAGGTGTGAGGAATGAGCTTGATCCAGATCAAGCTACCGCTCCACATACTTTGACTGACGGTGCACTAACACAGCAAGCCCCCGATGCTTTGGTGCCTGAAGTGCTTCTCCGGCCCGTGAGCTTCTCTTCTCCGGCCCGTGAGACAACATACAAGTCTCGTGCCGCTGCTTGCGGCACTCCCAGTGGTGGACACGACAGGCGTTTGTTCCGCTACAGCTCACTTTATGGCTCTTCAGCAGCCACGAGTTGGGACTTTGCAACGACTGCGATGCTCAAGTTCGCTCGTACGTTTATTTAATGATAGCCTCTTTGACCAACCACCGGGATCGCAACATCCAGCAGCATGACGCGCCGGTTCCTGCGACGTAACTCGTCGCAACTTCGGAACCACTTTCGATGCATGCACGGGATAGAACGGTAAATGCACTGGTCGAAGATGCGTCAGGGGCAATGTGGCAAAAGCAACGCGTCAGCAGACCCTTAAAACCCATCCCCGTCCGCTCCCACCTCTGATAGTGGTCGTCCCTCGGATGCAGCTGACCGACCACGGCTGCCGGCGGGAGCACGCTGCCTCCGCTGCCGCCCGTCAGGTTGTTGTTGGCCGTCGTGAAGTTGTTCCGGGCCGCCCTCCTGCTGCCACTGCCACCGGCGCCGGCCGCCGCCAGCGCCAGTGGCGGCTCCTTTGAGTTACAGTTGCTCTGGCTCCACTTGGAGGAGCCCGTGCGGGCCGCGTTCGCCACGACGTTGGAACCCCCACAGACGCCATTCACTTTGAAAGCAGTCTTGTCGTGGAGCTCCTCGGCCGAAGCGTCAAAGTCGTTCACACTCGATGGCCGCCGGTGAGAGGAAGAGGAGCCGCCCTGTGGAGGGGGCGGCGCCGGGCTCGGCTCGGGGCACTCAAACTCGTGTTTGTCCATGAGGGCGTGAATCACGTGGTTCTTGACGTCCGCCTCCGCGTAGCGCGGCGATGATGATGATGCGGGGCCCTTGCGTCCCCCGCAGAACCCGTTGCTGGGGGGACTCTCTTCGCCCAGCTTGCAGAGCGCTGAGAACGGAAGTGACAGAAGTAAGTGCGCGTCGTTTAACCGTAACGCGAGACACTACCGAAAAGAAAATATGTTTCTTCACGGAGCTCCACAAACATTTTAGAGTTCTCCCCGTGGACTCCGTCCAGAAGCTGCAAAACCCACATATCTACCATAGTCACGAACAGGACGGGGTTTGGTGGCTGAGCCTGCTGACGCACCACAGCTCGATGCGCGTGGAGCAAAAACTTGCGCTGCGGAACCTGGAGATTCCAGGCTCAATCCCCACTCCTGCCCATTTCAATCTGGATGAGTATTGTACCGGCATGCGGTCCTGGATCGTTAATATGCGGTGCACGTAGGCCCCAGGCCAGCGGTTATACTGCACTGGCTAAATTTCTAAACCACAGCATAAACCAGTGTCGCCGCATTTAAAAGGCAGACCGACCTTACGCAATCTAAATGCAAATATAAATTTTTATTTTTTATTTATCTTTTTTTTTTTATGGACAAGAATAGGATGGTTAGTTGTCACACCTCCAATGAACGCTTCCCAATTTCGAAAACGCTTTCTCGCAAGCCCCGACCGGGCACGCACAGCCAAAGCAGAGCAGAGGGCAACAAGCGGTTGCCGGAGGCTGGGCATTCAGAAAAGACGCCCTGCGGTTCTCACCATAACAAGAATGTTGCTTTGAATAAAGTTGAAAGACGCACTGCTGCATTTGCTGTGCTTTTGTTGGATTTGAATTTAATCATGTTCTTTGTCTTACGTCTGTCAGTTTATTTCTGTTACAAGTCTCACATCTGTCAGTTTATTTCTGTGGTTTAAGCATTAGCTCCGTAGTTAAATTGGTATATTTGCTCCCCCATTTTCACAATAGCTTATTGACACTATTCTTTTGATTAGTTTCTCAAAGGTCAACTAAAGTAAATAATGGGCAAGGGCTACAATGCTGAAGAACTGGAGCTTAGGACCTATTGCACTGTGAAATCTCACAGACACAAATGGGGGTACTCAAACTTATGAGTCAACTTTCACTTTGTTCACATTAGCAGGTGGCCAGTTCACTTTGTTACAACTTACATCCCATTGCAATGCTGCTTGTAAAATTGAAAATTTTTGTTAAAGCAACCAGCTTTGCTTAGGAACTAAACTTCAAGTCGAACGTTAAGGTGATACTAGAAACTTGCTCACCTTTGTCTGAGGAGTTTGATGTGATGCTAGGTGGCTCTGGAGGCAAAGCTTGCTGTAATAGTTGGAGGTAAAAGTCGTTCTCCTTGGCAACTTCTTTCTGTTTTCTCTATAGAACCGCAAAAAAGTGAAAGTGAGAGCAATCAGCTGGAGCCCCCCATGACACTCAGGATAAAGACCCCGAGTGGTAAGTAACTTTACTTACAAGTCTCATCCTGTAGCCAATGTAGCTTTTGAAGCCAAAGCCCAATGTGACCACAGGATACCCTATGCTGCATGGGGCAACACAAAAGCATGATATGCAAACCCGTGCATTGAGTCCAAGAAAGGTGCATAATGGGTGTAGCAGAATTCAATCCTACAAGATCATCATCTAGCCATGCTGTGGTATTGGGCTCAACTGCAGAAAGCAAAAGCATGCAGTAAGGAATGCTGACTGAAATCAGCTTTTTGTCTTTTTAATGTTTATAAACAATGTAAAAGGAATGGTACCATTTGTTTTGTACCTCAATAACAGAACCGTGAAACCGTGACAAACGCTAAATCAATGTGCATAGTAATCAAAACAAGATGTAATGTCCCAGTTTAATCGCAGTTAGTTCTAGGGTAGGTATGGTTCATGACACGTTAGCTTGCTGGCCTCTCATATAGCTCCCGACCCTGATCACTGCAAAAAAGAACCTAATTGCACGCAACATATGAATTGTGCTTGCTTTGTAACAACCAAATAACTATATACAACGAAAATGACCTCCAAATCTTGACTTTAAGTTCTCTGCAAGAAAAAAAAACAAAAGGCTCTTCAGGTGTAGATAGTCATATATTTCGTAATAAAAAAAGAACATGCTAAACATGCAGATGCTGAATTTCCACTCGGACAGCTTCTGTGCTAGATAAAATGATATCTCAAAGGTTGCTAGCCATATTACTGGACAGATTATTTGTTCACGGCCCACTGCTGGCTTACCAATGTGCAGCGAAGGGCCTGCAGAGGTCTAAGTGGAAGGGCATGTTTTTAATCTCTTTGAGCCGTACTGATGCCTCTATATACACGAACAACAGCCACAGTGAGATGGTGGGAAGACAGATGCCCCTCTCTGTAACAGACACACACACAAGCCACACGAGGAGTCATGCGCAATGCTACCAGCGTGCCCCACCATGTCCCAAATGCCACGTGGCGTAACAAATGACCAGAAACTGTGTTCACAAAACAATATGTGCAAAAATAACTCTTGCTCGCTTTCATTTTGCATCAGCCTTTCTCTCTACAGCCAGGACACGACACATTTACAGAGAACTTTCACGTCAATTGCACCAACACCCCGGTTATCAAAAACTTCTGCGGTAGTTGGCAGACCAGCAGAAACTGAGTTTAGAAAGCTAACTAGTTCTTGGCCATTCCAAGGTCCTATTTTTTAAAAGTCTGAGAAATAAGTGCATCCCCTGTTTGTGGAACTCATGATTGATTAAGTTATTACACAAAATGCATTCAAGGGTGTTAAAGGATAAGGAACACATACTGTGATGGTGCTAGTGGTTTTTACTTCAATTTATTTTTCTGGGAAGTGTCCAATCTGACATCTAGTAGAAGCACCAAAGTTTTTTGAGGGATCATTTTATCCTTATAGGGACATGCTCTCAAAACGTACACCATGAACACAGGGTCAGATAAGAAGTGATACTGATTAGGGACCCTTCTCTATGCACTAGAAGGATGTGACAGTAAAACAGAATGACACCAGGAAGGGGACGACATGGCTCCTGTCGAATATGAACCAATAACAAAGTTAAGAAGAAAATAACAAAAGGGTAGAAATAAAACAAAAATTATAATTCCAATGAGCATGCATTTGAAAGTTTTCTGAGCCCATATTTTTCATGGACAAGCAAGACCTGACCAGATTTTTTTGTTTTTCCAAAACTTTTCATTTAAAATTGAATGAGTTTCATTCTCTGGATCAACTGTACCAGTTGCAGTGATGGAAGTGCCATTTGACCTTTTGGAGCAGGCCTTGTAGCAGGCAAAATGTTGTTTTGGAGCAGGTAGTGGCCCTTTTGGAGCAGGGTCCGGCATATGTTGGCATATTACTTGAAAATGAAATAATGCTGCTGTGCTATTAAAGCCCATCCCTGTTGGAACACAGCGCCTGTCGCCTTTTTAAGACAGGATATATCAAATTCAACAAAGTAAACAGAAAAAAAACTTTTTTTGAAAATAAAGTTTATCTGCTCATCAGATAAAAAAATACAATTAAATATGTCACACTGAGTTCTGATGGTACAGGATATTTAGTTTTATCAGCCTGCACTTCTTTAAAGGTATCTGCAGCAGCATCTAACGACCCTTACTGTTGTGGAATGTTTTAGTTCAGATTATAGTTATCTTTCGGGCAGCAGCTTCAAATATTGTGGTATCTGATATTCGCTTCAAAAATTACGATTCATTTTCGATGTGCTGGCGAAGTCACGTTCGGATCATGGCGAGTTAACCCGTTGAGTGCGCTCCTTGGCATGCACGGACGCGCTGCAGAGAAGCGACACCCGCGGAGCAGACACCGCAGTCGCGCAGTGCTTTGTGCTCTGAAAAGGACGGTGAGGCTTTACCAGCACTACATCCAGAGTTTGGTGCAACTCAACTGGACTTCGTTTCAGCTTCAGTGCGAGCGCAGCCGAAGCTGCAAGCACGCGCATGAAGCTTGTAACGGTGCCCACACTGCACGAGCCCGTGCGCGACTTAGGAATGCACAGCATTGGGCTCGCGCTAGCTTTGACTTCGCTTGTAGCTAGCGCTCGGGAACAGGGCGGGCCAACATTGAAAACATTCACAAGCTCGGCCTTTTTCTTTTTTTTTTTTTTTTTAAATAGGCAGTTCAGTGGGATGGTTCTTCGCTTAGCCTCTGCGGCTTTGGTCTCAGATGTTGCTGACGTTCCTTTCAATGATGATGATAAAGCGCCCTCGCAGTTTCGGTTTGCGTAACAGCTGCGGCGCGGAAAATACCGTGGTACCGACACGCGCTCTGATAAGACTTCAGTTTCTATTTTTTATTGCTACATCTCATCTCGGCGCAGGCATGGCGCAATTCTTCGGTAAAATAACAATTTGGCGCTACATGTAGCAGGATTGCGTCCTTGGCGCAAATTGGCGCAATTGGCGCAGCACTTCCATCACTGCAGTTGTGCAAGATTGTTACTCTGAGGTTCAGAATACATTCCTGCTGACCTTATTGCCTAATTACCCTTCTTCTGTTGAGCTTTAATCAAAGCAGATAGATTAATTTTCCCAGGAGTAAAGTAAGTCGCACAGTGTTTCAGAAAATGAGGCAGAATGATTGACTATCTCTGAAAGCCCCACTTCATCAAGACAGTATCAAATTAAATCAATGATAAAGAATGCTCTTCACACAGTTCAAGTAGGAAACATCAACACAAGTGCACCAAAAAGGAACATATTTCAAAGGTGTGGGTGCTACAAAGAAAATAAGTGAACAAAGAGGTAAACCGCTCAGCTCCAACGCAAATGAACAAAGGCAAGGAAGGTGCACTAACCAGCCATACCTGTGTGCCAGACATACTGCACCCAGACGTACGTACTGGCAGCAAAGAACAGCCAATGAACCGGGATGAAGAGGAAGCAGATCATGTCTGATGTGAGTGCGATGAACACGAAGAACACAGAAAATGCCTGCGAGGAAAGAAGACACGCGAGCTGCACAAACCTCCTTGGCATTGATTACCCGGTACCATACGAAATACAGCTCAACTGGCTGCTTCTTTTTCGAGTTAAAGCCTATGTATCCGAAAAATTGACCGAGAACAAGCCACAACAAGGTCTTTGCTGCCATTAATGCACCTCTGCTGGACTGGCAATAATGTAGACAATGGGAATATTCATAAATTTCAATTTTTCTCGAACTTTTTAGTTTGGCAACCGCATTACTTGGAATAGAGATAATCACAGGCCAGCTAGGTTCATTACAGGATTAGAAAGAGATTCTAGAACAGGAGTCTCAAACTCATTCGAGTGTGGGGGCTAGACAGCCCACCCCCGAACGGACGGGGGCCAATGGGGGGGAGGGGGGGGGGGGGGGGGGGGGGGGGGGACAATATGTTGCTATTTTAAGAAAAAAACAAAAAACATAACAGCAGTGGTGTTTTACGTTGGAAAGCAGCCGACTGTCCCAGCGACAGCCCAGAGATCTTCTAGGCACGGATTATTGTGCTGACTACTTTAGGCCCCACACTCGCTGTTACAAGAATCAAAACATTGCCACACCACAGTACTGGCAGTTTTCAATAGAATGAGAGCAAGCAAACCGTCCTTTCCCTGCCACGCAATTCACTAGGCTCAACTGGCGTAGAAAACTTTCTTTTCATATGGCAGTTTCTGCTTTCCTGACGATTTTTATTAGCAACATTATAAGAACTTTCTTTTCATTTTAAAGGTATTATTTGACACTAGGAGCCCGAGCTCATAGCTTTATTTTTGGCAGTTGCTCGTGCTGAGCAAGAGTAGCCTAGTAGTGGTATTATTACCATTCAGGTTGATTTACATGGGAAAAGAATAAGAAGGCCATATTTCGACAAAGCCTTACTCTCCGTCCAAACGATAAGCGCTATAGTGCAAAATGCATGAAAGCAGAGTCACCGTTTGAGCGGAAAGGAATAGCAATATAAAACTATTATTTATGGCGCATGTAGCGTTCGAGGCATGGGAACGAGGGCTCATAGGCGCGGAATGCTTGCGGGCCGCTTCCCAGAGTGTCACGGGCCGCATGCGGCCCGCGGGCCGCGTGTTTGGGACTCCTGTTCTAAAGCAAGGCTGAAAAAAATTGACTGTGCTATGCAGTATCCTTGCCTAGCTCTGGCAGGCCTTTACAGTTAAAAAAATATGCACATAAAAGCTTGACGGAGCCACCATGAACCTGAAGACATAAAAAATAAATTGTTGCATATGTGAGGAAAGCTTTTTCTTCACTATGAGTGTGACACTGAAACAATCTGATATGAAAGTCCGAATGGGTTAAATTTTGGGACATAAAAATAAAAGTTTTTCGTCACATCTCATACATTGCTCATGTGCGACACGTATCACAGTGTCACTGAAGAATTCCAATGAAAATGCAACAAAGATGCAAAAAGTTTGTAAACCTCAAATTCAGTTGTAGGGCGAAGCAAAACTTTTTAGGACATATTGAAAATATGTCCTAAAACATAATCTGCATTACCCAACATAACATGCATGGTCCGGCATTATCCAAAGTTTGATCGGAAAGAAACAAACTGACATCACAGGATACAAAATTATCTCAAAGAATAAAAGCCCGTCCACACACTTGCAATCCAGTAGGACAGGCTGAGACAAGACCGGTTCTTAAACCTCTTGCGATGGCTTAGGACTGGATGTGTTGCTGCAGAGCAGGTACTAAGCCGTCGCAAGAGGCATAGAACTAGTCTTGTCTAAGCCGGTCCGACTCGGTTGCAAGTATGTAAATGAGACTTGATCTACTGTCATTCATGCACAAATAAAACAATAAAAAGTCAATAAATAGGCATATTGCATATGATCCCCCTATATGACAGTTGCCATGTTGTCGGTCTTATGAAGACACTTAATAACAGAAAAAGTTTGATGCAGATAGTGGTCAGTGACAACGGCATCACTTTCTGTGTAAACAAATAAAAATATGTCACCCGTTGCTCAGTTTCCTACGGTATCACTGGTGAGAAGAAACTCACCAGTCCTTGATACTTGAATGAATCATACACACTTCGCAGAAGAAGCCAGAACGGCCACAAGTACTCAAACCGCAATTCCAAGATGAAGTCTGCGAGCAGCACAAGTGCCCATACTAGCAGAAACTTCAGGTATATGAAAGTACTGCAAAATAAAGCAGAAACATCAGTTAGCCAGGCAGTGTGCAGAGGATAGGTACTCCATGTGAGAAATACCACTATGGTAGTAAAGAAAAAAATACATTACTCAGAGGAAAAAAAAGAAAAAGTAAGTGTGCCAACCAGTTTTTATACAAAAGTTTTAACAGGGGAAAACGAACAGTCAAGGAAACATACAGGTGATGTTCGGATTTAGATGAACATAACATATATTTGTTATTTTTTCTTTATTTTGTTAGCGATGCTCAGGTTTCAAGAACAGCTGTGTGAGTAACATTTAAAGCCAACACTGACAACATCGGCTTTCCGCCGTTTTTTTATTGCCCGGAACCGCATCTATCAGAATGGAACCGCGACACACAAGGGACATCCTACTCGCTCTCGAACATCAAACTGTTTTTAATCTCTAAACAGCTGGAAAGCTCTCGCGATACTAGTGCTTGGGCATTCCTGCTCCAAACTGCTTCACGGTACGAGTAGTGTGGGGGGAACGAGGCACCAAAAACACCTGCCGTAACGCGCGAAGCTGGAAAGCCGCAAGAACAGAGCACCCCGTTTTCGCGTTGGCGGCTTTCTGAAGCTCCACCGATGCAAACACGGCGGCGATCACCAAGCACGCGTCCTCCCTTGCCCCCGCCAACAACCCGGGACTGCCCGGAAAAACACGCTTTTCTGTTTACATTCGGAAGACTGACTCCGTTTCCGCATCCCGCATCAGCTGACGAACCGCAACACAAACTCGCGTTGCGCGCTCGGCGCTTGTTTACTGGGTCAGAACCGACGAGAAGGAACCGTTTTCAACCCAAGTTTGTGATCGCGTGAAGCGCGTTTTTTTTTTTTTTATTATTATTATTTCGTAAACAGTACATGGTGCTGGCGCTGGGTTGGTACCTCAACGCGGGCGATACCGACATTACGTGAACGCAACCTCGTAACGCAGGTTTTCGGGAGGTTGTACGGAATCGACGGAGACCGCGATTAAAGACTTCTCGTTCTGACATTTAGAAAAAATGGGTTTCAAAGCGAGTGATCGCAGCGAGCGAGTACGGCAAGTCAAGCTCCCTGTCGTGGGATCGAGGCACCGTTCGGTCAAAGGTTGCACTCGTTTCCGAGCGCTGTTTCGCCGCCGGTGCACAGCGGGAACACTAAGGTGCGACCGTGAGCGACGTTTGAGTCGATCGCGGTGTATATGTCTATGGAAAACGCGCCATATTGAGCGCCATTAGGCTTATATTGCAGTAAGGAGCAACTTACCTGCCGTAAATGCCTTCCGTTATTTTTGCTCGTTTGCCGGGTCTTCTAATTTTCCCGCATTCGGCATTCCGTCTCTTCATATTTCCGTATACCAGCACAGTTGGCTATTAGATATCTCCTGTTACACAGAAATATATACGAAAACAGGAGATGCACCACACCGTTTCAGAATTTTTTATTGTTTTGTTTATTTTCGTTCCGCGCACAACACACCCCCAATGCGCATGCTGCGGAAACGTCATAGTGACGTCATTTGTGTTAGTGTTGTCGGTAGCGCCACAATCTTCTCGAGCGGCGTACTATTTAACGTTTAAAAATTGTAATACGCTATAAACTAAACAAATACTTTTTAATTGTGTGCAATATTATAGTTTTATATCTCATATAAATAGTAAACTAGTAAATCGTGCAATATATAAAGAAAAAAGCAGACGTTACGTTGATTTAAAAGCCTTTTTTTTTATTTGTATATGCCACTGAATATGTTTGGCATTTTAAAGTGTGCCCTATATTAATATATTTCTGAAAAAAATAAAAAAATGAACGTTTAACCGTTATTGCCCATGAAATGCCGATTTGTGAAACACCGTTAGCAACATTGCTACAATGTAACATGGCGAGCAACTACGATGTACCATCTTGGTAACGAAACAATTGAACTAATTTGGAATATTCTGGGAAATCTAAGCTTCCCCCAGCTGCTTTTGGCGACGACTAAATCGTCTTTGTTCGTTTGATTCACAAAGTACCCAGCATCCGAGCTTGATAATCTTGTTTTGCGGGCGTTGTTACTAGCGGAGGGAATAGCGCTCAAATATGACGCTTCAGGGTTTAGGCGATTCTGACACGAGCTTTTTTTAGCCGGGAAAAAACGCCGGTAGATTGATGGATGTTCGTTTTGAAGCTCAACTGTAAAGTCCGCGTCGTTGATTTCAGGGCAGGAAAACCACCTGTGGGTCTGCATCTGGACGTCTTGAAAGGGGACAAACTCATACAGGTGAGTTAAACGAAATCGCACGACGCGGTTCGCCGGCCGGCTTCGTTCGGTGCACAGGGAGCCTTGCGCTAGAGGGCCTAGCGCCTAGCAAAGCTCCTTGGTTCAGTCCGGGCCCCTGTTCGTTGTGATATAGATGAGCGTCGCGTCGCTTCGTCGTGTGATTGTGTTACATTCCAATTCCTTAATCTTAGGCGAATCAAAACACCCCCATGTCTTTTATGGGGGGGGGGGGGGGGGGGGGGGGGGGTCAGGTTAGGTCAGGTTAGGTTAGGGGGGGGGGGGGGGCACGCCACATACTGGCAAACTGTGTAACACCAAAAATAACAAAGCTGTGAGGTGTAAAGTATAATCCCAGATTCATGTATCAAAAAAAAAAAAAAATCAATTTATAAACATTTGAAAAATTCTAATCAAAACAAAGATAGAAAAAGGGCATATTTCCTGAAACGGAAAGACAGAATTTTATGGAGCTTAAGATGCTGTATATATTTGACCATGCATTATTCTATGGAACAAATGCTTTATAGAGTTTGTAAAAGGAAATTCTCAAGCACTATATTCATAAAGCACCTTTGCTTAAAGTAGCAGTCATAAACGGTATTGATGTCACTGGCCTGCAATAAGGTAGGGCCTCCTCCCTCGGGGGCGGGGGGCTTGGGCAACTCTCTCAACGGAGTGGCAGTGCACCAAAGGAGCAGCGGTCAACACCGAGCAGAAAACAATCACTTCGGGTCGCCGGCATGCTGTGAGCCCTCGGCTGTTCCGACGAGGCTTGATGCGAGCTTGGGCCTGAGATTATATTGTTTTCCCTGAGTGGAGCGAGGGGTGACTGTGCAAAGCGCAGTCTATTTGTCAGTCTAGTTTGCGAACCGTCTCCTGTGTGGTTGGAAGCCTAGCTAATGGAAACGGTCGGCAAGTGAGGTTGCCAAACAGATTGCGCTTTACACCAGGCCTCGTTGGAACTGCCGAGGGTTCACGGCGTGCTGGCAACCCAAACAACCATTTCACGCTTGGCGTCGACCGCCGCTCTCTCGGTGCACTGCCGCTCCGCTGCAAGAGAGCTCACCGAGCCCCGCCCGTGGAGAAGGCTCTGCCTTATTTGATGGCCAGCGACCTCAATGCGTCTTAAACAAATGCGAATAAGCGTTTGTAGAATGCTCACAACTGTTTAAATGATTGGTGGCTGAAACTCTGGTAAAACTGGGAGTGGAGCACAGAGAAGAAACTGTGGTTTGGGTCGTCCAGTTGCACTAGCTGCCGGTGCAAGTAGTTCTTTTAATTGCTGCTCGCTCACTTCGTTTAACGGTTGCGAGCGCTCTACATAATCAGTTTGAGAGATGTTGAATGTTGTAAGCAAAGTTAAGAGTCTGGTATGTATCATTAACCTTAATTTAAATTAAGCAAAGAATTCATGAGGTATTAAAAAACTTCTGTGTCAGCTATCTTAGAACAGAAGCAACAATGTAATAATTGGAGGGGGGGGGGGGGGGGTTAAGATAGGTATCTAGGACTGGGAAAAAGAACATACTGTAAAATCCCGAGAGATGCCTCACCTCCAAAAGATAGCCCACCCTTATTTTTCTGCTTCATTTGCTATATATTATTTTGTAAACACCAAGATAGAGGGCACTCATAGTAATAGTAGTGTTGGGATCAATGCCTCATACAAATACAGAAACTATGGGGAACATAAGAATTCCAGAGAAAAAAATATTACCGTAAAATCCCGAGAGATGCCGCACCCCCGAAAAATGGCCCACCCTTATTTTTCTGCTTCATTTGCTATATATTATTTTTTAAACACAAAGATAGAGCCTACTCATAGTAATAGTAGTGTTGGGATCAATGATGGCCTCGGCGTAAATGCAGCTAGTCAGCTCTGGCGGGATATAAGCAAACGTTGCTGGCTGGGAATTAGTCATCTTTGCTTCGTTGCCCCTTGCCACCAAAACAAGCTTGGAAGGGCACGACCTAAAAATAGCAATTTTTATACTCTTCTCGGTTGTACACCGAAAGTCAGCCCACTCCATATTTTCACCCGATCTGCTCTTGATGTTAGGTGGGCTATCTTTCGGGATTTTACGGTATATTGGAAATTACCTCGCTTCCTGTCTTCTATGCATTGGAAACACTTAGTTTTAGCAGAACTGATAAGCAGATCTGCCTTGTAGAAGAACACAATCATCAAATGATTGGGCATTTAAAAATATATATATATATATCTTCAGATAACAGCCAAGGGAGGAGGGGGGAAATTTTGATGCACAATACAGTGTCACTAATAAAAAATATTTTCAGTGGTCCCAGGTTAGATATTGGTAGACACCAGAAAGAGCTTAAAAATATTTGTCCACAATTTGCACATTGCTTTTACGATCATCAGTGATATAGCATTGGAACATTTGATTATCTTATTTGCAGTTCCTTAGACTTGGAAGGTGACTCTTTGAAGGGGGGGGGGGGGGGGGTTGGTTGCCACATAGTTGCGTCAAGTTTACAGATTGGTGTTTCGCTCTTTCCTTTGCAGAAACTGATGATAGACGAAAAAAAGTGCTACCTTTTCGGACGCAATCCGGACTTAAATGATTTTGTGATCGACCACCAGTCCTGCTCACGCATTCACTCTGCCCTCGTGTACCACAAGCACTTACAGAGGGCCTTCCTGGTCGACATCGGAAGCAGTGAGTCCAATGAGCTGCACTTTATGTCAGATTTTACCAAGGTGCCCTAAAGCTGGTATGCGTAACAAAAAGTATATGCCTAGTTTATTGGCAGACAAAAAAAAAATGAAAGCCGTTTACAATTCCCTGTAACGCCGGTTAGAGCGCAGCTCTTGAGGAGGAGGATGAAAGCGTACTGAGGGATAGGTGGCTCCTTGAGCTCACGTGACCTCAGGGGGGGTCGTGTGACGTCAGGTGGTCACGTGATCTCGGGGTCACGTGACTTCAGGGGGGTCACGTGGCCTCAGGGGGGTCATGTGACCTCAGGGGGGTTACATGACCTCAGGGGGTCACGTGACCTCGGGGGGTCACATGACCTGGGGGGCCATGTGACTCGGGGGGGGGGTCTCAGATCTTGGAGGGGGGTCACGTGACCTTGGGGGTTAACGTGACTTCGCGGTTAACGCCGACGGCGACGGCGTTGCCGTTTAAGCCGGAAACGGGCCCCTAAGAGCTGCGCTCTAAAATGAAAAAAAATAAGAGTTCTATATTTATTTCTTTTTTGTCATTGCTTTTGTTTGAATAGTGCCACATTCATGTCGCCAGTTGTACAACTTCTGCCCTTCTTTCAGTTATGTGTCACTATTGACACCCCTCTGCATTGCCATGATACGTTGTGACCATAGAATGCGAAACACTTTTTAACGGAACCCCCTAATACCAAAAATTTTAACATCCACCCGTCCATTCCTCTACTAAATTTAGCGCGTAAATCTATGTCACATGACATCCGAGAATCACACCGCAACTCGACGCCGCAGTGTCACGTCACGTGACCACGTCGCACGATGCCACATCACGTGGTGTAAATTTTTCCACTAAATTTACCAAGCAAAATTGATGTCACACTAGTTCGTCACAATGTCGCAAATCACACAACACTGTGATGTCAGTGAGCGTGAAACCACGACTCGACATTGTGCATTGTGACGTCTATTTCCCCACCAAGTTTAGCGGGTAAAGCCCTAGATCACATTTCACGCATTCTAGGATTTTGAAGATCGAGGTTGCAAGTAATGTTTTTCAACACTATCTGCTTATAGAGATGCCTATCTTACTGCCCCGAAAACTCGAAAATATAGTAATGACACCACTTGCAGGAGATGGCCCTGCAAGTGGTGCAGGAATACTAAAGTGACAACGACGTAGTGATACGATGCTGCGAGAGCAGCTACAACAGCGTTCCTCTGTGCAGCACATGGCACCTTCATCGGCACCATTCGGCTGGAGCAACACAAGCCAACGCAGCTGCCGGTGGACAGCAGGTTCCACTTTGGAGCATCGACGCGGACATACATCCTCAGGGAACGGCCACAAAAGATCTCGGCGGGGCAAGGTGACGACCCAGACAAGACCGGCGACGAAGTCGAGGGCGGGCTCCTTGGCCTGCCCGAGACGGAGACCGAACTCGATGTGAGTGAACAACCAGAAGTCTTTTCGTGACTGGAGAGTCACCGTAGTTAGGTTCTCATAAGGCCCGTTCACACTCTTGCATTTGCTTAGGACCGAGTTCTTGTGATATCTATGGTTGAAAGAACATGCTGGCACCATCTATGAGGCGGCTTTGGGACTGCATTTCACTAGAACAGAGGTTTTGCGGTATTTGTGAGTTCAAATGCATGTATTACTTATATGAAATTATTGTTTATAACATTGTCAGGTTTTTCGAGCCAAGAAAGAATTATGCGCGAAAAGGTAGAAAATGTGCTGACACTTTAAGTGTTCCCTAGCTACCTAATAAATGGTGCCAGTTTGTACTCTAGTCATAATAGGTTTTAAGGTACACGGTCGTAAGCAATCAGAAAGTGTGCGAACCGGCCTTTGAAGGCCGGCGTATAACTTTGGTTGTCTGCAGAGAGGATAATCCTCTTGGCATCCCCCTCTCCTAAACTGTGAGGGGAGCCGTGTTGGAACGAGGTAAACAGTGTAGAGGACATAGGAAAGGAGGAAGCGAAAAAAAGTAGAAGGTGCGAAGTGGACGTCGGCCTTTAAAGGAGCACTGAACTCCCGAAAAGCATTTCTCTGAGGTGCTTATTCGAAACAATGTCGTAGTATGACAGTATGAATGTGACACTCCCAAGGCTAGCGCTCGAGCTGACTGGCACGAGAAGATTACGTCTGAAGCAGCTACGCATCCATGCTTTGGTAGCGTTTTGTATCGGACTGTCTTCCTGACAGAATCGTCTCTGCCAGGAAGAAAACCCTCCCTCATTGTCCTCTCCATTCCCTCTTGTGCTCTTCTCTTCTCCCCTCCTCAAAGGAGCATCTCTGAGCTACACACCCCCCTCCCTCCCCTCCCCTCCCCTCTCCCCAGAAAAAAGGGGGGTTGCCTTCTTTCTCGAACTGAGGGGAGGAATCAAGGTGTGGCTTCCTCCTTTCTGGCTGCTCATCAAGCTTTAAATAAGGTGCTGCTGCTTCAAAAAATCTGGCCCCGGTGCGGAGTTCTGCAACCAATAGAGATACCTGCAGAGTAACCAAAGGGTTATTTCAATGACGGCAGCCATCTCTAAGGAGACTCCAAACCTAGCAAACCTAGTATCATGGTCCCACATCTCCGGAGCAATGTTGGCAACAATCGAGCTGCACTAGCAGTGGTCGGTTCAACAAATACCTTTGTCATGCCAATGATTGCTACACTATTTATATCTCGAACATAGCAGAGGAGAAGACACACGTGACATGATAAGGACAGAGTCCAAGGGTGCTCATTGAATACTCCTAAAATGAAGTACCATGTCTTCTTCCAAAATGACTCCCCCCATGTCGGCAAGGCAAGAAAAGGTTCTTACATCAGACGAGGGGGGAAGGGAAAGCCAAGACTGCGGAAGCATAGGGTAGGTCGCCGATAGCATATACAAACACTTTCGCGGCCGCTGGATGAGTCCTTTTCACCAAAGTGGGAAAAGAAGAGGCAAAACCTCCTCGCCCGCTGGTTATAACTAGTGATGGGGCGAAACTTTTTCTGAAACGGGTTTTCTAAAGTCCCGGAAGAGCGGCCGAACCTCAATTTGTTTCGGATAGGTTTGAATAATTTCGGAGCGTTGCCAGAATAGCCAGACTACATTATTGAGCATTGCAACTTTTTTTTAACAAGACAATGTTATAAACAACATTAAATAATTAAACTTCTAATTATAAATATACTGAATTTACTAAAATAGTCTTGTTCAGATAAAATCTGAGATATGGTTAGTCAAAATGGTTCCGATTTCCCAACTTTCATAGTCACATCGTCATGTGACCCAAAGAAGGGGGCAGGTAGGTGAAATCGATTGTCACAGATCTCAACACTTGTTTTTATTGCATCAATTGCTCGATGATGGGTGTGGTGTTTGTTCCAAGTGCTGGGAACGCTGCAATTTACGTTGACCCAACGCAGGTGGCATGTGGAAGTGACAGGTCGGAATATCTCCAATATCTGTGTTATGCAATCGATCCTTCACGCAGATAGTTTTGACTCGAGTACAAAGGATGCATTAAGCTCCCAAAATAAGTAATGCAGTTTTATTTCTTATCTTTACAGTTAGAAGAGATACATAGCGCCCTATGTACGTCTTCAAGGGAAAGCATTAAGCGACTATTTTTCACAGCAGCACAAACTGCAAACATATGGCGGTGACAGACTTTGGCGAAGCTGCTAGCTATTTGCAGGGTAAAGATTAATGAGGTTTGCTTCATTTCCCGTCACCATCTGCTGCAGTGGCTATGTAAGTTATTCCTAGTTCTTCAGAAAGATACTGATCCAGTGCCTACCCGCAGGCTTTTATTGCTTTTTTATTGCTTGTGCTTCACAGTTAGACACCCTCCACATAGAATGCTCTGCTGAAGACTACTTGTAGCATGTTTCCAGAGTGGAAATGAAATCACTTATCAATTGACCGTCGCTCCGACTCTCCTGAGCCGAAGTAAATATCATATGAACATCATATCAACCGTGATTCGTGACCGAAACGTTCGGGAGGCCTACACATTGCACCCAGAGCTCTGACACTTGGACGTGCACAAGCTACCATAGAGAGCTTTGCCATAGAGCTTTGCTTTTTGAGCTCCGGCCATCAGTTTGGCCATCACTTCAAGCACAGATATGAACGTGTTTGATGGGTCGATGCACCCGCAGGCCTCAGCATGGGATCGTAGGATCTGCGAAAATCCCCCACATACCATGGGCAACCTAGTAGGTATGTATTGCCATGACGTAGAAAATAAACCAAAAACTGATCGAATTTTGATTTGTATCGAGGTTTATAGTCTTTAGACACTCAACGCCCACAAAACCGAAAGAAACAATGCCATGTCGGCTAGATAGCGACGAAACTGCCGAGCCTTCAAAACAACCAAAATTTCGTCCGAAACGTTTAGGAATCTTCTGAAGCAGTCCAAAGCCGAACCTCCGGAGTTTCGCCCCATCACCAGTAATACCCGTGTCCGACCAGAGAACAGAAAATATCCTCCCAGGAGAGAGTGATGAGGAAGGCCCGATGCTTCACGAACAGGTCGGAGCTCACGGCGAGGAGGCCGAGCGTTCCGACCCGCGGACACTACGACGGTCATTGGGGAAGGGTGACCAAAGGGATCTTCATAACACGTGCTATACGGTTTGAACAACCAAACGGCCACGGTGACAACACTAGACAGATGGAAAGAGGGATGCCAGTGCTTTGAGCATAGCTCTCGAGTGGCCCCACTGCGATAGACTGGGGTGTCCCACTCACTTATGTCTCTCTTCTGCGCAAAAGCTGTTCTACAAAAAATGGTGCAGCTTTACTTCTCAGCCGCATGCGATGCATTGTCAATGCATTCGAAATAGAGAGCAGGTGACTAGGTAGGTGAAAGAGGTGGACATTACCCTGGATATGAAGAGATGACCACTTTGCTAGAGGATTTGGGGCTGGTAGGAATAGTTGTTTAGTATTTCCCAGGTGGATGTTTGGAACCATAGACCACCATGGCTGCATTACATTGTTCATGGCTCTCATTTCTTATACCATGCCCGCTCCATAAACGCCTCGGGATCAGCCGTCAATTCCTTGCCAGTCACCAACTTTTTGTTGAGATCTCCACAAAGTTTGCATAGGGCCAATGAATGGCTTTGTCGCGATAGAAAAAAGTGCAATGTTCAAAAAGCTGGAGCAACAAGTGCCTTCATCATAAGCCACTGTGGTTACTAAAGAAGGTTACAATTGCCATGTAGGTTTGATAAGCCGTGACAGCCCAGGAAAGGAAACTATTGAAGCACTCTTTACTATCTCGCTTAATTTCATTTAATCTATTCATTTGGAAGAGTATGGTAGTTTGGTCCTTGTACTGCAAGGTGGATAGATATTTGATATTTGACTCTGCAACTGAGCTGTGTTCTTTCTGCAGAATTTAACGGAATACAACACCGCCCACAACCGAAGGATAACCATGCTGGGGATACCCGACGAGGAACTCAAGCCCCCCAATCGCAAGCAGAAGAACCTGAGCGTCAAGTTCAATGATGAAGAGGACGTCATCAACCCCGGTGAGCAAAAACCTCTGTAGAGGCCATACACTTGTATTCTTGGGTTGTGTCTACTACCGTAATATCCCGAAAGATGTCCCAGCCCCGAAAGAGAGCCCACCCCACTGTTTGACAGGATTTGCTATTCTTTCAAAAACACAGAAAGATAGCCCCCACTTCTAGTAATTGCAAGCATCTGGTCAATGGTGACCTTGGCAAAAATTGTGACACAGAATCTAAAAATAACATTCTTTCAACATTTTCTTTTTGCACACTAAAAGTTAGCTTACCCCTTATTTTTACCCAATTTGCTTTCAATTTAAAGGGGTATAGAAACTAAATGTTTTACACTTTTCTTTTTGTTGTTTAGATGTGGTCTCTGTTGGGCCGGCAGCACAGGAACACTAGCCTAGACTACTAGTGTTTCTGGGCTGGAGGCAGAAAAGTCAAGAAAACTAATCTTAAAACAAATTAACAGATTGCAAAATTGCGTCTGGTGGCGGTCTGTGAAGCTCCGTTGGAATGCCACAACGTCATGAGTTCCTAAAAAGCAGTGCCAGTTCGCAGCAGTATGGCTTGCTCTTGGAGTTACTTAGTCCTGAATGTGACTTGGCGGAGAACGCTCATAAACCGAAATTGCAGCCAAAGCTACAAGCGCGAGCTAGCCCGCACTCTTGGCTTTGAGACCTGCATTTCTAGCCGAGCGCTCGATCGTTCTGCGGAACAACGCTTTCCAATACTGTAAAAGACTTAATTTTCGAGAGGACCTAATTTTCGCGAATCGCCTACAAATCGCGAAAAATTGGTCCCGCAAACAATTCCAGTAAAACGTAAACACATTGAAATTTGTATTGAGATACCACCGCATCGCGAAAATTAGAACACGCAAATTATTCCAAATCTTCGGCTTTGACCTGAATCGTGATATATTGAACCCGCGAAAATAAGTCGTTTACAGTATTTTGTTTGTACTATAGTATCTCATTCTGGTACTTCGATTTTTCATTTTACTATAAGTGAAATGTCTCATCTCCTAGGGGACATTCTTTGGCTTTGGGACAGCATAGAGCCTTTTGCTAAAGTAAACTGGAATGTGTTTCCGGTAAGGCACATAGGTAGTAGATATTTAACAAAGTTTGTGCAATATAGTTTTTTTTTCTCTTTCCCTCCCTTTTACAGAGGATGTGGACCCTTCAATTGGGAGGTTTCGAAATTTGGTTCACACTGCAGTCATTCCCAACAAGGCAAGTCCCAACTTACTATTTATAACTCGCGGATAGCGAGTCATAAACATTGTCTTTAGTAGGATTTTTGAGTAAGTGATGAGCGGGTGTGTTTCATGGCCAAAACGACGAAAATATGGATTTCACGGTACTGCTCACTCTAACCTTCCGAAAACCTGTATTAACAGTATGCGAGTGCAAGTTCGTCTGCTTCGTTTGCAGGGGTTGTGATGGCGTCAGAATGCCGAGCTCTGATTGGCTCTGATTGAAGGATAGTGGGTAGACCTTAAGGCAGCTTGCTATCCTTCAATCGGAGCCAATCAGAGCTCGGCATTCTGTCGCCACCACAACCCCCACAAAAGGAGCAGACGAGCTTGCACTCTGCATAACCACCGATTCTATCAATTCAGTTCTTATTGGTGCCCTTTCGTTGCGTGGCGGTTCCCTGACAACAGAAGGCGAGGATGGATCCTGGCGACCCCTTGAGCACCTTGCTGCCGGACTCCGACAAGTCAAACAACCTGCACCCCTTCGCCAAGCCAGAGCCGGGCCACGTGTCACACCTGAGCACCATCTTTTCGCCAATGCTCTCTGCCAAACTGGGCTTGCACCTACCTAACCCGGCGCCGGAAATCGAACCGGCAGACTCGCGAGAAGCGCACCCCGCCGTGCAGGCCGTGGCGGCACAGCATCCAGCCGCGGCTGCAAACGCCGCCGAAGCCAACTTGCCTCCGGAGCCGAAGAAAAAGAAATACGCGAAAGAAGCCTGGCCCGGGAAGAAGCCCGTGCCTTCGTTACTCATGTGAGAAGGAACTGTGGAGTCTCATTGGATGGCCAGCATCTTGTTTTAATCACTGTGTGTGCAGTCTTTTTTTTTTTCTTTTATTGTTTTGTCGCCTCCGGTTACCTACTTCTTTTTGTTGTTCCGGCTAGTTTTATACACAGTCATCCCTTCCGTCGTCTCTGTACATTTCTGCATACGACATAAAACAAATGGTGACCTTATGCTGTCTATCTCAATTTCGTCAGGAATGCCTGTTGACCTCCATACACAAAAAGCGTTATCTAGGATTTTTTTTTTTTGTTCACTGTCGCGTTTTCATGATCAAAGGTGCTGTGTTGGTGGCTTTGACCGCTTTGACAATAAAGTATTGATTACATGCAAGTTGTGGGTCTAGACTTGCGTAAAAGTAGAGCCCTGCATACCCGCAGATTATCCGTGGATCATCTGCAGTCAACTGGCGGATGCAGATAAAAATTAATCAGATTTGGCGAGTCTTATGCGGATGCCAGAAGCTGTGGATGCGACCAGATGCGGATATCTGCGTGTCTGGATCTACATTTTTGCCGAGGGCAGAGTGCGGAGTGAATAAGCGAGTGACACTATGAAGTGCAATTAGTGCATCATCGAATGTTTTGCGGGAGCGAATTGTTTTCTTAGGACAAGGGTGCCAATCGGGGTTAAAATTGTTTTTTTACGCCAAGAAAGACCCGATTCTTGCCGAAGATCACTTTAGAGCTTTTTATCTCGCCAAAAATGCTGTCCCTAGGAAAAGCTAAATTGCCCCAGGAAAGTGGTTTCTTGCTTGGCAAGGAAAGAGTGGAAAACGTCATTTGGGGGCAAAGTAAACGAACTGTACAAGCCACAAGAAAGTAAACAAAGCCGCTTTCCCCCCCACTGTACTTTCATCTTGCCACATATATACGAGTGACCGCCTTATGATGATCACTTCTAATACAAATATGATATACTGTGTTTTGACTCGGAGTTCTTTGTACAAAAATAAGCAAACTGCTAATAACTAATGACGTACCATCCAGATGCTTTTTTTTTTTAATTCACGCTTAATAGACCTTATGCGAAATTGTTTGATGGTCTGACAACACTGAAAGCGTCACAATTTTAATGTTGGCAAGCGTCGTCGGTACCGAAGCACAGTAGAGGGACAACCGTACGGGCAGTGTGCAATGGCGCGGTAGCTGTGTTTTCCGACCATTGAATATGGACGAACAGTTTAAACAACCTACCGCAACTGTCTGACGAAACTCTCGGAGGCCTGTGCACGTTGGCGACAACCTCATCAAAGCACTGGAGCAAGTCCTACGCCTTTGCTGTGGAAGCTTGCACACTGCGGGTTGTCGCCTCTTTTTGGTGAAGATGTGGTTCGGATGCGGATACAATGTATGTGGATTGAATGCGGTTCGGATGTGGATGATCAAACCATTCTTTTTTTTATTATGTAGAGAGGTTGCTTTGAGGCATAAATGTTTTATATGTATGCTTCAAGGCCTGTGGTATGAATGAATTGAAGCAACGTTTTGTGATATCGGCTGTCATGCAGCCACTTATGGTAGCTGGTGGGTGCATTGTGTCCAAGGCACGTAGCCAGGGTTTTGATTCGGGGGGCCCGCCCATGACAAAATGCTGTATCAGGGGGAGGGGGGAGAGGAGGCCCCAGCAAAATGGAAAATTTCGGGGGGGGGGCCTCTAATGGGCCCGCCCTCCTGGCTATGTGCCTGATTGTGTCGGAGACCTGCAACCAGGGATGGGCAAAATACATGCAAATATGTATCAAAATACAAATACAAAATACTTCGTCAAAAATGTATTTAATTACAAATCTAATTACATTTCCAAAAAAGCATTTAATTACAAGATTCAAATACAACCAAAAGTATTTGGTCTCCTCCAAATACTTTTCCAAATACATTCCTCAAAATTTGCGTCAGCGACTTCAGGGCACCTGCAACGGGTTCCTGGGTATCTCATTTTAATTTTGCATCGCACACTCGGGAGTTAGTGTGCGAGGCTCTAGTAACGTAATAGAAATATAATCACAAAAAATGTAATCAGCTTGGACGTAATAGGTGAAAAAAGTACAGGGCTTCAAGCAGCTTTTTTTGTCGATTACATTTTGGTATAGACCAACAAAGAACCGAGACGACCAAGACGCGCAGCACTAGCTAGAGAATTTTTTATTGTTGCAACTCGCTTCCAGTTACGAAAATCTGGACTACCCGCGCATTTAGGATGTTCCAGGCAAAAATATGGTTGGAAATCAGGCTGGAAAGCATCACAAGTTGTCACAGGCACTTATTTAGCCCGTCTGCCTGTGAACATCCATTTCGTCACTATTCTTGCCCTGGACTAGCACCATCATCACAAAGTCACTAAACGCTTGTGCTTGATTGAGAGACACTGCCTTCGGTGCAGAACGTAGTTTTCTTCCTGCTCTGAGCACGTCTTAGGATGGGCAAAATGAGTCGTGACAATAAATTTGAGGGATGTATTTTCGCCCTCAAATTTGTATTTAATTGCAATCGTGTTTGAAATACCGACGTTTTAGTATTTAAATACACACGTCAAATACATTGCCCAATTTGTAATTAAATACAAATGCAAAATACACAAAGTATTTGAAATACGTATTTCAAATACTTGTATTTGAAATACTGCCCATCTCTGCCTGCAACTATGAGTAGGTGAGTGCACTCGGTCTGTGGGCCAGGACAAGTCCATATAAGATGACACACATCCGCTTCCATCTTGTCTAGGGGACACTTCGGGCATGTTGCCCTTCGTGTACCGGGTGGAGAGTTCCAGGTGCAGGTTACAGCCAGTGTAAGGGCCACTGCAGCCTCCGAAGCACAACTTCCTCCACCCTGGTGAGATGGCGGGGGAGGGAGCAGACGGACGGAGGGATAAGAGCGCGTGTGTCCTGCTGGAGAGAGTGTTTACGGGCATGGAGAAGGGAAAGGGGTTCAGACAGGAGGGGGAGGGAAGGGGGATCGGGATCAGATGGAAAGTGCCTGCTGATTAGCTGCAAGGTTGTATTTGTTCGTGGCATGACCTTGAACCCAGTAAACCTTAATGCAGGTCAAGGTATTGCGGTGAAGGGTGTGTATCGTTTGGCACAGTTTCATCACTTCAAAAACCTTTTTGAGCACTTGAATTGCTGCTAAGGAATCTGTGAAAATGTGAAGATGGCGGTTCGTCGGCAGCTTGGTCATTACTGCTTGTATAGCGTCATGGATGGCCTCAGGTGGATGCAGGAATTTCCTGGGGTGAGATGTTGTTCAGCGTACCATATGTCTAGGAACCCCCTCCCCCTCTCCCTCGTTTCACGCCCTAAATTTTACACATGCAGAAATCAAGAGGGGGGTCAGGACATCCCGATCCCCCCTCTAAATCCACCCCTGGATGGCATCTAGTTCCATGACAAGAGAGTCAGCTTCCTGAGATGCATATCGCTGATGCCCCTGAATCGGGGGCGGATTTAGAGGGGGAGGGTCCGGATGTCCTGACCCCCTCTTGATTTCTGCATGTGTAAAATTTAGGGTGTAAAACGAAGGAGAGGGGTAGGGGGTTCCTAAACATTGGTACGCTGACCAACACCTGACCTCCCTTTAGGAAATTCCTGCATCCGCCCCTGCCCTGAATGCAAGTATGTGTGGATCTGAGGAATGAGACTTGGCAACCGTCTGGGAGGATCGCTGCATACATGTAAACTTGACAGTGGTCGTTGTGCTGTGTTTCGGGACACGGGTGTTGGGAGGGTGTGCTTCCCTGATCGCAAAGTTGTAGCTTGGTCGGTTTGTTGGTGGTAATGTGGGTGAATTTGGGGGTATTGTCTCCAATTGTATGTCCAGCGGGGGGCCACATTGAAAATGTGCATGCAGCGTAGCAACCACTGATACAAACTGCTGTTTAAGTTCCCTTGCCTGTTCTCGTGTTTAGCCTAGCACGTTCTTGTGTTTAGCCTAGCACTGTGTTTAGCCTAGCACATTCTTGTAGGATCGCAATTTGAGTAATGCGAGGTGGCGCCGGTGATGGTGTGCATTGCGTCACGATTAATGGTTTCCAATTGGGACCACTGTGCCGCCGTGAGCCGATGGAATTGCACTTGGTATATAATTTCCAGTTGCAAGATGGCATGCACCAGATCGTCGAGCAATATGTCTGTACGAGCACCACCAGCTTTCGGTGCTCCGCATAGAATGAGATAAAGCAGGGGTGGCCAGGCTGACCCGGCTTAAGAGTCGCAAACGAAACCACGAAACCTCCAAGGGCCACGGGGAAGGGGGGGGTGCAAACTCTTGTCTAAAGAGATAAACGAAATTCGAACTATTTTCAATCTATCCGAGTCAAAAGCAGTCCAACAGTAAGTAAGGTAGCAGTATAACACAAGACTACCAAACCGCAACCTGTCTTTTGATTTTAAACGGGTTCCATTTTTCTTTTTAAGGAAGTGCTCGTGTGACAAAGAGGGAGGCAGGGAAGTTTGTGTGTGTGGGGGGGGGGAGATAGAGGAGGGAGCCACGAGCAGCTCTCTAAGACGCGAAGAGCCGCATGCGGCTTGCAAGCCGCAGTTTGGCCACCCCTGAGATAGAGAGTGGTGGCACATGGAGCCATTGGGTTCCAGTTGCTTGCTGGTGAATATACAGGCCCAGTATGTTGATATCCGTATTCTCAGTTATGGTTATGCGAAGAGCAAGTCGTCTGCTTCTTGGGCAGGAGTTGCAGTGACGTCAAAACGACGCTGAACTCTGATTGGCTTTGATCGAAAGGATAGTGGGTAGACCTGAATGCTAGATGCATACCCACTATTTTTTTTTTTTTCAGTCAGCCAATAAGAGCTTGGCGATCCGACATCATCAAAACCCCTGCACAAAAAGCAGACGACTTGCTCTCCGCATAGTACCCAGCTTGAGTTGAAAGGGGGCCCGGGTGAATTTCTTGGCCTTGCCTTGTCTGCTACCACAACGTAGCTGGATTTTTCCAAAAACATTTCCAGCCCGGCTTGTTGTGAATAGTTTAGAAGAAAGTAGAGGGCTTCTTTGAGCTGGGGGGCCTATGTTTGACAAATGTTTCGTTTCGCCTAATGCTATGTCTAAAGGTACGTCGGACGTATCCGAATCCCAGAGTCTAAAGATACGTCGAACCGATCCGGAACTCGGAGTCTCCGAATCCCAGAGTCTAAAGATACGTCGGACGGATCCGGAACTCGGAGTCTAAAAGATAAGTCGGACGTATCCGGATCCCAGGGTCTAAAGATGCGTCTGACGTACCCGTAACCCGGAATCTAAAGATACGTCGGATGTATCCGGATCCCAGAGTCTAAAGATACGTCGGACGTAATCGGATCCACAAGTGGACGTAGCCGCGATTCGCATTCGGGTTGTTCGGGGCACCAAGTGGTACGCCTGGGTTAACACGCGTCCCAGTGATACAGGGGCGAGGAAACGTCCCTACAGCGCGCGGTTCGCCTAACGAGTTTAACACGTTTCGTGGAAAACTCGTTTCATTGACAGCACGTTCACGGAAATTTCGTCGCGCGTGCACCACTGGGACCCGCGTTATGCCGACTATGATACGTCCGACGTATCTTTAGACTCTGGGATCCGGATACGTCCGACGTATCTTTAGACTCCGAGTTCCGGATCCGTCCGACGTATCTTTAGACTCTGGGATCCGGATACGTCCGACGTACCTAGACACAGCGTTCTCCTAAAAAGAAACGAAAGTGACGATGTCGCATCTGATTGGTTAGAGGCTCAAATGACGAAAGTGGCTCAAATGACAAAAGAGGGAAATTTCGTCATTTGAGCCCCTAACCAATCAGACGCGATATCGTCACTTCCGTTTCTTTTTAAGAGAACCGAAACATTTGTCGAACATAGCCCTTTGCTTGGCTTGCCTAGAGAGGTCCCTGTATGTGGTCCATAAAGTGACGTCGTCAGCTATTATTTCCGCAGGCATGCGTGCACGCTTTTATGTTATTTAAAAATGTGTCTGAAATGATACTGCCAGGAAGAAAGGTAGAGTTAAAAAAATACCCCGATTAATCCTGAAACATTTTGTTTTATCATAATGCATTTTAAATTTTATTTTATTATTTATTTTTTAGGGGAGAGGACATTGAGGTATTTGACTGTTTAGGTTTGCTTTGCGTGACGCGCGTGGCGCCTGGGTCACCTGGGTTGCCTGGGTCGGCCTGGGTCTTAAAGGTCTACTAAAAACTTAAAGCCATGCCAATCCAATCCAAATTCAGGTTTATCGTGAGCAAGAGTGGGCGTGAGGCGCGGATCAAAATTAACGCTCTGCAGCGCTGAAATTAAGATTAAGATGCAAGTGGATTACTGGGCTTTTGGATACGCCCTTGCTGTGGCTTTGGGTGGCATCATAGGCTATGCGAAAGCAGGTAAGCTTCCCCCCCCTGCTAGTACATTTTCGTCGCGCGTCGCCATCATCGTCGCCATCCTCTCCGATGTTTGTCGAACGCGACATCCGCTGCAAATTCTGGCGGGCAGTGATTGATTAGCCAGTTACGCTAACGCTAACGCCACTCCCAACGCTTGCCAAAGGAGTTAGTAAAATCATCGCCACTAATTTAGACATTAGTGTACTACATAGAAGGCGGCATATCGCTAATCTGGAGATCCGTCGTGATACTTGTCCTGTCTGCTCATATCAGCAAAAACCGAAAAAAAGAAAAAAAAAAAATTGGTTGCAAGATTGGCGTTGGAAATAATAGATAAATAAGAGGCTGTCTTTGAATTCAACGGGGAGTTTATGTAATCGCTTCCAATCATTTCACAACTATGTGGTCTTTTGTGGATTTTGCCCTAATGCAGCTGGCATGTTCTTGAATGTTTTACCTGTACAGTGTGTACCTCCTGTTATGAACAGCGTATGGGGGCAAATACCTTTTCCAGACATTGTGCTTTTAGTCTGTCTCCCTTTTGGTTGGCTCGAAAAAAATGGAATGGAATCTAATTCACTGTAATAAGTGCTCCACTGTACAGGTGGCACTTTGAGACAACTTAGAAAACATGCTGATAACTTTGTTCCACTAAAATGCATGTGAAAAAAAAAAAGATGAAGGCAGCCTTCATTTTGTAGCCTTCATTGATAGGCATTTTTCTTTTTGTATTAAAATGAGAATTTTGGTGGAATAGATAGAACCTGAAAACACCAGAACATTTAGAATAGTCTTTATGATAGCTGCATTAAATGTGGTTGATTTTCCTTTTTATCTTAGGTAGCGTCATGTCCCTAGCGGCAGGCCTCATTTTCGGTGGACTGGCACTGATAGGAGCCTACCAGACGACACAGGATCCCGGGAATTACTACCTGTCCATTGGCAAGTAGTAGAAACTAGCCCATGTCTACCTTTGGGCACCCATCGAAGGCTCCAAGTCATGTAGGAAATGGGGGAATTAGATACACGAGATTGACAGGGACCTACTGTGAAATGCAGCATGCTGCTGAAGTAAATGCCACTCCTTAATTTACTTCCAATTACTCTATCCTAACTTTTGGGTGGATTCCTCACTTGTTACATGTGGAGAGCTATCCGACCATATTTCTCATGGTTGAAAAAGCCCCGAGACTGCGGGTAAACGACACAACACTAAAAAGTCTCTGGAGACTTTTTAGTGTTGTGTCGTTTACCCACAGTCTCGGGTTTTTTTCAACCATGTGCAATGTACACCAGCTCGTTTGTGCCTTACTTTTTGTCCATATTTCTGCTAGTAATTGCTTCAAAATTTCAGAACTTGAATTTATCCGGTTCAACAGTCAGAAGCAGCAATTTTGCAAAACATTTATATACAAACATTGTATCCAGCAGAAACTGTAAATACATTGTAGATAAATGAATATACCTCTACCTGGTGTCCGTTACAAATTATTGCATAGTAAGGTGCATAACCAAGGTTTTCAAACATGAGCTACTTGCTTCGAGCCTTATGAAAGCTCCTGCAGGTTAAAGGGATACTGAACCGAAATTTCGAACGCACAAAACAAAGCTGGACAGATAGGCGGGACGATACAAAACCCAAAAACATCACTCATACAGCGATATCTCTAACGGATCGCCATATTTTTAGAAAAGAAGCGCCCGACTGAACCCGGCCGACGAGGCCGACAAGGCAAGGCACGTCATGATTCTTATTCCCTCTCCTCCTCACTACGTCCCGTGTCGAGCTGGTGAACCGAAGCGAGGAGGAGAGAAGCGAGGCCGCTCCCCCTCATTCTCAAATTCTCCCGGAGGACGGTGATGTCAGAGGCCTCGCTTGATCGCGCCCTTCTTTTCGAAAAGTGCGGCCATTCGTTTGAGATATCGATGTACGAGTGAAGTTTCGGAGTTTGTAGAGTCCCGTTCAACGCTTCTAGAGCCTTATTTTGCGAAATTCAAATTTCGGTTCAGTATCCCTTATATTCAAAAGCAAGGGAGTAAAGAGGTGTGCCTGTGGCCTTCATTGCATGGTTGCAACATTGTATTTATGACTCTAGCAATGTCATTCAACTGGAAAATCAAAATTCATAGAAACAAAGAAGTTCTTATTTAAGACTTTGGTGGAAAGATGTGCCACACGGTGGCTTAAAGGGATGCTGAACCGAAATTTGGAGCTCTTAAAACGAGGCTGGAGCGATAGGCGGGACGCTGCAAAACCCAGAAACATCACTCGTACAGCAATATCTCTAACGGATGGCCGCGTTTCTGGAAAATAAGTGTGCAATTGAACACGGTTGACGAGACATGACATGTCACGATTCTCATTCCCTGTCCTCTTCACTTCATCCCCTCAAGCAGGTGAACCGAAGCGAGGAGGAGAGAAGCGAGGCCACTTTTCCTCATTCTCAGCTGTTCAAAGAGAATTGTGATGTCAAGCACATTCCGTGCTTGATCGCGCCCTTCTTTTCCATAAATATGGCCATCCGTGTGAGATATCGGTGTATGAGTGATGTTTTTGAGTTTGTAGCGTCCCGTTCAACGCTTCTGTGGCCCTTATTTGTGAAATTCAGATTTTGGTTCAGCATTCCTTTAAACATGAAGCTAAAGAACGGGGATTGACAGCTTATAGTTTAAGTTGTGAATAGCCCAAGGCATTGAAAAATGCAACTAAACTGTATTCGAGCTTCAAGCAGGTGTTTCATAGCAGCTGTCGTTTGTTTATAGTAGCGGGAAACGAGTTGGGTTGCTCCTTTGATCTACCGCCCAAGCATCCCGTATGCAGAGTGCATTAGGGATACATACACAAACCTGGACAGCGTGAAAGCAGGACGTCGGCCCACATGACGTCACAATGTCAGCAATGTTGTATTTAGATCTAGTAACGTTGGGTATCAAGCCATAGTGCAATGTGATGTCACATAACACCACGACTTTTCACCGTGATGTGATATGGCCAGTCACATCATGTGACCTAGAGTCACTGTATGGGTCGTTTAGAGTGACTCTAATGTGACCCATAGTAGCTGTCCGCTAAATTTAGCAGAAAGCTAGCCAACTCAATTCAGCCAGTGACGACATGTTATGGCAACATGACACAAATTCCCAGCTTCTCTTCTGTTGCAATGCATTCTGCATTATAAAACAACAGTGTGCAGATACAAGCAATGTAAGCAGCACGTAACTCTTCTTGACATGGTAAATTGGGGACACGACATAACAACTATACAATACAAATCTTTTAACATATGTTTTTGGCCCTCTCTGCCTTTTTGTGTAGTTCCTAGTTGCACTTCACACTGTAGAAGAAACCCTAGAGTGTATTAGACATGCTTGTGTTGTGTTCCTCCTTTTTATCTTGTGTGCACCAATGTAAAAACCCACGTGGTTATTTTTGGGCACGTAAAATAAACAATATTATATTATACTCAAAAGGAAAGCCACGTTTAGGAGTCCGTCGAAGTTTCTCCTTTCATACACATTAATTTTGTTTTCCCGTATCAGAACCCGCTAATGTTGGGTTATTTCTCCGTCTATTTAGCAGCTTGCCATTTCCTTTTTTTAGGTATATTAGCATTTAGATTCGAGAGAAGCACTTTCGATGCTGGTACAGTTGTGCCATAGTTGTGCGCTCTAGCAAAAACTCCACAATTTCTAACATAGTCCCTCCCTATGCATGCACCTCTGCATTTCAGCTGTGGCAGGCATGCTGGCCGGCTTGATGGGCTACAGGTTTGCGTCGTCGTCAAAGATCATGCCAGCAGGGCTGGTAGCTGTACTCAGGTGAGATCCTTCAGTTGCTCCCATTTCGACTAAAATATTGTGTTTGTGGTTGCTTTCGTTGTCGCTGCTGAAGGATAGGGGCTCGTCAAGCAACAATTGAGTTGCTTTTATCTCAGCCTCCCTTCCCCCATTTGGATAAAAAAAATTTGAATTTGGGTGTAGGATTAGGAGCAACCTATGGCCTCAAAACACCCTTGCTATTTTCTCAGCCTTGCCTTAAGATAGACTGCGGCAAAGACTCAAAGCACAATGGAGTTGAGGTTCTCCTACAAGCAACAATATCAGTTTAACTTCGACAGCATACTCGCTGAATTCCCTTCCTCAAGCACACCGCGGGGCAATTGTCGTCGTTGTGTTTGTGTCAGTATTGCACATTCTGTATTTACCTTGAGCACAATGGCACAGCAATTCCATGTTTGAACTTGGCGAGGCGAGCCATGTTGCAATCCACAGGAGCACTCGCTGCAATGGGCTATTATGCAGTGCCTTACCACTCAATTTCTTGCGTCCGAACGCCACGCTCTGGTTCGAATGATGAGTGGGTAGACCTAAAGCTTTACTGCACTCATCGAATGCACTAGAATGTGGAACGCCGGCGCCTGGCATTTAGTTTATGCATTTGAATGCGTTCGACTAGTGCAGTGGAGATGAAATCTACCTTTGTCTACACTGTATTTGGGAAATGCGTTCAAATGCGAAAACCAAACGCCGGCATTCCGCGTTCTAATGCATTCGACAAGTGCAGTAGAGACAAAGGCTGCTAGCTTTAGGTCTACCCACTCCTCGTTCCAACCAGAGCTCAGAGTTCTGACAACCATGTGCGCTCTCGTCTCCTCCTCTCTCTGTTGCTCAGCGCATAGCTCTCAAAGTGTGTATAGTTAGTACTTAGTACTGAAGGTTACACAAAGCAACCATGCTGTCCAAATTTCTTTACTTTTTTTTTTTTTTTTTTGAGGGACAAGCATTTAGAAGCAAGGCAAATAACACAATTTAATATAGCTGGTAGACAAAAAAAAGAAAGAAGTATTGCCTCAGTATAAAGCATGGAAATCAAGAGTCAATTTATTACGCTCAAGCATCTTGGATTCTGACTGATGCCTTAGCTCCTTTTATTTAAAGAAATTTAAATGAAGATGCTTGACCCTAAAGCGATTCCTTCGTTTCATCTCTGGGACTTGTTTGCTTCGTCGGGTAGATCACAATAACCAGCGTCGTCTTTCCACTAGCACCGAAGTGAAACACTAAAGCCCGACACTTCAATGTTCCCAAATGCTTCGTGTTTTTCAGTGTCGCCATGTGCTGCAGGATACTGTGCAGAGCATTTGGCCCCACGGCGCCCGTGCCTCCTGCCAAGGCCTGATCGCTTCCCTTTTTTGCACATTCCGGAATTTTCAAAGCAACAAATGAAAACTCGCATCTATGATCTATTTGTGTATACATACTTTTTTTTTAAATAAATTAGTATTTCTATACATGTGACCAGAAGGTTTTGGTTTCATCAGATCTCGCACTTGCAAAACGATGAGATTCGAGAGCCGCAGAGGCAAAGATTCAGATCCAGGGCTCTACAAACTGCCGACTTTCGACAGGTCCTTTTTAACCAAAGGCAGTCGATTCTTCTGTGCTGACATTTTCTTCCCATACGTGTGGAGGTAGATTCCCAGGAGGACCATCAGGCCAGACCACACATACCTGAGGCAGCGCATAAGAAAAATTTACTTGTGGTTTCCATTTACATTGGAGCACGCACAAAAGGCACTAGATTATCTAACCACAAGACATTGATCTGAGGCTAAAAAGAGTCCTTTCATTTTTCCCCTGAGAAATAAGCTAGGCCATACAGAACTTGCTACTAGTTGTTAACTCCTACTGTAGTCAATGACAGGCTAAGAATTCAGTAGAAGCTCCACCTCCAACGCACACTCGTTGCCTTCTGCCAAGATTTTGCCGCACGTGCAACAAAGTGTTATCAAAGCGAAGCATCCACTCAGTTCTTAACCTGTTGCCGACTATAGCTGCAAAGTATTTTCTTTTGGAGAAACGCGACTACTGGATAATGATGAGATGGCAGTTATGGTTTCAGTGCGAGTTTCAAAAGGTTGTTTCATGCAGAACGGCTTAGTGTTAAGCTCAATTACTTGAGTGGCCTTGGTATTCTTGGACAGTCGGCCAGCTCTGGTCGCTTTGAAAACTTGTTAGAATAGGAATAGAAAATATTACTAGCTCATGCCATGATTAGTTCCAGTTCTCTATCAATAGCAAATTGAAATTGCTAAAAAATGCTTTCTAATTTGCACCAATTATATTTGACCATAGGAGCCAGTCAGAGAGCTGGAACTATATGTGCTGATGCAGCTAATAGTTGAGTGAGTGCTCCGTTTCAGGCTTCCAGGCCTCAAGGACACACCTGTCATGTGCCTCTAAATGCTTTACATGCCACATAAGACAGGCTATACTGATGCTCAGAAAAACTAAAATTTAATTTGGTATGTTTCACCATGAATGTCTCCCAGTTATACATTTTTCTCAGAAGGGAGTTAAAAAAGGGAGATGCGAGTTTTGTTTCATTCCATTTGAGTTTCCGGTTGTAAAATCTGATTAACAGCTGAGAAAGCTTCCTAGTATTAAGGTTTAATTGCATAACAAATGTAACAACGAAACTATATACCTTTATGGTTTTTCCTAGTTCGTTTCTTGCCAGTATGCTTTTCTATAATGTTTTGCTTGTATTTTGCTCAGTAGTAATCTTTGTCATTTATGTGAAAAACAAAAAAAAAATGAAGCTTTTACTTTTGAATATACTAGTTACACATTAAGGTTCATGTTGGCATCCCCAATGTGGATGGAAACTGTTTATGTTCATATTCAGGCTATGTTTATTGGGAGAGATTGGGTTGTACCCATTGAACTTTGACCTTGGCTATTATTGAGCAACTTTAAATGAAGCAGCTACTATGGCCTGTCATAAAACTGCTCTTGATTGGCAGATGGCTTGAAAAAAGGGAAATGAGTTACTCACTGAAATGAGAAGGGCTTAGCAAAAAGCATGAAGGAGAGGATGATGCTGACTGCCTTGCGGAATGTTGTCACAGTCACCGTGACAAAAGCACCGGTCATATTAATGAGCGTCAGGACAAACTGCACACCAAAATAGCCAGCAATTGCAAATACGGTGCCATAGCCGTAGGTCTCCATTGGATGCTGCAAGAAACTTTGTTTAAGCAATGTTGAAACAAATGTTGATATATTAAAAGATGCTTTAATAAAAATAATAGGTAGTTCTTTTTTATTGAGACAAGTTCCTGTAAAGTTATTTATCACTATAGTAAGACCATTATAAGAACAAATCAAGGAATAAGCTGAAAGTTGTGATCTAGAGACCTTTATCAATGTATTTCCAGGTGTATCCAAAATTATCGCAAAACTGGTATTTAAAACGGTGACTGTGCTAAAAATTGTTGACTGTAGGCCCAATATCTTTTGTATAATTCTCGAACAACTAGGAAGAGCTCTGTACGGTAAGTACAGCTATGCTAGTGTAAATGTAGTGGCGTACAGTAAATTATCAGACACACTATGAAATCAAGAAATATTTAAGGCATACATACCATAGAGCAAAACTGAAATGCAGCAATCAGTTCACCAGAGCAAAGCAGCAAGACCAGCAGTAGACCAACACCCATTGAGTAGGAAAAGAAAACCTGCGAAGCAAGACATCGATCCAGTCCCAAGCCACCAGCACAGTCGAGGAAGATTCATTGCAGCTTATACTGACAGTTAACTGTGTGCGTCACTCACAATTTCAATGTTGGAAGTACTGTGTTCCTTCATGGCTTTCTCTTGCACATTCCCAATACAAGCATCCATCAGAAAGGCACCCGTGATGTACAGCACACCTGCAAGGAACGTGAGGACAGTGAGGCACTCTTTACTGGTAGAACTTACAATTTATTTCTTTGTGTTATACTATGCATCCCTATAATTTCCCAACTCCAATGTCTTTCTGGAATACTGTACGCACCCAGCCGAGAAAATGTCGGAGATATCTGGGTGTCCGTCAGTATGAAAGCAGACAAGCCAACACTCATGAGCACTGCTGCCAAGAGGTCAAGTAAGCCATACTTTTTCCCTGGAACAAATGCATGATATTGGAAGCAACATAGTAACAGTTTAATTGTCCTTGCGATCATCAAGACACGGGTCCGAACACATTCGCCTCTTTAATTGGGTTGGAGCATGAACAGGATGCGATCAAAGCATGCATACATGGGTATGAAAGACTAATATGTAACTCCTAAAATTAAATTATGAGCAAGTAATTATTTTTATTAATTTTTTCATATTACCTTGAATGAGCACGCCACCCACCAGCACCGGGATTAGTTTGCAGCACTTAAACACCACTTGTGTCGGGTAGTTTAGATAGCCTAACGATGCGTTAGAAAATCCCATAGTACCGACGGTTAGTAGAGAAAGCAGTGCGTGTGTTCGTAGGGGAGTTCTGAAAAAAGGGAACATGACTGGAGATTGTGTGCGCGCGACAGTGAAAAAGAGAAAAAAGTAGGAAAGCGCGGATGATTTAGGAAAAGGGAACTTGCCTGCGAGTTGTGTCTCTCCGTAGAAATCGCTCTATGGACGATAAGACTGAGTACAAGATGAACTGTATGAGAGTCAGATAGAAACCGAAGGGTCTGAAACCTTCCAGTCTGAATATCAGCTCCTGTGGATGGGCGACGAAACAGTGTAGTGTACTGTACTTACCTGGCCAAGCGCGTTGTGTGGAAAGCAATTCTTGTTACACACACAAAAAAAAAGCTTCCTATATGACTCCTCACCTGCATGTAACCGTACGAGACGAAAAACAGGAAGACGCCGACAGTGCAGATCGTGAACTGTAAGAACAACGGCAGGTCTCCGATGTCCAAGCAGCATAAAATCACCCTGCGTTTTCCACCTGACGTGCTGCCCCTTTTTGCGAAACATGGGTTTCCATGTTCCATTTTACAAGCTTGTTCAAACAACAGGCACTGGTAGTCTGGTACAATTAGAGGATCACGAAGTGAAGAAAAGACCACACCGTCAGCATCTCAGCAGCAGACGCCCGCGAGACCAGACGTCGCATTCAGAAAGTTAATCCGTGTAGGTCTGGAGCGTCTAGAGTGACGAGACTCGTTCAAGTATTCAACGCTTTTCACGTATGAGACGCTGCAACAATTGCCCCCGAGAGTAGCTCCGCATAGCCAAGGGTCAAAGTAACGTTGCCAAGGGTGTAGTGCATTGAATTTTAAATTATTAAATGAACAAGCAGACATTGTCACAATTTCAGATGTAACAAAGTTAAACGTCATAGCGAACTCTACTTGTTATTTTATTATTTAAGACGTTTGTTGAAAAGGCGGCCAGGTAGCGCAAGTCGTTGCTTCCTTCAATACGCAATTTGGACACTCACTTATTTAATTCATCTACCCAACAAGCGTTGCGTTTCTTACTCCACCCATTCATAAACCCATATATGACGTCAGAGCGTTGATTTGATCAAGTGAATCCGGATCCGGTTCGTAACATCGGTTGGTTGGGTTGAGTTTGTGTCCGTCGCAGGCTGTGGGTGGCCGTGGTGGATGTGGTAGAGTGGTAGATGTGCGGTTCCATGTGCGTATTCGCGTAACGTCGGAAGTTGTTTTGTCTCACCCTGCTTGGTCTCATCTCTGCTTGGATATCCCGCAAGAGAATCTAAAGATGGGGGAAGCGACGCAGGTGAGCTCTCTGCCACTGCCGCCGATGCAGTACGTGAGCCTCTACTCCGAGGAGAGCATGAGCAGAGGCAGAGCGCCGTCGCCGCCCAGACCACTGCAGGACTCCTACTCCATGTTCGGGGCGCCCTTCCACAGCGACGACCTCATCATACGGCCGCTCGAGAGCCAGGGCATCCGACGCCTGTACCCGCAGAACTACGAGCACAAGAAGGAGCTGAAGAAGTTGAATCACTCGCTGCTGGTCAACTTCCTAGACATGCTGGACGTGCTCATCCGCTGCCCGGACACGTCCAAGCGGCAAGAGAAGAAGGAAGACATGAGCCTGCTGTTCGTGCACATGCACCATCTCATCAACGAGTTCCGGCCGCACCAGGCCAGGGAGACGTTGCGCGTCCTGCTCGAAGTGCAGAAGAGACAGCGCCTGGACACCGCCGACCGCTTTCACAAGCATCTGGACAAGGTGCGTGAGATTCTCCAGAACACGCTGACGAGTTTGCCGGACGCGGAGGTGGAGGTGCGGTTGCTCCCGGACCAGAGTGCACTGTTGGCTTCGGCTGCTGCCGCGGCGTCCGAGGAGGAGGAGTGCCTCAGCCAGGACAAAATCATGTGCGACATCATCGATGCCCTCTGACTCTCGCCCGGTCCATCGGGCCTTACCAGCGACGACGCTTTGTGACCACCCTTGAAGTTATTGGGGTCCACACGATCTGTTCATTTGACAGCGATATGGGGCTGTATTTGTGTGACTTCGTTCTTTCACAAGCTTGTGATGGCGGTAAAGACAAAAACAAGAACTCTGCATGCTCCCGGACAACACTTTCATCAGAAACGGATCATCGCATTATAGGACTGTTTTCGACCTACCTCCGCTTAGGTGGTGGTCTAAGAAAGCAAACACATGTGACAGGAATTTTTGGGGTTCCTACATATTTTAGTGTCATGCTCATGCTTTCATCATGAATGTCTACCGTGTCTCTTGCCTTATTTCTTGAGTTCTTAGAGACCTTTCTCAAAGGAGCACATAACTTTTGCAAGGACTACATGGCCTGGACCAAAATAGTTTCTTGCTAAATGAAAGCTGATGCAATGTGAATACTGAGTAGATGCCACCTATAGTCACAGTCCAGTTATAGTAGCAAGTTCTCCATTACCTATCTAGTGTTTACCATATAAAAGAAAGCTCCCCATTTAGATGCTTCTAGACAGTTGCACATAGAGGCAGCTATAGCTGACCTTCAGTTTATTTTTGTGGCTTTACTTCATCTCTATGGTCACACAAGGTTATCGCTTTTCTAAACTGTGTGCTTGTTAACCTGCATAGGCTTTGCGCGAGTTTGTGATGCCAGCTTTTGTAGCTTTGTTAGGTATAGGAACATCAGGTGGTAGCTCTGGAGGCCTCTTTGAAATTCAGTCTCTCCACACCTCAATCATTTTCATCATCAGACTATCTGGCTTCTGGCCAGGCAACTCTAGTGGCTGGTGGAGGAAGAAGTTTCAAACATGCCCCCAAGTGGCAGACAAGAGAATTCCGCTTTCGAGATGTTGCAATACAATGTACAAATTGGATAACAGCAACATGCGAGCGATTACCCCAACCCTGGTCGACAGGTTGTACAGAACAGTTGTTTCTTTGTCACAATCGACACTGAGACAAATTGAAAAATGTGAACAGCAAAGGAAACATTCCTATCTGCCATTCAGCTATGAAAGTGACTGTGCCTAATGAAATACAATATTTTCGTTACCACCTTAAGAGCAACTTGGCTGCTTGATGGCAGTAAATTTTGAAAGGGTCTACTTGTGCTGAAAACGTCAATAGTTTGTCAGTTGAAGTTGCATTTTCTCTTTGAATGAGATGAATGAATATATGCAGACTTTAAACGAATGGTAATATTGCGAGGGAAAGGAAAAATTAACTGGATTCATAACACATTCTCCTTCACGTCAAATCTTGAGAATAAAATGTCTTGAAAAACATTGCTGCACCATGTTATTTTCATAAAAGTTATTCAATATAAAGTTAAAAGAATTTTAGCTTTTTTAGCTTTGAACTGCAGTTTTAAAAAGATTTAGTGCACCAAGAACTATATCTAGCTTGCAGGTCAACACTCGGAAAGCAGATTTTTAAACTTGTTCACATGTGGGTTTGCCAGTTGCCCATATTTACATGCACAATCTTGATCACACCTACCTGGAGTCCGAGAGTGTTCTTCCATTAATGGCCTGCAGATGCCATGCAGTTCATAACCAGGGTAGTATTTGCCGTTATTCCAACACCTCAGAAATCGCCAAGAACGGACAGTGGAACAAGGTGGACAATGTGAATGGTCTGCCATGCTACAAGGACTCTTCCTTTACGCCAAAGGTGCTCGAGGGTTTGTGATGCTATGAATTGGGCACCAACCTTGTAGATGTTTTAAGGCCTCACATGTGATTCGGTCAAGTGTGGGTGGGACTATGCCAATTAGATTAAATGGCCGTTCGGTTATATTGGATAACAAAATATTCGGTTACCCGGGTTAGATTTAAAAAGCAGTTGTCATAAACCCTCGGTAAATTAAGAATTATTGAGTGATAGAACCAGAGCTGAGCAACACTGCCGCATGCACTTTTTGGAGCAAGTTTTGAAATGCTTGAGTGCAGGATGCGACATGGTTAGTTCATACATGCGACCCGTTTCCTCGTCTGCCCCATTTGCACAATCAAAGGGCGGCCATCAAAACGACAAAGTATCGTGAAATATGCATGTGTCCAACACCAACTTAAGTGGTCAATTTTGGCATTGAATACTAGTAACCTACAAGATTTGTGAGATACAGATGTTATGTTCAGGTCAATAGTGAGCAATTTTTCCTCATTCAAGTATCTGGATTATTTTTATTGCTTCTTGATTGATTGTTCTAGGCAAACAGTGAGTTGATGTCAACCTTGGCTGTAGTCTTCATCCATGAACAAGTTGTTTTCACAACCAAGATTAAAAATATCCATTTGTAAGACTGCAAGCATCAATGGTGTGCAGCAGTATTTCACAACTGTATATGAAGTGAGCACACAGGCTACGGTAAAGTTTTTATTTAATGATGACCCCATCGTTCAATGCACCATTGCATAAATGCAGCTACCTCATACTACACTCAAACAGGGAGCATTGAGCCACAACAAAAGACACTGAACCAAACATTGGTCCAAGCATATAGTGCTCAAAGGCACACAATTTGTTCATCACACATCTGAAGGCTTCTCAAAATATTTTGGCCTTATAAAAGAATCATGTTCACAATGCTACTTGCATGTCAGATACATGCAATATTCACTTACTGGTCAATGTCAATGCAGTAAAATTCAGTTGGCAATGTCGGTTTGGTCTAAAAGGCTTGACCCGAGTCCATGGAAACTTCTCCATGGTTTCCACTGATAAAAAGAGCCAGACTAAATTAAGGACTGACATCAACATTTTAATAGCAAACAGACTATTTTTAATCAGCACTAATTATTGTTAAAACAACAGAGGTACCAGACCCTGGTTTCTGCAAATAGGATTTAAACAATGCCAGGTATAAAATTAAAAAAAAAAAAAAAAAGATACTTAGTTTTAAACATAAAATTTTAGACACTGGCATTTGTCATAAAAGTAGAATTCACCAGAAATAAAACAAACTTCTGAAACCAACATTAGGGAATAGTAACCAGGAGTATAGTTAATTAAAAGACACACCACATAATACATAATACAAGGTAGGCTAGGGTACATAAAAGAACTGTCAATATACAAATGTACTAGAATATTTGTGCCCCATGAAAGTCCAGTCGAATACTATGTACAATACAACATCTTTGTGGGCAGTTCTTGATCCACTCTGGGGTGCCAGTTGGGTTCCTTGGGGGGGGGGGGAACAACATGATAGGGCAAAAAATGACAAATGACGTAACAATTATTAGATGCCGCTTTCATGTTCGAATAAACACAGGTGGTGCACTTATTTGTGAATCTTGTCCAAAAATTTGTTTACGTCCATACTTTTCAGAGAATCCTGCAAGCAGAACAAAAGCAAGATTTTAATACATTGCATCAAACGCCCATAAAAAAACATAAAAAAAGCTGTACACGTGAAATCCTAGGGACACTACCGTAATATCCCGAGAGATAGCCCAACAAAAAACCAGAGCAAATTGGGTGAAAATGAGGAGTGAACTAACTTTCGGTGTGCGACAGAGAAAATAAAAAAAAATGCCATTTTTGTCTTTTGTGATTTGCCAAACTTGTTTTCACATTGAGTAGCCAGAAAGTATAGACAACTGTCCTTCCCAGTCTCCAACGTTTGTTTATCTCCCACTGTAGCCAATTGACCCCATTTTCGCTGACTTCACCATTGGAGAGATCACCACTGCAATTACTAAAAAAAATCAAAACGTAAAAAAAATAAGGGTGAGTTATCTTTGGGGATATTATACATTAAGCCTTATAGTAAAGTGGACAAACGCACACAAAAATATTTACATTGCAGTAACTGCGTAAGCAAGAAATAATGTCGTACCTCATTTTTCGACCTTTTCAAGTTCCTGTTCACCTGTAAAAAATTTTAAAAAAATAAAATAAATTCAAGTAGCTCAAAAACATTCATTTAACAATTTCATCTGGGCAATGCTATTCCCATAGTTGTAGTATTCCTCTGCGACTCATAGCAGAGCACATTAAGATTTTCTATCCAAACTACTGGGTGAATTAAGGAGCGGCCAGGCTCTTTAAATCGACCGCTAAATTCGGTTTCTTAACCTATCTCATTCAGATTTTGTACAGCGTTGGCCACAGGTGGTTCCTTTTTTCTATAAAATTCACAAAAAGCGAGCTTACCTGAGGAAAAAGTAAAAAAAGGAAAAGGCTTAGCTCCTATGGAAAACGCAGCGGAACCACTGGTCTTCAAACCATAGCGCCCTTAGGTTTGAAGACTGGTGGCTTCGCTGCGTTTTCGGTAGGAGCTAAGCCTTTTTCTCTTTTTACTTTTTCCTTAGGTAAGCTCGCTCTTTGCGAATTTAATAGAAAAAATGCACCACCTGTGGCCAACGCTGTACAAAATCTGAACGCGATAGGTTAAGAAACCGAATTTAGCGGTCGATTTAAAGAGCCTGGCCGCTCCTTGATACACCCAGTACATACTAATTTTTTTATAGTGTATAATTCACTTTTAAGTAGCACCGCTGCTCTCCTCAGAGGTAGAGTTAATTATTACTAGATATAAGTTGACTTCATTGCCTTGGAAGATCATTTCCACACTTGAGAGCTGTAATTTTGCAAGGAGTTGCACTATGTCAGTTATGGCTACTTGTTTATGACAGAACTTGAGGACAGTTTTCTGTTGCATTCCAAAAAAGAGGTACAGCACACGTGCACACAGTTTTGACCAGTGCTCAAAAAGAGAAAAAGCACACCTTTTCATACCTTTGACTGCATTGCCACAGAAAGATGTCCCAGAGTTTAAACGGCTTCTGTCAGAATTGCCTCTGCAATCCTATAGCTGATTTTGACCTGTATAGAACTCTATATCTGGCAAGTCGATGTCTGTACTATGTCTACATTCCCTCTGCCTTGGACCAAAGTGTGGACTGCAGTATCTCGTAAATAAAATAAAATGGGGCAAGTCCTTTCACATTTAAACGACTCCAAAAAAAAGGTTGGTGAGGTGGCTGTTGCTTTCAAGGTTTTAGTTTTTTCTATTACCACCTCTATGCACTGCAATAGACCTATTTTAAAAGTCCATCAAGCAATATTGGCTGTCACCATTGTTTGGACACGAAGCGGGTGACTGGATCCGAATTCACGCCGAACGCTAACGCAGCCCTTGTGTCCAATACATGCTATGCTTGACCAAGCAATGGCGGTCAGGCATTGGCACGGACTTTTAAAAAAGGTCTATACTAAGGGCACTCCCTTAAGAAAAAGAAAAAAAAGAAAAAAGAGCTACTGAGATATTGACAATGTTCGGCCCTATAATACTTTTTTCATGCAGAAAGTGCAGCCTGGAACATGTCCACGACCCTTCAATAAAACGAATCCCGGGTATCGTTAACTCTTCACACGGTAAGAGGACAAGATGGGCTAGTCGGTACATTGCAAGAATACTGAAAGCTTCGAGAAACAAGAACTACAAAGAAGAACTTGTTTCTTTCTAAGTCACTTTCAGTGGTCTTTCTATATGGTTGCAGACAAAGGCAAGAGAAACACAATGGAAGCACACGCGAAACCGACCTTTGAGACCGATTTTCTCTTGTGTGACCGACGCTCTCCCGACAGCTCCGACGAAGACGTTTCAGAAGCATTGCTGACATTGTCGTCGGCCACACTGAGCAGAGCTCGTTGCATGGCCCCAGCCAGGGTCGTCCCAATGGATGCAATCGTTTTTGCCATGTCCTCCCTCACCACCCTCACCTCCGGGGCATCCAAGGCGTCCTCGGAGCAGCTCTCGAAATTCAACACCCGAACGTGCTTCTTTGAAGAGATGCACCTCGAGGCGACCTTGGCGAGCGATTTGAGCTGCGGACTCTTGCTGAGGTTCGGCTTCGGGCCGGCGCCGCAAATGATGGCCACCGCCGCAGACTTCTGAGATGTGCTGGCTCCCAGGCTTGGCTCTTTGGAGACCCGTTCCGTCAACCTCAACGTTGTCGTGGCCGTGGCACCACGCTTGGGACTCTGCCGCACACCCTGCGACGGCCCATTGGATTCGCTCGGCTGGCGTTCATGGGGCACGATGAAGTGAACCACTTGCCCCGGCTTGGCCTGGATCGGAACCGTGGATCCGGGTTGAATTACGGTCGGATTGCGCAGATTGCACTGGCTGATGGCGGTGCGCCCTTGCTTGAGGAGTTCGTTCATGTGCGTCATGGCGCGAAGCCGACTTCGTTGCTCGCAGCTTGCTGCCTTTTTTACAATTTCTGGAACATTTGTCAGAGGGAAGGGGTCCAAATCAGGAGACCAATACGTAATCGTCGCAGACGGGAAAAAACACAGTTTGACGTTCACAACAACGCAATTTAAAATTAACCGAAGTTGTTTTCCGACTGACCATCTCACTCGTCCTTGACTCTTAACCACAGCTACTAGGAATCGAGCCAATGTTCGAGTTGCAGGGCGACCATTACCGAAACTCTTTGAATCGAGCAGAACAAGAATCCAGGTTTCTCACGGGTGAAAACCCGCAAGGAAATTGCAAGAAAAGGAACACAATGTAAGAAGAACAAAAACTTAGTGGAGGATCCCCATTTACTAGGAATGTGCAGAAATAGCCGCGGTTTGACTATAATCTCCTTCAGTCAAGCCTAGATTTTACAATCTAAAGAGAGCTAAGGCGGTCCAAGCCCGTGACACTCACGTTTGGGGGCCATTTGCAGAGGCCGCGGAGGAAACTGCGACGGCACGTGCCCCTTGGGTTGAAGCAGGGGCAGCCGCTTCTTTGCGGGAGACTTCCGAGGCACGATGACGTTCACCGTGTTGGAGGTGGTGCCGTACAGCTGCTGGCCTGGCATCGGCGGAGAGAACGGGCACAAGAAACAAAGCCGTCACTCGGGGCATTCCTCGCAACTTTCTCGCGTAAACCTCGACATTTCCCCGAATTCGAGCATCTGGCAAAAAGCTCGGTCCATAGTTAAAGTGGGGGTCTTGCAAAAATAATAAAGAAAAAACCAAAAGGAAAAAAAAGAAAAAAAAAAGTATGATTTGCCATGCAAGTGCACTTTGTAGATGCAGTCGAAAGCCAATACATGACGCTGTGGGTTCTCGAACTGAATTCCCCGGAGTACCCTCGTGGGGTCTCCGATCCCCCACATTTCCTCGACAGTCCCCCCTACCCTGAACAAACCATTTTTTCCTTTTTTTTTCAATAGACCATTTGCTAAATCTCCCAAGCACCTCGGCCCATGCCTGAGGAATCATGGGAACGGTGGTCCTTCAGCTTAATAATGATTGGTAATGTCGACCAATTCGATGGTTACACAGTTTTCAGTGTAATCCGGAGTCACACTGAACAAGCGTCGAGTAGTTTAAGGACCTGTCACGCCACTTTTAAAATTTCTGACCAATGTCAGCGTTTTTTGATACTGCGAAAACTTCCCATTGCCTTCAATGTGAAAGGCAACGCTTGCAAACAATCACTTCTACTCCACTATGCTGGCAAACGGGTCTACAACATCTCCGAGACCCTCTCCGACCTATAGATTGGCTAACATCAAGCCAAGCGTCGACAGCCAGCTCATCATCCACGCCACCCACGAGCAGTAATCCCAACCAAGTTCTCAAAGACAAGCTTAACGCCTACTTCAACCCACACACAAACACGGCACAAGAGATTTTTCAATTTCACCAGGCAAGACAACTAGAGAGCAAAGTCACAGGCCAATTCTGCGTCCGACATCGGCTTCTTGCTCGTCACTGCGAGTTCACAAATACTGACGTCGAAATCAAGAACCAGATCACCTCCGCAACGTCCTCACGCCTGTGATGTGATGCTCTCAGGTTAGACTTGTAACTCTCATCACTATTAAAGCATGCCCGGGCCCTTGAACATGTTAATTAAGCAACAACAACCATGAAAGAACCGACGAGTGCGACAATTCAGGCTGTCACTAAGCAACATCGAAATGCCTTGGGGAACTTTCGGCCAAGAAATGACCAACGATTTCTAAAATTTTCTACATGTCTAAAGCCAGGACGTAGCTCGCAACATCCCCATATCTCTCCCCGTCCTAGTGCTTCCACTGTGGTGGTAACTGGCCCCATAAAGGAGGGAAAGCGAATTTCCCCGCAAAATCTTCCTGCTGCAAAACATGTGGCAGGAGGGGCCATACTGCGAGGTATGCAAATCAGCACACAAACCCATATTTCAGATCCGGTATGATTCTCACTCCGAAGATACGCCGTGGGAACTGTCTCACGGATATCTGAACGAGGTCTCCCACAAGTCTGTATAAATGTCAACAACACCCCTGTGAACTTCCTACTTGATACAGGCGCATCAGTATCAGTCATCGGGACCCACACCCTAACAAAACTTGGTACAGCCACTAAGCTTCAACAGGCAGGAGTTTGAATCTACGCACACGTGTCTAACAACCCCTTACCCATCATTGGACAACTCGGTGTCATGTTATCTCACAGATATAGCCACACAACAGATGACCCGTTCGTAATGGAAGTTGCCACGAAATCACTGCTAAGCTTCGCGGCTGCCAGCAGACTTGATCTCATCAAAATAACATATGCCGTCGAACTGTGCACCAACACGGATATGTCTTCCCCCGCTGAAACACCACTCATTGCTTTTCCTGATCTGTGCGACGGCATTGGAAAACTCAAGAATTCACAAGTACATCTTCATATTGATGGAAACGTCTTTCCGGTGGCCCAACCACACCAACGCATCCCATTTGCTCTGTGAAGCGAAGTAGAAGAGAAGATAAACCAGCTTCTGGCCCTGGCCATTGTTGAAAAAGCGTCAGGACCCACTCCACGGATAACTCCAGTCGTCATTGTGCCAAAACAACAAAACCCAGAGGACATTCGATTATGCATTGATACGAGATGTGAAAATCACGCAATCCTTCGTGAGCGACATGCTTGCCCCACCACTGATGACATAACAGCAGCATTGAATGGGGCAAAACGTTTCACGAAACTGGATTTAAAAGATGGACACCATAAACCTAGAGCTTGAGTGTGGGGAACAAAACATTTTCATCTTTACCTTTATGGCAAAGACACCATGTTTCAAAAGTCGTGACTAGTGCAGATGTGGTTGCTGCCACTGCTGTCGATCCGTATCTACAGCAATTAATTGCTGCCCTCAAGAATCCTGCCAACTGGAGCAAGCCAGCGCTGAGAGATTTTGCATCAATACAACACAAGCTCTCTCTGACAGACGGCGGTCTACTGCTGAAAGGCGATTGCATCGTCTTACGTGCCGCTCTCCAACAACAAGCAATATCCCTTGCACATGCTGGCCACTAGGGGACAACCAAAACGTAAGCTCTTATGAGGCAAAAAGTTTGGTTTCCAGACCTAGACAGCATGGTGCAGGCAACTCTAAAGAACTGTATGGCATGCCAGGCCACTATCAAGCATTGAAAAGCTGAACCCGTCGCTACTCCAGCAAAACCCAACTAGGCTTGGGAGGCCCTCTCACTTGATTTTTGGAGACAGTTCTCTAACAGAAAATACCTAATGGTCCTAATAAATCATGCTTCGCGATATCCTATCATGAAGATATAATCATCACTCGCGGCCTCAACAGTAATTAAGAATCTTATGAAGATCTTTAGTATTTTTGGAATCCCGAAAATCATCAAGACAGACAATGGACCTTCATTCCAGAGCCACAATTTCAAAACTTTCACTCAGTCATTAGGATTCCGCCATCACTGCATTACACCGTGCAGGCCACAAGCTAATGGAGAAGTTGAGCGGTTTGTACGCATGCTCAAGAAATACATACAAGCGACGACACTGGAAAGCAACACTCGAACCACAGAGTTGAGCAAGTTCTTAATTAATGGCTTACAGGGCACCTCCTCACTCGACAACAGAACATTACTTTTCGGATGACCTTCCTCGTTCAACGGACAACGATAACGCCGAACAACAGATGTGGCGACACACAGATCTCACAAATCGCAAATGACACAGGGTCTACGCAGACGAGCACAGACACACAAGGACTCACAACCTCAAGATTGGGGATTTTGTTATCTGCAAGCAAAACCAGACAAATGAACTGACTCCTCTGTATAACCCCAAGACATACACGGTCACCGAGATCAACAGAGCATGAACCACTGCACGAAGGAGTCAAACAACAATCACTAGGAACTCTAGCTTCTTTAAACCTTTTCCTGGTAGCACAAATCCAAGGAGAAATGAAGAAATTGATGACACAGATGCCAGATGGTTCACCATTAACCCATACGCAATTGACAGTGACAACACGCCTTAAAACCACCAAGCTCTTGAACCCGGTGAGCACCTTGACGTGTTACGGGGAAAAAGAGAGCAGCTGCTCGCTGAAGCACCGGATCCCTCAGGTGCGGGACGACCAGTTCGTACAAGACGCCCACCAGACAGACTTGAAGACTATGTCTGTAACTAACTATAATTTATTTCTACTGAAATTTATTTCTCTCTTTGTGGGGGAATGATGTAGTGATGGGGTTTTGTTGATGGATTGGGGACAAAGAAGTAATAAAAGTTGAGAACAGGGATGGTGTCCATTGCTTGGCTCCAGGCTCTGCCGCTTTCCTGACCCTTATTCACCACTTTAAAAACTCTACAAGAAAGACGGCATACACTAACGCGCCGAGAGACACCGAGGATGACGTGGGGACCAACCGGGGAAGCCGGAGACGGTGCGGATGTCGGAGAGGACAACCTTGCACGGGGTCATGGTCTGCCCCCCCGTGGCAAGCACCACGGTGCCTGGGGGGTGCACCAGCTGGGCGTTTGGGTGGTGCAGCTGCGCGGTGACTGTCTCCTCCGCCCGGAGCAGCACCCGGGTGCCGTCCTGGCAGATGAACACTGCCTGCTGCTGCGGAGTCACCATGGGCGAAGGCGGGCAGCTTGGCGACGGGGGCGTTGCAACAGTCGTCGTGCCGGGAACCCTGCGGGTGCCAGAGGAGCAACGAGATTAGTGAAATGCAGTTAAAAGATCTGTCAATGTGTTACCGACGAATGCCGCACCTTTTGTACTGCGTACGAGTGACGTGACTGCGGAGGGGCCACGCGAGAAATTTTTTACTCTCGGTAAATACTGCTTCGAATTATTATTTGACATGCGGAACTTACGAAACATATACTACCATAATATACCGAGTCATCACCCACCCCCCTGCCGCCTGAGATTCATAAAAAAAAAAGTGGGGTGGGCCATGTCTCAACAAATAAGTACAAAAAAAAAAAAAAAAAAATTTGGTACATATTTAGAGCGGTTGCGCAAGAGATACATTAAACTCAAAACTCGAATTAGTTTCACTACAGCAAAGTCCGTTGCTTCCACATGTGCGATGAACACCGCCGATCGGCATACAGTGCAAACGTTTGTTCCGTGAAAGCACATTTTTAACTGTGCTATGTTCTATCCCACCGTTCTCTTAGTTAGAAAAGAAAAAAAGAAATAAAGTAATCAAGAAAATAGAAAAACCAAATAGGCGGAACGAACGAGCGAGCGGGCCAATGAAAAGCGACGAAAAGCGGTGCTGGGGAAGCGGGGAAGGTGGCGATCGAGTTGGCAAATACTTTGGTGTCGGGCCATGTTGGGTGCCTTGCTAATCACAAGAAGCAGGCAGGCTCCTGTAACTTTCTTGTTTCGAGCATACTGCGTGCATCTGTGCGCAACGTGCTATCAATGTCGGATGAGGTGGTGTTGCTCCATAGCGTGGACGGCACCATGAACACGGAGCTCAAATTGGGACGCTTTACAAGCGTCTGTGTGCGGCGTTCCAGCAAATCTTGATTCACCCGTTGGCTTTGTCTCAAACCCTGCACAACCTCACCAACCGCAGTCGCAATGTTTCGGGAGAAGGAGCATCTTTGCAGTGATTTTGGAGGAGACGGGTGAGGCGTTCACTGACCTCACAATCCCCGAGTGGGGTAATGCTTCTCTTATCTTCCAGATTTTGTTTTTGTCCGAACGAGTATTTTTTATAAACAAAACAAAGTTTCATTTTGTTATCTCCATCGTTTTTCTTTTGCACACACAGTGGTGACTTGGAGCAGCTCTTGTAGTAGCAAAAAACGGGTTTTGGAGCAGAGACTTTTGGAACAAAGAATTTTGAGCTTTCATGGTAGAAAATTTTACACAATCTCTTTGAAATTTTTTTCGTGGAAAACACTGCAGTTGTTGAAGTGTTGGGAGACTATTTAAAGTGTCATATATACAGGGGACCTGGCCACTAGTAATTTTTATTATTTATTGAACAATCATATGACAGTAATTTTGTAAATGTCCAAATTACCCTATTAGGAGTACCAATAGCGTCTTCGGTCTGTATTGCTGCTCGCTTGTATTCCCCCTGCTACTGTTCATAGAACAGCTAAGCAGAGCACATAGCTACTCCAACTGATCACAATGAATAGCACTAGCTATTCATTGCAATCAATGTGAGCACCGTTCATACAAAAACCTAGAACTCTTCATTAGGCATGTGCAAATAATGGATTTTGGATTAGAAGCAAATTCAAAGGGAATAGTGCTTTGGGCCAAATATTTTTTAATTGAATATTGAATAGTTGCTGCGCCTTTCACTACTGTTACACCATGCTTAAACAAAAATTCAGCTGAACTCAAAAAGGTTGTTCCGAAATTTCTAATTGCCCAGTTATGAGCTGTTAAATTTAATTGAGCACTGTGGCCTCAGAAAGTCCAATACCTACATTGGGATGGCATGTAAACGACAGATCTTACATTAAATTAAACCTAAAAAAAACCCAGCCATACCTAATTAAGGAAATTTATAAATATTTTCGCTATACGCAAAAATGTTTTCTGGTGCTCAAAAAAAATTGTTGCCTAACATATGTTTTTGCATAATAGCCACAGTCAAATTTGGAAGATACTACTGCAATATAAGTATCAACAATAACAATGTTTCCTGTTTCTTTTTTTAATACACCAAGCTCGTGCACGCATCAGGCCACTCTGAAGGTGTGTTTTTTGGCTAGGCGTGCGGCTCCAGAAGTGAGTCACAAGTCCGCGGTGTCAGCTCCACGGGTATTGTTTCTCTGCAGTGCACCGGTGCTTGAGGAGAGGCGCACTCAGTGGGCCTCACCCACCGCGACCAACACTTGGAAAAAGCACGAATATCGGAGTTCATTTTGAAGAGAATATTAAATAGCGTATTATTTAAAATTACCATTTGAAAATTTTAATATCCACACAATCCTACTCTTTGCACATATTACATAGGCATCCGAAACAAACACCAAGTGCCCTTTCTTAATTTTCAGTGGCAGCACCAACAATGCCACGTGCCAGACACTTTCAGTTTACTTTTCGAGAACAGTGGCGCAGATATGGCGATATCTGTGCACAAATTCAGCCTTTGGAGCATCATGTAGCAGGTTCTTCATTCTGGCACAGTTTGGCACAAATGGTGCGGGAGTTCCACCACTACACTCCTGTACACCAACTTCGGGCTCGTGGAAATCAGGGAGGAAATACGTAAACAAAATAAAGTGTCTTTCCCTCCTTCGTTTTGCTTTGTAACGAACGTCCTCCAACCTTAAGTTCAACGGCCGCGTCATTCGGGTAAGATGAATGTTCGCGGATTGCGTAGTCTGCATTGGGGTATTTCTAGGGGTGGGGCAATGACTCTGTTCGTAGCCGGAAGCAGCAGCCACGTGACCTGGAGTCGATTATGTGCCACCAACGTTCATCGTAGCCACGTGCCGGGGCTCGCATAGGACAGGGCATGTGCAGAGTTTCGCACAATGTTAAGATTCGGCTGCCCCCGTTGTTGCGGCGATTGGGCACGAGCCACTACTCGAACGCACGTTCGAGGCGTTGATTGCCACGTTTAAATATCGTCGATGCAGGGATCGCGAAGTTCAACGACGAAATTCTGGTGATCGCATTGTTGATAACGCCATCAATACAATGACTTCGTCATTAAGTTTAGCGAAAAAAATGACTCAAAGAAAAATGTTCGCTTTTATCCTCGGAATTACCATCCTCAGAATCACGCGGAGACGAAGGAGCTCCTTCGACAATGGCGTTGTGTGCGAGTATACTTGGATGCCACTAGTTCCAACAAGTTTGTGTAAAGTGAGAAACATTCCTACCCAATATTGTTGGTGTGTCGCGTGATGTCGCAGTGTCACGCAAGGTAGCGATGTCTTGTGATGTCGGGGCATTGTGTTAAGCCACGTGAAGGGGAGAAGCTTGCCATTGCGGCGAGGAAATGCTTTGTGCATCTCCCTGCCCTAACGTTAAAGTTTATCGGCGGTCAGCGTAGTTCATGTGCAGAATGCTGCAAGGATCCATTTTCTTGTAAATAATAAATTTTGAAATTACCGTAATTTTTTGTGCCAAGTACAGATATACAAAGGCTGCACGAAAAGTTTAGCGTAGCGCAGAAGCCACTGCAGATTACAAAACTTTTTTTTTTTTTTTCAGGATGAAAACATTTTTTAGTTCTGACTGCCAAGTTTCATACCTGTGTGAGGTTTTGTTCACACCCTGAAGGTGGACGTGAACAGTCGAGACAGAGGAAACATATGAACTCTCACGGCATACATCTTCTGGGACGCTGAGGGCATTTCAATGATCGATTACTTCCACGCAGGCCAGACGCTCAGTGTTGTACAAAAAAAAGCACTTCCCACTGGACAATGCTGCCATGGCCACTGTGAAGAAGTAATCTGACACCTAAGAGGGATTTCATTCTTCTTCAAGGGTGGCAAAGTTTTAGTACAGATGGTAAAAGTGCATGGATGTGCAGGAGGACCATATGGAAGTTATGAAGCTTCATCCCTGTGAAATGACTCCATCATATGTAGGTGCAAGACTTTTCATCCAACCTATGTATTTATTATCTATTTTAATTAATTAAGAAAATCCTGACCTTATGGCAAATGTTTTTGCCCAAAAACCACAGCCAAAGGTATGTCTACGAAGTCATCCTAAAAATAGTTATTACACATGTTGAACTAATGTCATTAATAGCTTGCTACAAGTCATTGTAGTTATTGAAAATGAAACAATCTGAAAGTACATATTTTTCAGGTGGTTCAAACTTATTTATGAAGCATCAACCCCCCAACCCCCCTTTCTAAACCCTTCTAAACAATCTTGCAGATTCAAGTTCAAGATCCAAAGATGGTACGGCCAAAACTTTGCGTTAGGACCAAAAGATTCGTTCTGAAAAACAGAAACAATCTTCTCGGAACACGCATGCATGTTTCACATTTCAAACATTTCAGAATGTTGCATGCATGTTCCAAAATGCCGTGCAAAAACCCACCCAAGTACTTTACCGATCTTCTCTGTGCAGAACTATGACGCTAAATGTCACGAAACCGACTTATAAGGTCCAGGCATGCCTGCAAAACATTTTGCAACTGTTTTCCCCGAATAACTTCGTTCCCCACTCTCACCTCTCAGACTGGCTCAGGGCCAACTTGTTTTCGGGCGTGAGCACAGAGTCCACAATGTCCGCCAGCGTTTTCAGGCTCTTCCCTCCTCCTGTTTCTTTCTCGGGCAAGTCAGGAATCGAAATGCACGTCACGGTCTGTCCTCCGGCGTCCACGGAAGTTGACAACACACGCACTGGCAATGTCGGCGACGTATTCGGCGACATCTTCGGCGGCGTCTTTGATGGCGTCTTTAACGGTGTCTTTAACGGCGTCTTTGACGGCGTTCTCAATGGTGCTTTCGAAGGGGTCTTGAATGGAGAGTCTGCACATGTCTCTGAAGGCGCAGCTGGACTTGAAGCGACAACTTGTTCGTGATGACACAAGGATGGCGAGCTGGGCAAAGGTTTTGCTAGAGGCGACGAACACGGGGACTCCATTATGCTCCTCAAGAGCTGCGGAGTCGTCGGAGGCTGCGACGACGGTGTTTTGGGAGTTCCGCTGCCCCTGTGCTGTCTCGAGCCGGCCGGGCCTTTCGACCTGGGAGTGACCATGGTCACGGGTGCATCGTTTGTGGTGTCTAGTCTATCTGAAATTGTGAGAAAAGAAAAGCGACTTACTGCAAAGCACGTTTCCTACGACGCTCGCCGGAGGCCAAACAAACCGAGCAATCTGCAGAAACTTCCCCAAACATACGTACCACACATTTGAGAGAGGACTCGTTCGAAGACTGGATCATTCTCAGTCTTGTTTAGAATGTCTCTGATCATTGAGTCGGGCAAATTAATACCCTGAAAGAAAGAAATCCCAAGTTGTGACATTGCTCATGTGGCATGAAAGGTGCAAAACATACAATTTTATCCGTACTTCAAGAAGGGCTACTAGTATAGCAAGGAAGAAACTAGCCCCTTTATAGTCAGCTTGCTACAGTTGTGCATCATTAACATGGACACCCCTTTTCTTCTCTTCTCTTCCCCTCCCCCCCCCCCCCTCCCTCTCTCTCTCTCTCTCTCTCTCTCTCCCTCCCCTCCCCCCACACACAAAAAAAAAATCATCCATAATATGAGTTGTCCATAATAACAAGGCAAGAATGCACACATTTACCCAGTTAGTACCCCAACGATTTTGTCTATATAGCAGTGTATTCATATTAATAGGTCTATATCAGTAAGACATCACTGTGCATGGTATTCTGTCCTGCAAGTTTCTTTCCCTCATTCTGTTACATATAAAACTGTTCACTTTATTTATCCTGGTATCGTTAGTCTCTTCATAATTTATATATGCTCATTATCTGTGCAATGCAATTACAAAAAAAAAAAAAAAAAAAAAAAAGGAAGAGGATTTTATAAACAAAAATGAATGGAGATGAAGCTAGCTATAGGCCTATGTAAATCTCTGGTCAGAACAGGACAGGACGGTGCCTCTAAAGCGGTCCCACCTGGGAAGAGACGATGGCCCTTGTCTCGGGCGGACAATCCTCTGGCGGGGGCTCCGAGGGCTGCTCGCTGCAGGATGCCACCGTGCCGTCCGTCCTCACCACCTGGTTGATGTTCTCCACCAGCTTGGCCACAAAGGGCGAGCTGCTCAGCAGCTCCTGAAGGATAGCCTAGGGAGACAACAGAGCGACGTGAAAGGGACGGCTAATACAGGCTCGATCATGCCGACAAAGATCACAGAACGCATCCCCCACAAACCGCTTTCATGTTTGGTTTGTGCTAGATTTTTCATTCTTTCCAATTTTTTATTTATTCTTTTGACTTATTTAGTTTTTACTTACTTTTTTTGTTTTATTTTTTTATTTGTTCTTTTATTAATTTCATTAAAAACCTCCCACTATCACTAGCATATTTGCGTTCAAATTAAATCACTGACCCTTACAGACCAGCTGTGCTATTAGCTCAGTGGCCACGGTGTCTGACTGCCACTGCATCGACCCAGGCTCTAGTCCCCCCGCCGGGGCTTAAATATATAGCCTTAACTGTCCGTAGCACTCCCAGAGTGTCACTCAATCATGACGCTAGCTTTAACGCTCGTTGATGATGATTTTCTGGTAGAAATGACTAGCGAAACACATCCCGTGTTAAAGGGGCACTGACACCCCAAATATTGTATTTTTCGTTGCTGCCTAAAACGATGCAAATTAAAGTCATGACGCACAAAAAAAAAAAAAAAAATTTTCCCATGCACCTGCGTGCCTTTTTATTTTTTATCTTCTCTTTTTTTTTCTTTCTTTCACCCTCACCTCCTCGCCTTTTTATTTGTGACGTCAAAAATTCTGAAATTTAAAAGCATTGTAAATAACATTTCTATAATATTTAGCAACGGCATTCATAAAACATGTTTTTTAATGCAATTACCGAAAATCGGAGTCCAGAGTGATGTCGTTTCCTGACTTTTTATCCTCCCTCGGAAAACATGGTGGCGCTGGCGGCGCTTGCCACATGTAGCACTGAGGGTGATCGGTAAGTCAGGGAATCGGACAAAGTTCTCTCTTTTAGGTGCCCGACGACCTCTCAGATTTCGAAAAGAAAATCGCAAAACGTCAACAACTGGGCTTGGTGTCTGTGTACTGTAGTTTCGGTTGCGACTCCACCGTGGCAGCCTTTTACGCAGAACTGGCGCAACGCGGCCCCTCACTTTGCTCAGTTAAGTCCACTGCGCATTCCCTCCGACCTCACACCATTTCAAAGAAATGGAAATCGCTGAAAGGGCCTTAAAAGAACTTTAAGCTCGAAAGTGAAAGTTGTCTGCTCACAGCGATAGGCGGCAGGCAGGGACAAAAGCGGTTGTTTGCGGGACACGGGTGAACATGACACTTTGAGTCGGGGCGGCTAGGCGTGAGAAAAACTTGAGTTGCAGGACAATTCAATCTTTGATGTCATTGCACTGGACGCGGATTGCGCAGGAACTTCATAATCTCCTTGGCCGTTCAGATCGGCGAGGAGGTGAAAATGTGGCTGCTCCCGCCAATCTAGATACTGCCTTCATCTAAAGACGCAAGAAGACAAAATAAAGATTCTGTACGACATAATGACCAGAGCCCATTCTCCCAAAGCACTGCGATGCTCGCTTTAGAGAGATACCGAATCGAAACTTAAAATATACCTCCCACATTCAGAAATACCGTTAAACATGATCAACTCTATCTACCAATGACAATAGTATGTTTGTTTTTTGAATGAATATTCTTTGTTCCAAAGGACCGATTCCAACGAGCGCTCGAAGATCAACCATCGGACAGCGCAACACGTCCCGGGAGACACGACGTGAGTTGGACCAGCACGGGTAAAGCTGCTTGCGGACCGGCATGGTTATGAGCTCCGCCACTTGGCGTCGTCAATACATTACAACCTAGTCGTTTACAGTTGGTCCTCCCCACTCCCCGCAGAAGTTGAAGAGGTTAGGAGAGAAGCAAAATCCGGTTCGAGGGCTCATGCACAAGCAGCTTGCCACCGTATTTCTGTGGGGCGACGCTGCTCTCAATTTAATGTTTGGTGTCTTTCCGACCAAAAACTTAGCGTGTCTGTGGTATGGCCAGAACGTGGCTGACATTTAGAAAATAAAATAGCCGCTAGAATTTCGTTGCAGTGTCTCTCTAAATACAGAAACTGCCCACAATCTGCACAATGATTAAGTAATTGTTACCTCAATGGACTCTTCGGGTGAGTTGGACGCAACCGCAGCATCTGTGCCCCGGTTAGGTGCAGGGGAACGTGCGGAGATGAGCCGCCGCCTCGGTATCAAGCTGCAAACAAGTTTCACTTTTAAGGGCGAAGCTCCTAAGGTCTATCCTTGTCCATCTGTCTGGCGTCCGTGCTCACATCGATTGCACTGCCTCCGGGATCGGCCCATTTTTTAAAAAAAACGTACGCCTGCACGGGGGGTTTGAACTCAGGACCGCTTGCTTACGAGGCAGACGTCTTAACCACTATGCTACACTCCTTTTTTTTTTTTTTTTTTTTCACAGTAAAAGTTTGTAACACAATGACATACAACAGAAACATTTTTTTTAAAAGAAAAGCGCCCAGCCTATACCAAGGCTTGAGATGTCGTTAGTTTAAAAGTCTTTTAAGGCCTTCAGTTCCTCGAAGACAGGTAACCACTCAGGGGGAGGAATCTTGGCTTTGTAGACAGCTGTTAACTCGCACACAGTTTGCACGAAATATTTTTGCACAGGTCCTACATTCACATCAGCATGTCTTACAGCCATACGACTTTTCCAGATGCTGTGGAGGCCAATGAGCATGACTGTATCTAAAGGAATCGTATCGTCAGTCTGAACTTCTGTATTTAAGAACCTAATACCGTCCGGGGTGATGGGAAGGTCTTTTTTTATGGTCCTCTGCAAGACATCCCAAAAGAGCAGGGTGTCCCAACACTCTAGAAAGACGTGCTCAATCGTTTCCGGTTTTTGGCACAGAAAGCAATGAACTCCCCAAGGAACAAAGATCCCTTTATCTTTAAGCCATGTCTTCACAGGAAGAGTATTAGTATGGAGCTTAAAGAAAAAGGTTTTAACTGTTGGCGGAACGTGCATTTTCTTGACGCGGCTAAGAACGTCACGCTCACGGCGTTCACAGAATCTGTTATGGTACAAAGGTACAGGAAGAAGAACATCGTATAAATCCCCCGATAGACGCTTCCGCGCGACACCAGAAAGATATTCTAAAGAAAAACGCACAGACAAAAACTGAAATGCGCTAACTACTTCACTCAGGTAAGGGCTGAGATGGCACGCACTGCGTTTAAATGACGAGACGACAAACGAAGGTATTTGCTCCTCAAAACAGGTCTGTATCACAGTACGCAGAAAAGGGTCGGCTTGATCCCGTAGAAACATGAATCTCGAAACCACTTGCTTAACGAAAAGGTGTGACAAGGAAAGTCCGCCTTTGGTGACACGACAAAAAAGGTTATCGCGGCTTACTCTCTCCCATCCAGACTGCCATATAAATACGGCAAAAACACGATGTAGCTTCTGAATGTTGATGCGGGAACAACTGATTACTTGAAGGACATACCAGATTTTGGCAATTAAAAACACGTTACACACCGTGGCCCGAGTAAAAATGGATAAGTCACTTCCTGTCCATTTCTGTGCTTTTCCCCGGGTTTCATTGATGACCGATGACCAATACGTATTGTTTGTTTTATAATGCTGAAGAGGCACTCCAAGATAGGGGACAGGGGTGAGCATGAAGCTAATGTTTTCGAATTGATGGGGCCTCGTTGCCCATGACCCGTGCCAAAATCCAACACATTTCGCCCAATTTACAGAAGCCCCGGTTGCTTCACAGAAACTTTTAATCACACACACAGCCTCTGATATGCTCTTTTTGTCGTTACAAAATACAGCCACATCGTCCGCATAAGCCAGCAGTTTGACTTCTTTGCTGTGCAACCTAAAACCTTGTATATCTCTATTTTCAATTATCCGACGACAGAAAGGCTCTAAATATATGTTAAATAATAGAGGTGAAAGGGGACATCCCTGCCTTACAGATGACAAAACTGGGATGGGTTGGGTAAGGCGACCATTCACAATCAGTTGCGTGGTGCACCCACTATATGCCATTCGTACACCAGCTAGAATAACTTCGCCAACCCCAACGCGGTCCAGTAAATCAAACAAAACATCATGATGTACGCGATCAAATGCCTTCTCTAAATCTATTTGTAACATGGCTACTTGGCCTTGATCCATGTCACAACACTCGAGAATACTGCACGCACAGTGAATGTTTGTAAAAATTGTCCGCCCTTTAATCCCGCATGTTTGGTGGTCTCCTATGACGTTGTGTATCACAGCTTGAAGTCTACGAGCAAGCACTTTCATAAAAATTTTATAATCTACATTGCTCTCAGTCTCAGGCTCGAACACATACTAAAAGGGCAAGTCACGGGGAATTCGCTGCGTTTCATTGATTTAATTTATGAAGGAGCACGTACAGAAAGATTGGCTTGATTGGATCCATTGGCTTGTATCGTCAGGTGCGCTTTGACTTAAAATGAAATGAAGTATGGTGCCATTTGCATAAAGCACAATCACAGTTGTTTTTTTGGCTAGAGAAAAAAAAACAGCATCCTCCAGACATTAAAAGAGAAGATTCCAGACTTGACAAAAACCATGCCCTCCCTACCGCAAGGTCCCGAATCTGGGTGAAGCCTTTAAAGTGACTGCATAAATCGGCTTGGTAATGTATCGTGCTACAATTTACCACAGAGGTGCCTAAAGGTGGTGGAAGCATTGCAGCAAAATTCCAAAGAACAATACTATAACCCAAAATAAAAATATATATATATTTTTTTTTACGGCACTTACCTGTTAACGAGGTACCTTCTGATCGGTGCAACAACCGACAAATGGTGGCAGCAGCAGCTTACGGCAGCTCAGCAGCCACCCGGTCGCGCCAAAAACAGAACACCCTTTAGAATTATAAACAGTGCACACTTTTTCGGTGCTACCGTAGAATACCATGCATCTGCCCATTCGACATTAAGCGCCCATTACCAAATTTGTGAGATCTGAGAAAAAACACACAGCACATTTATACGTAAAATTGATGACCGGACAAGCGCCCATCCCCTACTTTTTGTGATTATCACCAAAGTTTGAGTGGGCGCTTGCCCGGTATTTTACGGTATGTGTAAAGGTCAATGCGGGCTTTGTTTTTAGTTCCCAATAACACACATTTAAATGGACACAAAACAAATAAAACCAATGGCTCTTCGAGTAATTTCTGGTATGTGTCGTCTGCTGAGCTGCCGCGGCTGCTGCCATTACCTGTCGGTTGTTGCGCCAGTCGGAGGGCATGCGGCTAGGAGAAGGGTGCTGAAGGTAGAAAAATCTGTTATTGTTTTTTTTTGTTTTTTTTTTACTTTTTACTCAGGTAAGTTGTGTGATACGTTACCAAGTAAATTTATGCGGTCACTTCAAAGGCTTCAGCAAAATTCGGGACACTGCAGTATGTATGCTGCCCGTATTCTCAACCTGCAAGGTTTCTTAGAAGCAGTTTGCAGACTGGCAGGGGGCAACATACCTTTTTCGGCGTGGCGAATTGAAACGCTCAGTGTTGAAGCGCACCTCCTTGATCGGGGTTGAGAGCGAGGGTACGAGAGATCGCTCTTGTGAAAGGATGAAGCGTGGAGAGGTTGGCTCCGGATATCTCTGGGGTAACGGAGGTGCTTCCAGGCTCTCCGGCGTTTCCGTGGCAACGGGGCTCCGGCGTGCCGGGGGCCTTTGATGTGGCGGCTGAGAAATCGGCAAGTCCAGATTCAAGTGGATGTGACAAACGAGTAAAAATGACAAATTTCCTGAAGCTCGAAGGGAAAAACATTGTGCACTATGAGATAAGAAATTATATTTCTCTGTTGTTAAGGGAAAAGGTAGCTACAGCTGCTAACCTAAGATATCTCCAACGCATATTGCACAGCAGTGATGGTAATGATTAAGGGCTTCATAGCACGAAAGGGCTTCGTGGAAGCATCATACTGGGCCAAACTGGTATCCTTAAAATGGTCTATTTTTAAGAAAAATAAAATTATAGGGTGCGATTTAAAATAATGACTTGAAAACATGGCAGGGAGAACATGAAAATATGTCATGCACAATACAAACTGTAGACATGTAAACTGGCAGCAGTGGGAGTCAAGCTCGTGACCTGGATTTGCAGGAAGAGATTTCTTTTTATTAATTTCAGCATTTAAATGAGCATAGATTAATGGGAAGTATAAAATAAAAATATTAGACCGGCCTTATCTTTTTTTTTTTTTTCTTCTTTAAACAAAGATTAGATATACCTTATAACGCAGAGTGACACACCCAAGAAGAATTTCTAAAAATTCTCCAAGTGTATCACTCTGCTCATATTTTATACTATAGCTGCTAACATTTAACAGCTAATAAAACGGTGCAGAAGAGTTAATAAAAGGTGCGCTTCCCTTATATTCCCACTACTGGTGCAACCTTTTCACATTTGCCATTCCTTACCAATAAGGACAATTATTGAATTTGGCCTCCTGGTTCACCCATGGAATGGGCGCTCTGCTGATGGAGTTAAATTAACGTCACTGCTTGTGCAAACTAGCTAAAGTAATGGGTGATGCAACCTCTACTGTAATGCGAATGGTTAATTAAACTTTTACATTCCAATTAAAACATGACAATTCTGGGTAAAATTAATGATAGAAACAGCCATAACAACGAGTGCATAAAAACCCTCATGTTAGAAACAGGAAGTGGCGAGGAAAAACGCAAGCGAACAGACAATTTTGCTTGTGACAAAGCAACCAGTCAAAACTGCTACCAGTCAACATTGCGGTAAACACCAGTACATTTTCCATCCTCAATTCTCAATCAATTGAAGGAAAAGATACTCACGGGTGTCTCCATGACCCCTTCGGACATCGGAACGGCCGCCGGTGTGGCCGAACCGTCAGGGCCGACGCCACTCGCCGCAGCCGCGGCCTCCTCGCTAAGTGGCGAAGGGTTGCGTGAGCTCCCCTCCACGTCGATCTCCTCGCTCAGCTCCGTCTGCGTCTCCGTGATCTCGAAGCCCTCGCTCGCGGGTTCGGCGTTGAAGTCCGGGTCAGTTACGGTGGCTGTGGGCCGACCTGCCGAAGCCTCCTGCAGCTCTCGGTCGCATCCCTCGGCCTCAGTCCGCTTCTCAAAGTCCGTACTTCCCGCCGAAGACACGGTGGGCCGGACCAACCCAGGCTGCCGTTCCAGTCGCTCCGACGAGTGCCCGTCCGTAGTCCGCTTCCGGAGGTCGATCCCAGAATCGCGCACCGGCTCTTCATGTTCGATGTAGGGAGGGTGCGACCGCGACAGTACCGGGCGTGGGAGAGAGTTCATGTACGCCAGGAAGCGCTCCTCGTAGGCACCGAACTGCTGTTCACGTCCTCCCCGTTCCGGAGTCCCCGCGCCGAGAGTGGGGGGACCTTTGGTGGGCGACACCTGTTCGAGGAGGTCGTGCAGACTCGAAGATGACCCCTGGTCCTTCTCGGGGGGTTCGAACCTCGAGTCGGAGGGGTGCTGTGTCTTCTTCTTCAGCGGGCTCGGAGGGGGAGGCTGGAGCATGCCCATGGGGGGCAGAATGGTGTGCAAGTGGTAGCTTAGGGTGTCGCCGCCATGGCCGTGCAACTGAGGGTGGTGCGGGAGCTGCAAGGGGGTAGTCGAAGACTGCGAGATTGCAAAGTCGGTGACGGCTGTCCTCAGTTGGTTCTGCGGCATCAGCTGGGGCGGTGGTGGGGCCGGTGGTCGTGTCAAAGGTGCTGTGCTCAAGTCTGTGGTGGAAACAAACAAAAACTATGGCTGATTCGCAAGAATAAGCTTCCGGGGGCTTTTACTTAAAATAATAGCAGAAAAAGAAATGCTTGAGAAGAATTTTAATTAAAAGCTGTTTCTATTGGAGTTCCTGTCAAGCAATACAGCATGGAAATAAAGGTGACACACAACCCCATAGTAAATTAAAATGAGCATGGTAATTAAATTGCTCCAAGCAAGCACCAAGCATGGGGACAAAGAGGTCATGCATCTTTCAATTTAGACATACTATGGCAAATACAGTCAAATGCCTTTATAACAAACACCTCTACTATGAAAATGCCAATTTCACGACGTAAAGCGAAGTCTTGGCCAATCTCCCATGTGTTCAATGCGTTTCTCCGACAACTACTACAAAAAATTTCTGTTTAACAAATATTTGTGTTTAACGAAGCAATTTCGTAGCCCCACAAAGCAAATTTAATCATTAAATTTGCTTTGCCACATTAACCTACTCTGTGTTCTTCCACAGTTTCCCGGCCTCGCGCTGCTTTTCTGCCTCGCAAGACATCGCCCCGTCATCCAACGGAAACATCGCCACGTGCCACAGCGAAGGAAGACCAAGGCGCCGCTTGCGGCGAAATTCGTCCATATAAGCAGGCAGCACACCAACTCGGACCACAGTTCGGCAGCGGTGCAGATTGGTACCAGTCGCTAATCTACTCTGTGTTCTTCCACAGTTTCCCGGCCTCGCGCTGCTTTTCTGCCTCGCAAGACATCGCCCCGTCATCCAACGGAAACATTGCCACGTGCCGAAGCGAAGGAAGACCAAGGCGCCGCTTGCGGCGAAATTCGTCCATATAAGCAGGCAGCACACCAACTCGGACCACAGTTCGGCAGCGGTGCAGATTGGTACCAGTCGCTAATCTACTCTGTGTTCTTCCACAGGTGAGAATATATTCACTTTCCTGTTTTAATTTAGAGAACACTCTCTGCACTGCTGCCGAACACAGCCACTATTGTTTTTGCTTTCGTTTTAATTCCACTGATTGTTTTGGGCTAGAACTGTTGACGTGTACATTTCCCTAATCACCCTTGTTCCTAGTCAAAAATGAGCAAGGATAACAAGGAGCTTGCGAAAGCCCTTGATGATTTGCGACGGGAGATCAGGGCTGACCTAAGGACTGTGAAGGACAGCGTGAAATTCTGCAATGATACATGTGATGGTGTTAAGGAAATTAGAGATGAGATGAAAGAACTTCGCAAAGAGGTACAAGAACTATCAAAACGAAACGAGGAGCTAACTGCCGAGAACAACAGGCTTAGTACTAAAGAGGAAGAACTCGAGCAGTATCAACGGTCTAATAACCTTGAAATCAAAGGAGTCCCAGCGGAGGGTGACCCTTATGACATTGTTCAAAGGATCGCGAGCATTCTGGATGTTCCGATCTCTGACCATGATATCGACCTATGCCACCGCGTCCCTACTTTCAAACCAAACGAAAAGGCAAAAAAACAAAGGCTGACAACTCAAGATCTTGATTACGGGGGCCCTAGCTGTCCCGTATACGTAAATGAGCATCTGACCAGCAAGAACAAGAAACTGCTTGGTGCAGCAATTGCGCAGAAAAAAAAGGTGGGCTGGAAGTTTGTTTGGTCCTCCAGCGGTAAAGTCTTCGCGAGAAAAGATATGAACACTGACGCCCTGAAAATTTCTAGCATGACTGACGTTGACAGAATTGCAAATTGAATCGAGTAACGCTCACAAATTATAGATCATTACCATTCTGATGGAAGACTTGCAACCCGAATGTAATTATTATGACTGCATGGCCTTCAATAAAATGTACAAAAAAAGCAAACGACAGTTTTCGGCAGTACACATGAACACGAGAAGTCTAAAAAATAAGGTCGATACAGTTGAAGCTCTCTTACATTCTGTAACTGCAAAATTTGATGCAATTATATTTACTGAAACCTGGTTAACGAGTAGTGACTCACCACCTAAGTTTCATAGTTATAAATGCGAAAGTCTGGTCAGACAAGAAAAAAGAGGTGGAGGCGTAGCAATCTATATCAAGGACAATCTACGGTACCAAATAATTGACGAATTCACAAGGATTGATGAAAACATTGAAAGCTTAGTTATCAAAATATCGAACACAGTAGTTGTTGCTTTATACAGACCGCCTTCGGGCAATATTGCTGAATTCATGAATATGCTTGATAATATATTGTGTGTTCTAGGATCAACTTCAGCCTTTTTTACTATACAAAAGTTCGTACTGGTGTAGGCCTTTAGCGACCATGAGTGGAAGTTTGAAATAATAAATAAAACGTGCTCTCCTGCCGCAGTACAAGCAGTAGTTGAGGGTAGTACTGCCGGCTGACTCAACTGCTATTTAAGTAACGGAAAAAAGATATGCTAGTTCATCATTTAGCAAAATAGAACAACAGAGAGCTATAGACTGATTTGGAGTAGCCATAACCATTCTAAGAACGCGAACCACTTCACAACGGAAGCCACGAGCGAGAGTTCGATGTTCGGTAGAGCCCGCCGATACAGCCCAAAGATGGAGAACGGCAACCTCCCGGTTTGTCGTCTGCTAGCGGAGTCCGGCGCGTGCCCTCTCTCTCGTTTTACCCCGCCGAACCCGCTGAACTTCCCGGATGTGTGGAGAGGGCGCTGCGGTCGAACAAAATGGTGCCGCTTAGAGAGCGCTAAATGGAATGGTCTATACTGGAGTCCCGAATTGGTCCTTTTTAAATTTAATTTAATTTATTTGGCTCGAGAGAGTATGGAGCTTGCAGAAAGGCCAAAGACCAGTATCGGTTCGCCTGCAAACACCCGCATTGGGGCGACATTTTGTGCCAGAGAGATGTGGAAAAGGGGACAGTCGACTCGGTTGTGTGCCTCGCACCATCCTCGATGCACCGTGCGCTGCAGCTGTTTCGTTCCAAATATGTGGCCGATTCCGCTGTGCTGCCGTACGCTGCTGCACCAGCTCCTACGCCATCTAGAGACCATATATGCAGTCGAGAGCAGTGCAGCCGCTTCGAGAGCCTCCTCCGAATGACACCTGGTGGTGCAAGCTCCCATCCCATTAAAGGACACATGCAAAGGAAAAAAAAAACATTTTTTTTAAACGGCTTAGATGGGAAAAGGACGCAATAAAATGATTTTACAACGAAGAAAATACAAATTTAGAGCTATATTTACGGTGCAAAACGAATTTGTAGTTGGCGCCCGCGGGCACCGCGGAAAAGTGGTCCGTATTTATCACGTGACTGGTCCTTATTTATCACGTGGTGCTTGCGCTCTTTCGGAAGCTTCATATGGCCTCTAAAAGTAACTTATTCATCTTTTTTTGAAGTATAACAAAAAAACAAGACGAATAAGTAACTTTTAGAGCCCAAAGGAAACTCCTGAAAAAGCGCAGGCAGACATGATAGACCTGTGCGCCGGTCAGACGACGGCGGCGGCGCCCCGAAGCAGACGAACTTGTGCGGCGGCGGCGACGGCGGCGTGGAGAAACGCGTTGAAGCGGCGTTCGCACAACGCTCAGCGTGCGGCGGCGACTCAGCGCGGCGGCGCGCGGGCCTACCACGTGACCAGCGGCGGCTCCCGCGAGCGTCAACTACAAATTCGTATAGCGCCGTAAATATAGCTCTAAAAATTTTGTTTCCTCGTTGTAAAATCGTTTTATGACCTCCTTTTTCCATCTAAGCTGTCTAAAAAAAATGTTTTTTTCCTTTGCATGTGTCCTTTAAGAAAAGGCCAAGCTTATGAAGTCAGCGAACGCCTTCGCTGCGTGATCGTGGGTTGATGTCGGTGGTTTAATGACTTACGCGATTTGTATTTTGACAAGTCAATTAAGTTTCTTGCTTGGAAGTTTGGACAGCAGGAAATTAGTCTGAAACAAGGAGCGCCTGGTGTCTCGGCTGTAGATGACAAACTTTGCCACGGCAGTACTGGCAGTATGACCGCTAGGCCTGGTGTCTTTAAATTGCATCATGCAGTGGTGAGTACACAAATGAGTGCCATTACAATTTTCATTTAGAAAAAAAAAAAAAAAGAAGTGGTAATCGAGTTGAAGATGCCTGGATTCTGCAACATGAGCTTTTGCCCCATGTGCTCCAAGCTGCGATGTGCTAGCAGATCCGGCCACAGTTCCCCCTTTTGACAAGTCGATTGTCAACGTACAAAACCTTGTTTTTGATGTCACTCCTACTATATTTGGCGTTAAACTTTTTCCTAAAACAACTCAAATGTCGCGCAGATATGTGAATATGCGACGGTAGAAATTCAGTATCGCGTGAGCGCTTGACTACTACAACGAAATTACCAGCACCACAAAAAATGTCGTCGGTCCCACAGATTTCGTTATACAGGCGTCTTTTTGGTAGTTTCATATTAATTTGTTTGAGAAAAAAATATAATACAGTCGAATCTCGTTAATTCAAACTCGAGGGGGACCAAAAATTTGTTTGAATAAAGCAAAGTTTAAATTACAGGGAGTTTCCTCCCATAGAGACAGATAAGATAGGACCTGCATGTTAGTTTGAATTATCTGCAAGCTTGAATTAAGAGAGTTTGAATTAACGAGATTCGACTATACTAAAGGTTTCTTACCAGCTGCCATGAACGTCCCATTTACTGGAAGTGTTCCTGCCTGGCTCGTGGACAGAGAAAGAACGTCAGAAATCCGCCGCTGTAAAAAAATGTTAGGGGTGTGAACCTTCTAAAAATTTCATGGCAGGACTTGGCTCCTAACTGCAAAGGCTAGGTGCAAATACAATGAACGCTACAGAAAATGATTACTAATAAGAGTTACTGCTAAAACAAAAAAAGAAAAGGCTACAAGGCTAAACTTACCGAGTTTTCTCCAGTTGCAGAATTTAGCTGGGAGAGCATGTCTTTGACCTGAGTGACCATTTTGTCAATATTTGTCAAAAGGTCTCCTGGAGAACCACCAGCACCTGGATAAAAACGAGTTGCTGGTTTTAGCTTTATCGAGGATTATGAAAACGAGGGTAATTGCAAGTGCCCTCTTTCAATCAAGTGCCATCATGTGTGCAAAGTGCATTCATTTTAAAAGAAAAATGCTTGCAGAGACTATAAGTCTAAACTGCAGAACACAGACCCACCATATGGAGCTCACACTATGGCACCATCTGACGCTTCCAACATTCCCGAAGAACAGGTTTTATTTTGGATAAAAGCAGACCATACCCACAATGCCATTTCTGAATGCAAACTGCTTTTTTTATCTGTTAATGAAATCACAGAATGCACATAAATAATAAGAACACAGACAATTTAAAAGTCCTCAGTGCTCATTTCTGACCATCACCCACCATCTGAGAATGATAGCTCGATATTGCAGACTTCATATACCAGGTGTTTCACTGAACATCAGTTAAACTTCTCATCTAAAACCTGCACTGCATTGAAATAAGAAACGTACCATAACGGTCGCTGTCAAGAGACCTATTTATTCAGGTTCATAGCATTTAGAAAAAGTTTATTTTCAATTAGATTTGCACATCTAAATTTTAAAACCATGAAAATGAAAATTTTCACTTCACCAGCCATGTGCTTGTAACACTAATGAAAACTTCTGAACAACCACACTTCCCAAGTGCTCCAGCTAGTTCTAAAATCTACCGACTTAGCAATTTTTGATGATGCTCGGTAAATTTCTAACAGAGCCATTTGTTTATTCTCACTAACCAAAAAGTAAATATGCAAAACTAATTAAGGATTTAACTATCTTATACACTATGTACCTCACTAAATTGGCCCCTCGGCAGTGACGAACAAAACATCAACTGTTTTACTTTGTGACGCACACTTTTCGCGGGTAAAGTACACACACACGCCAGTTTCTATAAAAGACGCGGCATACAGCCTATCTTTGACCTAAACCCAGCATAACTCTCTTGATGGCATTTCCGAAAAAAAGGAGGAGTGCATGTGCCCAGCTCTAACCGTCACTCAGGCACAGACCCCTGTACTTTTGACTGCTGTCACAAAGAATTGTCCCCGAGTAGAGCTGCTCGAATGAGTTCATCTTCAACTGTTCCCACCAGAATGATGAACCATCTACCTGCTAGTGAGCTTTAAACTGCAGTCCAATTGATTTGTCCACTGCACAGTACAAAGATTAATTGAGAATCCACTGTCAACTCGGTTCAACATATATAAAAAAACTTTTTTTTCTTAAAAACTTCGAAAACCATCGTTATTTTCTGAACGTTTGGTATAAACTGGTTACAAGCTTTTCAGACCTCACGGCCACAGTGCTGGAAGCAGCATTTGATCTTTTGTAGCAGGTACTGTAGCAGGCAAAATATTGGTTTGGAGCATATACCCACATCTGTTCGTATGTCAATTGAAAATGAAATAATGGTTCCACCGCTAAATGTGCCCCTCTTTGATAATGATTGAGGGCTCCATTTTGGATAGAAAAGGAACACAGAACTTTCTTTCTAGAAATAAGGCAGAGATTAGAGTAGGTTCCATGTAGTGAGTATTAAGAAAAAGAATATGGCTGAAAAATTAATTATAACACAACACTTCAGTTGAGATAAAGCCTCTCTTCCCCTCCCCCTTGTACACTAATAGTTTATTTAGCCTGTAAATATAATTCGTCTAAAATTTCGACAAAAAACAGTTTGCCCGCTTATTCATAGCAATGGCATAGAGGCATCTGGCAGACATAATAATCCAGTGATCTCATCAGGTGTTTAAGAACATGGTTCTGACTCACCATTTAAGCTTCATCCCATCATTTTGCTAATTTTTCTCACGACTTTTTGTTCCCAATATTGTCTGGCAAGCAATCTTTAGGCACTTTCTCTTTCAAAAAAAACAAAAAACAAGAGGTTTTGTATTTGAGGAAACACGCTTAAATTGTCTTCAGCTGACCTCCAAGACCTTGAATATTGAAATTATTTTTTAATTCGGCGCATGGAAGCTGCAGAAAATAATTTTCAAAGTACCACTGAAGGCCCTCATTCCCAGGGCGTGACGTCACAAAAGGAATTTTTGGAATCTCTGCTCTCGCGCATCTTCAGCGCCTATCAAAGCTATGCACGCTCACTCTTGCTATTTTTAAAGGACACATGCAAAGGAAAAAAACATTTTTTTTAGACAGCTTAGATGGAAAAAGGAGGTCATAAAACGATTTTACAACGAAGAAACAAAATTTTTAGAGCTATATTTACGGCGCTATACGAATTTGTAGTTGGCGCTCGCGGGAGCCGCCGCTGGTCACGTGGTAGGCCCGCGCGCCGCCGCGCTGAGTCGCCGCCGCACGCTGAGCGTTGTGCGAACGCCGCTTCAACGCGTTTCTCCACGCCGCCGTCGCCGCCGCCGCACAAGTTCGTCTGCTTCGGGGCGCCGCCGCCGTCGTCTGACTGGCGCACAGGTCTATCATGTCTGCTTGCGCTTTTTCAGGAGTTTCCTTTGGGCTCTAAAAGTTACTTATTCGTCTTGTTTTTTTGTTATACTTCAAAAAAAGATGAATAAGTTACTTTTAGAGGCCATATGAAGCTTCCGAAAGAGCGCAAGCACCATGTGATAAATAAGGAGCAGTCACGTGATAAATACGGACCACTTTTCCGCGGTGCCCGCGGGCGCCAACTACAAATTCGTTTTGCGCCGTAAATATAGCTCTAAATTTGTATTTCCTTCGTTGTAAAATCGTTTTATTGCGTCCTTTTTCCATCTAAGCCGTTTAAAAAAAATGTTTTTTTTCCTTTGCATGTGTCCTTTAAAAAGGGCAGTGTCAGAGTGGTGCGAGTGTGGGGGAATGTACCTAGCAAGCCTGCAATTGCACGTGCGGCCCTTGAGCGACAAGTGCTTGGCAGCCAAAAGATCCTCTTATGACGTAACGACTGGTCGGAGGTATCTCGTGTTTAGTTACATCTTCGGAGAAAACGAATGTGATATTCACATTCACAGGATAAAACTATGCTAGAATCAACCTTATATCATTTGATGAAAGAAGTCGACGCTACGAGACAATGAAACCAATCAAACGGCGACAAAAGTGCGACAACCAAGCGCAGCAACTGCCCTGTTGCTTAGTATGAGAGTTTGTGGTTATATGTTTGAGCCTTCGACTGTGCTCTGACCCACAGTAAAATACTGAAAATTTCACCCTTCCACAATAAGCACCCACCCCTCAATTTTGTATAATTCCGAAAATACAGAAAGGACGTATCTTTACATAACGGCGAACTAAGGAGCGCTTATCCCACAGTTTTACATGACCATCTCCAAATTTTGAGTGGGTGCTAGCTCGGGATTTTATGGTAAAATGAAACAAAGTATACGGTGAGTAGAAGTGCTGTGAAATGAATATTTGTATCAATTTTTCTTTTCTTCCACTTTTCTGGATATTACAATCAATCAATATTAATAATTTTCATTCTTTTGCTTTGCTTTAATTTCGGCGCAGGTGCGATGCAATTCCTAGCAAACACGGCATTTTTGCGCAAGATGTTGCAGACTTTATGGCGCAAATGGCACAGCACTTCCATCACTGCAGCTCGCACACTCAATAATTCGGTTGAGTTTTATGCAACACCACAGCATTTCTCTTATGTAGCCTACACCACATGCCATGTCATTATGCTGTCATCAGATCAGTTAAATTGGCATGTCTAAAAGGTGTCCGAAGTGATCCAACTTTTTTAACCTCGTAATCTTGGGGCTGAAAGAAGCTAACGACATACCTGCACATGTATCAGTGGCTGTGTTCCAAATCTAGCTCGGGCCTATCTGAGTTACTCTCGCAGGTCACATCCCGTGACAACACAAATAGAGGGATGCTGGATGTGAGCAGGCTTTCAAATGCCAAGGTACAGAACCTTTACCCCGAAGCGAGATTGAGTAAAGTTTGGAACACGGCTACTGCGAACAAGCCCCACAAAAATATATGTCAGAGACTGTTTGTCACCTTGGCTTTGTGCCATCTGGTAGCCTGTATCAAGAAGCTGCAGGAGGTTCTTCCCGCCGATGTTGGTCGGGTACTCCCTGCCCCTGCGGGCACACTCTGCATATTCTTTCAAGTCCGGACTCTCCCTCAGGAACGACTCCCAGGTGGTTTGGCAGCCAGTCGATTTTAGGTAACCTGCAAAGTTGGGCGGCAAAAACAGCAACGTTTCAAAACTTCTGGAAGACAAAACTCAGCACATCGTGAGGTGAAGGCAGGAAATGTCGTAATTGCAATTATGAACAGCCAAGCTGACATGTTTCTTAAGTACAATTATGAAAACTAGAAATGTCTAAAGATTATAACTGGAACAACATAAAGATTAAACAGGACACACAAAAGAGAGCCTGAAGAGGCCTGAAAATTAGATGCTAATGTTGGGAAGTTTTCAGATACTGAAGTATCATGCCATGAACATTATCTTAGTGAAACCACCTTCCAGAATCTTAATTAAACACACCCGATTCATTTGTTTAAAAAGACATTAACTAATCAACTTTGCAACTATCATGCTGAACTGATTGTGTTTTTAACAATATTGCATTCTTTGTTTGCAGGTTTACAGTTTATTTACTGATAATTTTTACGCAGTGACTAGAGTGCCGTCCAATTGTGCTCTTGCAGAGCGTTAAGTGCTGCTCAACGGCACTTCAACACTATTTGCTGTAGCTGCTACTGGAGAATGTGAAATTTAAACAAATATTTATTTTTTAAATGACAATCAATACATTTGAGAGTGTCACTTTGGCAAACTTGAAAAGATCACGCACCTGCATCGCACAGGCATAAACGAAAGCATGCTGCTCACTCCTGTATTGTATGGCTCGCTCGCGCTTTATCTTAGAATAAATTGTCGGCGAGCGGCTGATGAAACGCATGTCAGAATAAGCATGACTTGTGCTTAACACTTTCGGACGGCACTTAAACGCTCCGCAAGAGAGCTGTTGGACGGCACTCAAGACACGGCGTAATTTTTATGCGGTGGTAATCAGTTCATCGAATGGCATTTCATCGACAGATTGTTTCATCGATGCAATGTTTCATCCACAAATCGTTTCATTGACAGCTCAGATGACCTTGTTTCTGTGAGTAAAGCTATACGCACTACATTGTGCACCTCGACCGGAAATGGCTATATGCACTAAGTGGAGAGCTCATGCAATTTGGGTCACCCTTTCCGGACGGCACGTGCATCACTGGTGAGCGCGTTAACCCCTCCACCCCCCCGCCCCCTGCGTTCACGCCGCTTCGCGGCAGCAGTGTGTGGCTGCTAATTACAAAATTTTACCTGTACACGCCACTTCGTGGCGTCCAGCCGGCAACCGGCAGCCCAAGTTCTGCTGTTCCCGACTAAACCTCCGGAAAGGGAGTCCTATACCATCTAGTTCTGCAAAGCTTCATTGACAACATTAGTTTTTTTCAGTTTTAATTGTAAAAAAGAAATGTAAATATTGCCAAATGCTTGGCAAAAAATATAAAGAAAAGTATGTCCACACTGGGGATTGAACCAGGGTCCGCTGCGTATGAAGAAGACACCTTACCACTATGCTACGCCACCGCTTTGGAAACTCGCTGTAACCATTCGTTTTATACGAGTTCAATGTCGTGTGTATAACCATTTCCGGTTGAGGTGCACGACATAGTGTGTATAGTTTTACTCTTCTTCTGTAATAAGCTGCACGAGACTGTCGCCGCCAAGCGGCTTGTAGGGGTCGGTCAGGTGGGTTAACATTTTTGTGATGAGGCGCTGCAGACTGTCGCCGAAAAGCGGCGTGAACGCAGACGGGGTGGTGGGATAACGCGCACCCCAGGGATAAATGCGTGACGAAATGTCCCTACAGTGTGTCATTCGCGCAACGGGTGTCGATGAAACGATCGTGTCGACGAAACATCTGCTCGTGAAACGAGTGTTCATGAAAAGTTGTCCACGAAACGAGTTTCGACGAAAGGATAGGGACCCATTTTTATGCCCATTCTGTCCTTCTACCTTTGAGGGTATTGAAATAAATAACGAAAACCTCGAGGCGTGGAAGATGAAAGAAATATTACTTACCGAGCACCAAGCGGGCAACTTCCGATGGCATCAGACATTCCATCTTGCTTGTTTTACTCTCTGCCCGAGTCGCAGACTTTGACTTCGAACGGATCGGGCCAGGCGTCGGTTTACGACATACCGAAAGAAACAAGAGCACGATCTCACTCTAGCAGTGCAAGAATCGGGCCTCTACCACGCATGACGTGTGAATTTGATTTAGAAGCCACATACAAGCGGTGACTGCAGTTGGACAGTATCTTTGGAGTTTGTTAGGAAATGACTGTTCTCAAGGGCCTAGTACGTCCTGTGCAGACGGGAGAACAGGCGGCAAAAGAAAATGCACTAGGCGAAGATCTGATTGCGTACTTCACTGTCCTGAATCGAACCAACCACCAGATATCGTAAACAGGTCCAACGATGCTAAATTTTCGTTAATACGGACGAAATTCTAGTTGCACCTACTACAAAGGCATAAGAGTTCCCGCCACAAAAGTGAGTACGTGCGTTGGCGAAAGCGGAGGATGTCGACTGTGGAAGCCGAAGTCACCGGTGCGCACTTAGGGTGTCCCGCCACGTATTTACATACTACTCTAATTAGCAAGTTTGTCAAACTAATGAAACAAACACGTTCTCAAAGGTTTACATTAAATCGCGAAACTACAGCTGCCTGCACCGACACCGTCTGCCACCGCTGATCGACACACAACACGGAAACGGAAATCGTGTTTCCGCGCCTTTTTTCGGAATAAATGTTGACCACGTGACTAGGGTCACTCGTACTCACTCTTTGTTCTGAAAAGTTATGTTAATGTTTGACGTCAGCAACGAGGTATAGACCTTTTCATTTTAGTAGTTGCTTCACCGGTGGATAGAGGGCGCTGACGCACCCGGCGCCATTAGGTTGCTTCAATTTGGTTGGTTTCGGTTTCAACGTGAACGCGGCTATGTTGCTGTTTTACGCCGTTTTCGCTTAATTTTGTGATACGAATATTTTTCTCGTAGCACACAACCAATGAAACAGTTGTATTGAGCCACTTTGAGGTCTACGAGGTGTAGCCTCGTAGTAGTTTTAGCCTGAATTGCGGGCTTTTTTTACCAACTCCTTTGATGTATATAATTATGGTCGGTTGCGAAATGTCTGACTGAGGTACAGAAAAGATTACCAATGTCACCGGCCGTACCGTTGACTCCAGTTTCCAAAAAAAAAACAACTAATGAAGAGAGTAACATGTGAATGCAAAGAGGCATATCGACAGCTTGATTAGCAATGTGCTGAATCGGCCAGAACAGATGAACTCGCGAGTTAACTACTCATTGTTTGGTTTCCGTGGACACTCAACCTTCAGTGAACTTTGCAGACTAACAAAGTATCGTGTGGTGACGCAGATAATTGGTAGAAATAAGTAGTATCGACTCGGCCTCTTTTTCTTTTAATTGAGTACTCGAGCATGTTTTGACAGGCCGAGTAGGAAATTTCTTAAATTATCAACCCTGTTAAAGTACTCATAAACAGCATTTCGCGATATTGGCTCTAGGAAATAAATGACTTTTATATTAATATTTACTTACTCAAGATATAATTTTAGTGACAGGCCCACCAAATTAAATCTGGCATGCATTTGTGTTCCGTAAAATTGTCCAAATAAAGTTGAAGGGCGTTGGAGGAGAAATACATCGGAAAGTTTGGCTGAATTCTAGCGCTATAGGCACCACTTCATGGACCTGAATGAACAAATATTTATTTAGTTGAACATATTCGCTCTGTAAATTTCGGCGTCGCCAGCCACCAAAAGTAAATAACTGAAGTGATTGTTATGCGGACGGCTTGTTGCTTTTTGGCGTCAAATATTGCGGACCTTAGATACTGACAAAAAATAAAACAGCGTATGCAAAAAAAAAAAAAAAAAAAAAAAAACATTGTTATTACTGCGCATGCGCCGAACCCAAACCGTGTTTTGTATTTGCAAATAGAAACGACATTATTTCTTTGTGCAAGTTATTCTAAAACTCGCTACTGTTAAGTGCCTGTGGCAGTTTCTTACGCGGGCAGTCTCAACCTTTGTGTTAAAATAAATTAAGTGGATGGCAGTGGTTATCTAAATATAATCAATAAATAACTTAAATTACTGTCGAAATGGGAGCGATCACGGTATACAATTTCTCAAACTTCATAATTCAACCGACCGACCGAATGTTTACGTCGCAAAGAAAGATCGCGGACCTCATACATATTAAGGGTGTGATATTATGAACAAACAAATTGCCTGATATTTTGCGTACCGTTACTTCTAGCCTCAGATAAAATACAAGTCAAACGTTCGTTGTCTATCTCCTCTTCGAGTTTCCTGACGTAATCAAAAGAATCTGTTTTCGATATATTATGAATGCAAAGAACCATACTTTCAGGAAATACAAATAGTCTGCTTGCACTGGCTATTCTTGACGCCTTCCGATCCTAAATGCGCGATATGAATATACGCGCTTCTGACTGAAAATGTTCCGCCAATATTAGTAAACAAACCTCACTTGTCATAAGGACCTTTGAGCCCTCGTGATGCCTTAGTCGTCCAGTAGACGCATCGGACCAGTTTCCGAAGTAAGGCAAGAAAGCGCGGTGAAACGCTACGAAAAACGCGAATACAACGCATCCGCCAAGGCGCGGAGGGGAGAGCGGAGCAACAAGTTGAAGCAACCTAATGGCTGCCGCGTCACGTGATTCCAAGATGGCAGCGCCCATGCGGAGGAGGATGAAAAGGTCTATAGGGCATTAGAGTGATAAACCATAGAGATCATATACTAAATCTAGAGGAAAAGGTCCGCCATTTTCCCATACATTCTGGCTGCCGCAAGCGGCGGACCATGCAGGCAGACCTTCTGGGTCCCAAACACGGTTACATCATCAGAGCAGTTTCGTGAACTTCAACAATCCACGAACTTACCGGTGGAAAGATACTCGCGTTCTTTTCGAAGGTTTCTTTTTGCATAGCGCGCAGATGTACGGCCTCGCGTTAACGCTAAACTAAACCATATACCCGGCTTCGCTGGTGGGGCGCGGCTGGGCGCGGTTGAGGAATACGAAACTGCGCAACCACCAGATTTCCGAGATTTCGACAGAAGAGAAGTTAATGCAGCGTAATGACTTTATTGCTTTTTATAAGCGTTAGAATAGCTCAGAATTTAGTTTACAACGTTAAATTATCACTGTTTATATTGCTGAGAGTTTTCACTCTTCGTGTTTACCATGGCAACGTTGCTTTCTTTCTCTCGTGTTCTGTCGCTCTCTTTTGCGATCGTTCACTCGGGACCCAGGATGTCGGCGCACGGGATTTGCCACTCCTCCTCACCCACCTTTACCCCCCTGTGATAAACTGGCAGCTGAAAGTGACCCCCAATTGACCGCCGCCATGTTGTACAATTTTGACCACTAGACACGTGACCAGGCCAAATCTATGACGTAACCAGACCAAATCTCTGGCGTCAACGATAAGATGGCAGCGCCCAGTGCGTGTCGGAAGCGTTGTGGGCGTTGATCGGAGTGTGTGGATTTCGTGTGCGGAATTCGGTTTTTCAGGGTTTTGTATGCTCCCCGCGTAGGAATAACGTGAAGTAGGAGGGAATGAGGCTTTTCTTTTTTATTTAATTCAGAGTAAGCCAGATTCGGTCCCGTGCTTCTCGTACGGGCTCGGATCACTACCTCGGACATCGCTCGGTCGTTCGAGTTTAATTAAAATATCCGCAATCGTTAACCACGGGACCTCCTCGATAATCGCTGAGTCGAAGGATACGTCGAACCCATCCGGAACGCGGAGTCTAAAGGTATGTAGGACGTAACCAGAACGCGGAGTTCTAACGGTACGGCGGACGTGCCCGGGCAATTTTCTTAGCTCGACCGTCAAGATTCGCATTTGAAGCAGCGAGTGAAGTGTTGAAATCTCCGAACTGCTCGGTGCTGAGCTAACTACGGACCACTTCACTATGTGATCCGTAGTAACGTGAAAAAGACCGACGGCTGTCACTCCGGGCGGACGGCGGCTCCCGGCCGCCTGCCGGGTGCCTTCTGTGAAGGGGCCACAGTCGTGTAAGCAGTACTGTACCAGCTTCTCTTATAGCTATGTTGTTCTCGAGCAGCTTCCCGATCACTAAACCCCGCAAACGCGTGCCGAAATTTCAAAAGGTGTCTGCCAACCTGGAAAGCCTTGGAACTCCCAGGGAATTTCGGATCATCTGGGAAAGTCAGGGAATCATTCAAAAAGTGGGCTAAATAAGGGAAGACGACTAGTGAAAGCGGCATGGCGGTTGCTCGTCGGCACGGCCATGCTGAATGACATTGCCGAAATGTCATCCTTCGACTCAGAAACTTAAGGAATTTGATCAAAATAGTCAGGGAAAAACTTGAAAAAGTCGGGGAATTTGAAATCAGTAGTTTGTTAGACACAATGTTTGATTTTCTTGGCACTCCACGCGTTTTTACACACGACAGGCACACGCCCGTGTATCACACGGCAGCCAGGCCAAGCGGCTGCCAGCCACTTGTGCAAGGTCGATAAGACGCAAGCGTGGAACGCTTTCGGACTGCTGTAAATACACCAGCGGGAGCGTCCGGCCGCAGTCCGACTGCCCACGCAAGGACACCCGACACAGACTCTGCGTCCTGGGTACGTCTGACGTATCTTTAGATTTTGCATCCTAGGTACGTCAGACCTATCTTTAGACACAGTGCCTGATAATAGTAGTGAATAGGGTCACGTTCAGTGCGCAAGTCACTTTATTACACTCGGAGAGCGGAATTCCATTCCCGTTGCGCAGGTAGTTCCCGAGCTAGGCATGCACTTGAAGACTATGTTTCACTCTTTCATAAAGCAAGCTTTGCGGGACCCCTCCGCCCTTGTGCACCCATTCGCAGGTCGTGTCGCCTTTCCTCACGTAACTCCCGCAGGTTCAGTGAGTTGCCGAGCCACTGCAGCCCTGGCGTCGCTCGGTACATACAAGAGGCGGCTCACGTCGGTCGTCCAGCAGCGTACTGGAGGGACGCAAAGCTAGCAGCCTCCTTGGTGCGCGCAAGACGAGGCTGAGCAGAGCTCCAAGCTCTTCTGATGCACATGTGCACTCCAATGAGACCGGTGTCGCACCCCGATTCCTAGAGATGTGGTCGCACTGGCAGTCTTGTCGGTCCCTGGGGGCCGTCGAGGAGTGCCAGAAAGCAAAATTCCATCCTTCTTGCGCAGGTAGTTCCCCAGCTAGTCACTTCCTTGACGACGTCGCACCCTCTCTGGAAGCAAGCTTCGGGATGCTCTTGTGCACCCATTTGCAGGTCGTGTCGCCTTTGCTCACGTAACTCCCGCAGGTCCAGCGAGTTGCCGAGCCGCTGTAGCCCCGGCGTCGCTGGTCGTGCATCCTGGTCCTGGTCGTGCATCAACCACCGCTGCCCATTTCCGCTGAGTGCTTGGGTGTGGTAGCTTGACGTGCTTTCGCAGAAAGCTGTATGCCTTTGCCAAGTAAAAATGGAGCGTGAGGGCAAACTTGCGCACATCCTCTGTACATGCGTTTTTGTTGCGCCTGACTCTTTTTAAGACGAGGTTGCGCATTGTGTTGGTGAATGCATTGTCAAGTATGTCAACTGCTGGCTTAGGAAGTCGTGTCCTCAGTTCACGGAGCAGCGTGTTCAGCTTCCTAATCCTGGCCGTCTTCCGATTGATCTTCTTCTTTGCCTGTTTCAACAGTTTCCTCGCCTTCTGCAGCTTTTGCCTACTCGTGGCCAGGACCCTGTGCAGTCGTGGTGACACAGCTGCGTACGAGTGGTCACCGAAGGAAGTGTTGCGTCGCTTGAACACAGCTTCAGGGGGAGTCTCTGACGTCGTAGCCTGAGAGGGGGAAGTAACCAGCTTTACATTGCTTCCAGAACCAGCAGCAGCTTGGGCCTCTCCTGGGGTTGGCTGATCAGTCGTCGATCCAGGCTGCCTCTCTGGAGGGTGAGACCTGTCAGCAGAACAACGAGCGGTGACATTCAAGACTGCCTGTATTCCACAAGACTGTGTGCCAGGGCATGCATTCTTGGCAGGTTATACTGTGCAGTGTGATATGTGACCACACCTTTTATGCGTTGGCCAGAACTGGCACTGACCTACAAAAAGGGGGTGCTGGGAGTTCTGGCTTATGAATAGGGTTCCATGTTTTGGGTGTTTTTTAATTTGTGAGTATTACCTGGCTCAGTGAGCAAAAGAAGAGCCGTGATCAAAGGGTGCAGCAAAAAGCTGTAACCAAAAGTTGTGTCCAAATGCCGTGACCAATGCGACGCAATCTAAGGAAAAAGAAAATAAGAGAAAACAAACAGCTGTGCTCACGTTATCATTTTCGTCATGTGACTTAATTATTAATCACGTGATCGAACAAAAAATAAACCTAGAAATAAATTATCTCTTGCCCGGTTTCGAACCTAGGCTCTCATGATCGCAAAACTAGTGTGCTATTCATTGGGTCAACCTTGCTCATTGACGTCAATATAACTCGGCCAAAGGTAATGCTCACGCATTCTCACATCATGAAAGAAAGCTGAGGTGCTCTCGTAGTTTTATTTTTTTTAAAATGGGGGTGATTTTTTGGTGCTTAATTGTTCTCTCGAATTTTGAGCTTATCGGTGTCTTTTTTTGATATCGACTAAAACTCGGAGTGTCACGGTACTTATGTGGTAAAAGCAAATGCATATCTGTGGCGTTTCTAGGAGACACAACATGATATGCACTACTCATTGCTAAATGGAGCACATAAAAACAATTTCCAAAGAAAAAGAGCAGCCTCGCAGACAGTTCAGTGCGGTCGGTGTTGTGGTTCAACAAAAGTACAGACGTTTATCAAGGTTCCCTGCCGTGTAAAGTGCAATTTCTCTTCAAAGCAAGCTCAATTCGGGTTCTTTCGGTTTTTGCAGATTTCAAGAAAAATTGTTTGGAGGTCATATTTTTATGTATAACAGTATATACTGAAAACACGTAACCCACTTATGATTGAATGATTGTAAAAAGCATACAGCATGCCATGGAATTATTATAATGGTGGTGGTTGAAAGTGTTGCAAAGAACCTGAATGTTTTACTCGAACCTATCAACTTGATCCCAAAGATGCCACTTTTCTAGTGATTCGTTGACCACCACTTTCAGATACAAGAGACACACCTTTGCAAGTTGTGCAACTAGTCGCCCGAAGTACCTGAAAACTGGAGCTTGTTGCTTCCCCCTCTCAGGCTACGACGTCAGAGACTCCCCCTGAAGCTGTGTTCAAGCGACGCAACACTTCCTTCGGTGACCACTCGTACGCAGCTGTGTCACCACGACTGCACAGGGTCCTGGCCACGAGTAGGCAAAAGCTGCACAAGGCGAGGAAACTGTTGAAACAGGCAAAGAAGAAGATCAATCGGAAGACGAGGATTAGGAAGCTGAACACGCTGCTCCGTGAACTGAGGAAACAACTTCCTAAGCCAGCAGTTGACATACTTGACAATGCATTCACCAACACAATGCGCAACCTCGTTTAAAAAGAGTCAGGCGCAACAAAAACGCATGTACAGAAGATGTGCGCAAGTTTGCCCTCACGCTCCATTTTTACTCGGCAAAGGCATACAGCTTTCTGCGAAAGCACGTCAAGCTACCACACCCAAGCACTCAGCGGAAATGGGCAGCGGTGGTTGATGCACGACCAGGACCAGGATGCACGACCAGCGACGCCGGGGCTACAGCGGCTCGGCAACTCGCTGGACCTGCGGGAGTTACGTGAGCAAAGGCGACACGACCTGCAAATGGGTGCACAAGAGCATCCCGAAGCTTGCTTCCAGAGAGGGTGCGACGTCGTCAAGGAAGTGACTAGCTGGGGAACTACCTGCGCAAGAAGGATGGAATTTTGCTTTCTGGCACTCCTCGACGGCCCCCAGGGACCAACAAGACTGCCAGTGCGACCACATCTCTAGGAATCGGGGTGCGACACCGGTCTCATTGGAGTGCACATGTGCGTCAGAAGAGCTTGGAGCTCTGCTCAGCCTCGTCTTGCGTGCACCAAGGAGGCTGCTAGCTTTGCGTCCCTCCAGTACGCTGCTGGACGACCGACGTGAGCCGCCTCTTGTATGTACCGAGCGACGCCAGGGCTGCAGTGGCTCGGCAACTCACTGAACCTGCGGGAGTTACGTGAGGAAAGGCGACACGACCTGCGAATGGGTGCACAAGGGCGGAGGGGTCCCGCAAAGCTTGCTTTATGAAAGAGTGAAACATAGTCTTCAAGTGCATGCCTAGCTCGGGAACTACCTGCGCAACGGGAATGGAATTCCGCTCTCCGAGTGTAATAAAGTGATTTGCGCACTGAACGTGACCCTATTCACTACTATTATCAGGCACTGTGTCTAAAGATAGGTCTGACGTACCTAGGATGCAAAATCTAAAGATACGTCAGACGTACCCAGGACGCAGAGTCTGTGTCGGGTGTCCTTGCGTGGGCAGTCGGACTGCGGCCGGACGCTCCCGCTGGTGTATTTACAGCAGTCCGAAAGCGTTCCACGCTTGCGTCTTATCGACCTTGCACAAGTGGCTGGCAGCCGCTTGGCCTGGCTGCCGTGTGATACACGGGCGTGTGCCTGTCGTGTGTAAAAACGCGTGGAGTGCCAAGAAAATCAAACATTGTGTCTAACAAACTACTGATTTCAAATTCCCCTACTTTTTCAAGTTTTTCCCTGACTATTTTGATCAAATTCCTTGAGTTTTTGAGTCGAAGGATGACATTTCGGCAATGTCATTCAGCATGGCCGTGCCGACGAGCAACCGCCATGCCGCTTTCACTAGTCGTCTTCCGTTATTTAGCCCACTTTTTGAATGATTCCCTGACTTTCCCAGATGATCCGAAATTCCCTGGGAGTTCAAGGCTTTCCAGGTTGGCAGACACCTTTTGAAATTTCGGCACGCGTTTGCGGGGTTTAGTGATCGGGAAGCTGCTCGAGAACAACATAGCTATAAGAGAAGCTGGTACAGTACTGCTTACACGACTGTGGCCCCTTCACAGAAGGCACCCGGCAGGCGGCCGGGAGCCGCCGTCCGCCCGGAGTGACCGCCGTCGGTCTTTTTCACGTCACTACGGATCACATAGTGAAGTGGTCCGTAGTTAGCTCAGCACCGAGCCGTTCGGAGATTTCAACACTTCACTCGCTGCTTCAAATGCGAATCTTGACGGTCGAGCTAAGAAAATTGCCCGGGCACGTCCGCCGTACCGTTAGAACTCCACGTTCTGGTTACGTCCTACATACCTTTAGACTCCGCGTTCCGGATGGGTTCGACGTATCGTTCGACTCAGCGATTATCGAGGAGGTCCCGTGGTTAACGATTGCGGATATTTTAATTAAACTCGAACGACCGAGCGATGTCCGAGGTAGTGATCCGAGCCCGTACGAGAAGCACGGGACCGAATCTGGCTTACTCTGAATTAAATAAAAAAGAAAAGCCTCATTCCCTCCTACTTCACCTTCTTCCTACGCGGGAGAGCACACAAAACCCTCAAAAACCGAATTCCGCTCACGAAATCCACACACTCCGATCAACGCCCACAACCACAACGCCCACAACGCTTCCGACACGCACTGGGCGCTGCCATCTTTTCGTTGACGCCAGAGATTTGGTCTGGTTACGTCATAGATTTGGCCTGGTCACGTGTCTAGTGGTCAAAATTGTACAACATGGCGGCGGCCAATCGGGGGTCACTTTTGCCTGATGAACGGTATACTAGTTTATCACTCTAAGGCCCTCTACCTCGTTGGACGTCAGTCACTTGTTTTCTTTCGTGAACGTTATTTTTTTTAACACTCCTCCTATTTAAAGTGCAATAAACGAACGCACGCAGAGCTACGCTTCGCGATTGGCACGCTACTCGACCACCGGCAGCCATAAACTCGTTCCACTTTTTGCGATATTTTTTCGCGGGGCGAGCCCGCTTTTTTTTTAGGCGGAAATAGGAAATTTTTAGACATCCCGGTCCCCCACCTTTAAAAGGGCAGCTTAAACTGAGCGGGCCAAGCCCATACAGTCGAAGAGCGAAATGGCAGAAGGCTAAAGGAAGATGTCGGTACGCGCGCTCCCAACATCACGATCAGTGTCCGCGATCGAAACTTTGGCGCCTTTGCAATGCGACCGCTAGCGCGGCTGGCAGCCCGACAATTTTCTCGCCTTCCTAGCCGTTTCGATTATGCTCATCGAGCTGCGAGTGTGTGACAGGCGGAAATGATTCAGCAGGAAAGATACGCCACGACTAATCGGCACGGGTACTCCGTGCGATTCTCCCCCTTCAACCCGACGACGCTCGCGTGCGCGACAGCGCAGAACTACGGCATACAAGGTACGCGCTTGTTTTTGTTATTCCACACGGCTCTTCTAAATTAAGATATAGTTATATTGGGGTGATTTTTTTTTGTTTGTTTTCGTCTCTAGGTCGGGGCACTTTATTCATTCTTGACTACGTACCGGGAACACCAATCCGACTTGTCAAAGCGTTCGAGTGGCCGTACGGACTGTACGATGTCACTTGGAGCGAACTTGAGGAGGACGTCGTCATCGGGGCTGGCGCCGATGGGAACATCATTATCATCGCTCTCAATCGCGCAAATGTAATGAGAATCAAACGCCAACTTGTCGTGGAGTACGTTCCCCTGTGCCTAGCCGCTAGGAAAGTAACATCTTGCTCGGTTGTTGTTGTTCCAGGTGCCACGATTGATCCTCAAAGGGCACACGAAAGAGGTAAAGAACAGCGCCCGGCCAGCTTCGACGTTTGGTGGAGACATTTGGGACATTTTTAGTAAACAGTTCGAGGGAAGGAGAGAAAAATTCGCCCCCTCTCCTGCTTGTTGACACACCAGCTCTTCATTTATTGTACCAACGAAGAGAAAGTTAATATGCTCTGCTGGTTCCTACAAAACAAAAGAAATCCCAACTAGCCAAGTTTATTACTACGTCTCCACTAGAAGCTTATTTTGACTTAAAAAATATTAAAATTATCAAATTTGGTTTCGATTGAGTTTCAGTGAATCGCTGATAAAGTATTGTTAAAGCAATGAAGGACATTTTTGAATAGCCCTATGCGAAATGTCGATCAGTGAAAAGAGAGACCAACAAAACATATCTGTTTCCTTCCCTTGGAAAACGCTCGTCAGTCTGGGTTTTCATGCACAAAATGCAAAAGTGTGCCGTCCACTAAACCGTGGATCCTGTACTTTCAGGTGTATTCCGTAGACTGGAGTCAGACTCGCCAAGAGCAGCTGCTGCTCTCTGGATCGTGGGACCATCTTGTTAAAGTTGTAAGTGTGCCAGCAGTGTGCATGACCTCTTGCGCAAGCGCACCTGGGATTGTTCCGTGCATGTTTGCAATGCTCGACGCAGTGGGATCCCCAAGCAGGCAACCTCCTGTCGACTTTCACGGGTCACACCAGCAAGGTCTACTCGGTTGCCTGGTCTCCCCGTATCCCGGGCCTGTTTGCGTCTGTGTCAGGTACACGCTGTCAGAGCTCTCTGGCTTTTTTTTCTTTGATGCTCATGTACTTACGATGTGCTGCTTGCTCGGTGCCTTCTCGCTGCTTCAGTAGGAAGTTTTGCTCTGCAGATCAGCAGACCAAAAAGCTCATTTAATAAAAAAAAAAAATAAAACAGTTATGGTTGACGGAATAGTTTTGAATGGGTTATGCTTACAGTTTCCAGGAACTTCCAGCAACCACCAGCTACCATTTCTGGTTTTTAACCCTTTATTTTATAAGTAGGGGATCCGATTTTCAATCTTTCCACTACCTTAATTTATTTTCTCTCTCTCTCCGAAACACTCCAATATTCAACATAAGTAAAAAGACAAAATTTTGTAGAAAAATCGATGGTCCTGAGGAGATCACTTTTCTAGCTTCCAACAATTTATTGTCAGCATCCATACGGCACAAAAGGCCATGCCGTATTACTTGGTCACAACAGAAGCTAATCTAAGTGCCCATGCCATTGTGCTAATCACCGTTCCAATTTCAAGGGTTCTATGTCATTTGGGCATCCTTCTGAGAAAAGACAAGATTTTTCTAAAGTGTGAGTACCGTATCCTCCAGGTCACTTGTATATATGACTCACAATTAAAATATATTTCTCAGATTTCATTTCTTCTAATTAAAGCATTTACAGAACTGGGAATATAACAAATATGTGAAATTTTTGAAAATTGGAAATTGAAGCTGGCCACTCGCGAGCAATCGGCTCCCACATAGACGAGCGGGCTCGTCCATATGGGAGCCCATCGCTCGTGAGTGGCTGACAAGTGCCGTCCTCCATTCGACCATAATCAACAAGGTTCGGTAGCATCATCTGTCGTTCTGCACCAACGGTAAATGTCGGGATTTTTTATCACTAATTTTGATATGCAAATTGGCCGCTCGAGTGCCATTTCAGGTTTTTTAGGATGCTTAAAGCTCGTAGGTTCAGCTATGACCATAAAACGAGGATCTCAAAAAGCATTTTAGTGCTCCTTTAGGTGCTGCAACTTGATTTGCTGAGGTGCGTGCTTTCTCCGATGAGCGGTTCTCAAGACATTGCCACGTGAATTCCTTTTCTTTTTTTTTGTAGGTGATGGCTCGCTCTGCTTGTGGAACCTGCAGCAGCCTGCTCCCTTGGCTGCCATTCCGGCGCATGGATGCGAAGTGCTGAGCTGCGATTGGTCAAAATACGAACAGGTACCCAATCCAGGTATGTTTGCCATCGTATAAGCATTTTATTCATTGCTTCGCAGCACGTGCTCGCCACTGGAGCTATTGACAGCCTTATCAGAGGATGGGACTTGCGCAATGCCAGCCGCCCGCTGTTCGAGCTCGGAGGACATAGCTATGCAGTCAGAAAAGTGAAGGTAAGTCTGCACTCTTACCAAGCTGCTCGGTCGTACCCTGCATCTTTGTCCTAAGGGGCGCGGTAGTTCCTCCAGTGTGGGGCAACTACATAACAGAGGGATTCACAAATATGGGTTCTCTCCAACTATGAATTTGCCTGCAGATTGCAAAAAACTCTTACAGAACCCATAGGGTCCATGTTAAATTTGTCCTATTGTGCCAGCTTTATCCTTTATATTTTGTTTGGCATATCTATTCCAAGGATCTAATTTTGTGCAGTGCTGTAATATAGAACCTACTTTTTTTAAAACATTCTTCAGGAGACTTTTGTAATATGAATCGCCCTAGTTTCGGGAGAGCTTAGCGGCAAGGTGACTAGGCACCTAAGCTTGGAGCTGTGGTCTCACTAATATTTTCTTCCAGTTTTCGCCGCACTGCGAGTCCACCCTGGCTTCTGCATCCTACGATTTTTCGACACGGTAAGTGGTCAAAGGTTTTTTGAGCACTGGTATGACAGCCAGTAACATAATCTCTTGCATAAAACCCACCCTTGATTGAAGGCTCTTTCACCTCAAACAAAAGTTTAAAATTTTTAAAATGTAACACAGAAATATGGCCTATTGTTCAATGTCCCTAGTCTTATAATGAGAGCATGTCCCTCATTATAATGCATTGCGTGGTAGCAGTAATCTTATTTTAGTGTTCTAGACTTTGTTATCAGTCAATATGCCCAGGAAGTTGCAGGTTCTGGGGTTCTTAAAGATTGATAAGCCAGTGTTATAGAATAAAAAAATAAAAAAAAAGTAGAAAGTGTCTTATTGAAGCATTCCAAGAATGCAAGCAAAACCTTACATTAGCATTGATCTTGCTAAAAACAAATGTAAGAGCAAGGCTGGTAGCTTTCCATCAGCTAAATTCAATTTGTTTGTTCATTGGGATGGGTCTGTCATTTGACAGTGATCGCAGTTGTTCTTGTGGCAACTTTGGAGATGAAAGTAACCCAAGTTATTATGTTTGTTTTTCAAGTGAATGTTTTTGCTGCAGTTTATAATAGTTAATGCCCAATACAAGCAATTTCGTCATGTAAAAAATTTTCCTAACCCATTGCCCCATGTGAGGGATGGCCTATCTTTCTTGGGACATTACAGAAACAGGACATCTGCTACTTTTGATGGAACTTCAGCATTTGAGCTTCGATCATGCTACTCAACTTACTCTTGTCGAAGCCAGAGAGTCCAAGAGGTTGTTTTGTCAAGGCAGTTTGGAACCACGGGCTTTTAATAGAGACATTGTGTCATTTTTTTACGTTTCACCGCCGTATACATTTGAACAGTTCCTCATGGTTGATGGTAATAGTCCACACTTGTTGAACTCAAAAATTAACCTTTTGGAGAGCAACAGACCACCAGCTGACATTTCAACAAGATTACTTTGCTCCTTCAGGGCCCCATTCAGGGTGCTGCAGCCTCATAGATTCTATTAGCAATTCATCTGTGACCCTCCTTAGCAAAGTGGTTTCTAGCAATTCGAGCGCTGAGGGCTTTTAGGGGCGAAGCTCCTTAGGGTCTAGCCTTGTCCGGCGTCCGTGCTCACATCGATTGCCATCCCATCTGTCTTCTTAAAAAAAGAAAAAATGTTTTGCGCAGTCGACAGGACCCGAACCTAAGCGGGGAGACGCCAATTGATTTCTAGTCCATCGCCTTAACCACTTGGCCACGACTGCGGGACGAGTAGGGGGCTCTGAGATGTGGTAGTAACTCAAGAGCTGGGGATGTCATGGATGAAACGTTGCATGTAGCTGCTCCACGTCTGTACAGGAGAGGGCGCTGCGGTCAAATGCGTAAATAATCGTGTTAAACTTTACATGCATTGGCTCAACGTTTATAGACAAGAGGGCGCTGCGGTCAAATGCTCAAATGCGTATATAACCACGTTCCATACCACACATTCTCTTTCTGACATGGACCGTTAACTTAAGTGGTGGAGATGCATTCCCACGGCTTCTAACGGATCCAAGCTGATCAGCTTGAAGAACCACTGGCTCTGCATTTCACCGACCATAAAGCAGTAATAATGAAGTCGAAACGCAAGCCGGAACTCAGCACTACCTATGAGCAATAAAAATTTTATAAAAGATCAGCACCATCAGCACTACCTATGAACAAAATCAGTATCATCAGCACCACCACTGCTTCGCCCCAGTCAACATCATTCACCACGTGGAGATGCGATCATTTTTTTTCTTGTAGTTTTTTCCTACTAGCATGCTTTGTTTAGCTGCTAATCTAGTTCTTCAAGAGACAGAATACTAACCAGTATATAGATAGGCAGTGCAATCCACGTATATAATGATGTACCGCTTATAATGATCAGTTTCTAAGGGACCATGCGTTTTTGTTCTTGGGGTATCTAGTCCAGATGCAACGATAATCAATTGTAACGATTGCATTTTCGAATTTTCTCTATACTGTTGAGACCGGTTATAACGAAGTCGGTTATAACGAAATAGCAGCTACAGGGAAGTTATTACGATTTCCCATTCCCTTTTGCACTTCGTTAATGAAGTCGGTTATAACGAAATAGCGGATATAGCAAAGTGATTTCCGATTCCCATTGACTTCGTTATAACTAGGGTTCTGCGTTTTCGGTTTCTATTTTTTCAAATTTCGGCATACTTTTTTCGGTGTTTATTTTAAAATACAATTTTTTTTTTTTTCGACTTTTTTCAGTGAATATAAAATAAACACCAACGAACACCGGGTCAGATGATCCTTGTAGCTCTGAGATTTGTGATCACTCAAAGAATAACGGTACAGATAAAATGAAAAAGAAATGGTCCCTTTATTTGGCCAATGTGTGCTACTGTAAAAGAAACAAGAAAAAACACAGGAGTACATATAAGTCGGATATGAAGCCTATGCCAAAAATCATGGAACTTCACCTTCTGTACATCAAGATTATGTGATCTTATTATACTACACACGCGTGTACTTTCCCAGGTACTCCCCGTTGATGCGCACTCTTTCTTTCTTGTCAACACGACCCCGAGCTTCGAGAATGCCCTCTCAACGCTAACACTGGACATTGGCAGGCTGAAGGAGATGAAGCGCTGCCTTAGCCAAAATCGGCCAATCAACCAGTTGTGACCGCCAAAAGAGACACGGTGCGACGTTATGAAACAACATAACATGCAGAGCTTGCTTCAAGTCGTGTTCCTTACAACGAGTTTTAAAACACGCTCATACATGGCGAAGTCATGGGGCATTTCATACTTCACGTTCCGATCAATGATGTGCACATTAAACCAAAACGTCGTGATGGCACCCTTGTATCCCATACATTCATACACGTTTCGATAGGCACTGTCGTTCCACTTTTTCGCCATGGCTCTGCGGTACGACTGGAAGGTCAAAGTGACCTTTGCCGAATAAAACCGAATTTTAGAAAATTGATTCGACATATTTTTTATCGGTGTAAATCGAAGATGCCAAACCTAAAACTGACCTTTTTCGGTTAAAACCGAATTTTTGAAAATGAATTCGGTGTACTGTTATCGGTTTTATCGGTTTAAACCGAAAACTCCGAACCCGAGTTATAACTGGTCTTTACAGTATCATTATAAGTGGATTGCACTGTAGTCACTTCGAACTCCCAGCCAGACTGCATAAAAATTTATACTACATGCCTTATCATTGGAGTGATAGAAAGACTTGTATGCCCAAAATGTCCTTGCTACTAGAAGAGTTATGCTGTCTGCATGTTTCAAGATGATTCCAGGAGTAAACACAGAGCAAGACAGCACATTCCTGTATTTTTAATGTGAAACATTCTCTGGCTAGGTGTTCAGCATTTCCTGAAGCCAAAAATGAAGCCTGGATGAAAGCATGGCCGCGAGGCTCTGATTGGTTGATAGGTGAGAGAGGAGGAGTGAGGTGCTCGATGCTGATTGGTTAACGGGGAGGTCATGTGGTCAGGAGGGAGGACTTGTACGCCCAAACAGGAGGGAGGAGACAATGTGGGAGAGGATGAGTAGGTTACAAGGTTCTGGAAGATCTCCAGGTTTATAATTTCAAGTCTGCTTATGCCATGCATTAAATCATCTGATAGAGCACCGTGAACGTAGGCGTCTCGCTGAACAGGCTAGATGTGCTGCTAAACAGCAATATAGACGTTTGTAATGCTAGAACGTTTAACGTAGGCAACACAATTGCTTAGCAATTTGCCATATCTTTTTTTAAGGGTCTGGGACTGGAAGAAATCTAACGAAGCTCTGCTCATACTAAAAAACCACAAGGAGTTCACCTACGGTCTAGACTTCAACCTTCATGTACCCGACCAGGTAGGTTTCACATTACTATGCCTACATCTTGGCCTCCGCAAGTGTCTATTGTACACAGTGCATTTCTGCATGCTATACCAGCATCACGGGCTGTCCACACTTGAGGTAAATGTAGGAAAGGATAACTTCAATGCTATAGGGGCACTTGGGGTTTCTCAATAGTGGGAAGACTGCCAGTGCCGATAATTAAGTGGTCATTTGTAGAAGCTGTGTGTACCTATTTCTACAGAAAGGCTGGGGGTGTTTTAAACAACATCATTAGGGAACGTAGGTATTTCTGAAGGATCTTTGTGCATTTACAAGGTGGTGCAATATAAAAGAACTAAGTGTGCACCCCATAAATAACTGCCCATTAAGTCCCATAGTTGGAATTGTCATGACTGCTACAGTAGGTGACAGGCTAAAAGTTCAGGGGAAGTCCCTCCCACCTCTTCCCACTTTAGCAGGGTGAATGCTAGAGAGGAGGAGACCCCTTCTCTAGCATTCACCCTGCTAAAGTGGGAAGAGCTGGGAGGAGTTTCCACTTTACCCTTAACCTGTCACAGACTGTAGTAATTGTGTGGAAGCTTGCAACATTCAGCACAAGAGCTTTCTTTATAGTCAGTGACAGGCTAAGAATTCAGTAGAAGCTCCACCTCCAGCACATGTTTGTTGCCTTCTGCTGGTCTTGGACTCTGCATGAGAGGCAGTGCTATTAAAGGCAGGACTCTCGCGCTGGAAGCAGAGCACCCCCATAATTCTTAACTCGTCGCTGACCACAGTTTGTGCAAAGTGGTAGACAAGGCTGGGTCATGCCTGGGTTCGAGCAACAGAGGCCTCAGAAGCAGCTTGCACTTTCAGATTGCCGACTGCAGTTGGGATCAGACGCTCTGCATTTCGCAACTGCCCGAGAGCTACCGGCCCACGTAGGCATCCCAGCATACTCGCCCCTTAACATGTTTGTGTACAGACCAAAATAAAAGTGACCATTGTGACAAACCTCACATTCCAAGAATGTATTCATGGGTTAGTCGCAGTATGACTGTCGTTGAATGAGACAATATAAAGAGTATGGAGACATGGAAAAAATAATCCCAATATGACAAAAAAATAAGATTGTAGCAAAGTGGTTCTTTTGTGGGAACTCCATTTGTCAATATAAGTGGCTATTAAATGAAGTAAAGCGTACGAGAGATCTCTCCTTTGAAACAAAACGGCAACTAGCGGTTTTGAGGGGAAAAAAGGATTGAGATATGTCTATAGAACAATGGGCGATGAAGGCATCATCCCTCGTAGCTGGAAGAGCCGCTGATGAGGCAGGCCCTTTCTTCTTCCATGCTTGTGTAAGCAGGTCTGCAACAGGAAAGGCTGCTCTGCTACAAGTTTCAAGGAGCTCCACTCTTTAGTAAGCCGACAACACAAAAGACAGCTTCGTACGGAAACCAGACAGTTCATGTAGCACTATTTATTTTGATGGCATAGATTAGCAGGTATTTAGGGTAGGATGTTTTAAGTTTGGTGTCAAAGTAAGACAAAATGATCATGGACAGTGGTGTAGCTAGGCTATCCGGCACCCGGTGCCCTTAAAGCCCCTTTATACACAAAAGTAGCGACATCCCTTGAAGATGAAGGTGCAGCAGGGCCCTGCAAAGCGCCTTCATCTGACTTTGTACTGACATCGCAGTTAATATGGAGGGGATATATGAGAAGCAACACAAACAAAATTGCCTGCGATTTTACTTATGTCGCTTCTCGGTCAGCGAATATGGATGGGGAAGGGGGTGGGGGGGCGTTCTACAGCAATTTTTAGAACCCTTGAACTAAGTATTAATTGTGTTGTGAGCATGTTTAGACAGCCGGAAGTTAGTCAGCCTCAATGAGTGCCTGGTGTCTCAGCTGCAGATGTGAAATTGTGCCATTGCAGTACCACTTCTAGCCTGAGATCTTAACATGCATCGTGCAGTAGTGATACAAGACTGCATGCCAGCATGACACTCATCCAGATCAAAACGGGCGGGGGTGGTGATTGAACCCAGGATCCCCAGGTTCTCAATGTGAGCCTTCACTACACTCGCTCCAAGCTGATATGTGTTAACACACTGACACCAATCCCCCCCATCTATTTACTGTGATTGCCACTAATTCAATTCAGTGCTACATAACCCCTACAGTAAGCTGAAGTCAGAAAGAAGGGTACTCACGTTCCAAGGCTCTCCGCTTCCTCTATTGTTTGTGGCAACCTCTGGCCCCTTGTCTCTGGTAGTGTGAGGGTGAGGACGCCAGCCAGCAGAGACATGCTCCCAAAGACAATCATGGGCATGATGGGGTGCAGCCTTCCCTGCGTGCCAAGGAATCGCAGAGAACAATCAACTTGCAAACCAAGTCTCGACTTTTGGCTCCCCTTCGTCCGTCTTCAGGTTGTCCTCGCACCACGTGCCAAACTTTCCCGATTTCATGCTCCTGTCCTTCCCCGCATGCAGATGAAGACCTTTCCGTCCATCTTCCTTTTCGCTATGCATTCTTGGAACCATACTTTTCTGTGCTCTCATGGCCCAGTATCGTAGGGACAGTGTACCAGCCATAGGGAACGCTACGGAAGTCTCCTAGTTCCTGCCGACTTTGTTGCAGGCGATGCTGGCTGTCTTCACAGGTGTCCAAACAATGTGAAATTTATTCGTAGGCAAACGAGACGAACAGTTTTGCAGGTGTTCTCACTGCCATACAAATGTTGAGTAGGCTCTGTCAACTTCCAGCTGCACTCGTGATAATTTCGGGAAGTTGTGCACCTCTATGTGTGATGCTCAATTTCTGCCTTTGCACAACCAACTTCATTGCCTAAAGTCAACAATAAGATACGATAACTGTTGAAAAGTGTTACACATAGCCTTTACTTTTGTCTACATATGCACTCCGATAAAGAACTTCCCATTTTGCTAAACATGCTCGCTGAAGATGTGGCAAAGACAGCGGGCATTGTCCCTTTACTATTGCTGTGAGAGTGGGTGTTGCTGTGCAGAGCATCGGAAACGCTATTCCGCCGTCACATTGCCAATTTAGGAGAAGGCTGGCAGCCTTCCATGTTAGCAATTGTAATGAAAGCTAGCATCCATAGAAAGACCAACAAATGCTTAAACTGAAACTTACGAGGTCTGATGCTACAAATGGTGCTGCAATTGTGCCCAGACGTGCACTCATGCTCCCAATGCCGATGCCAGTGTTGCGGTGCGATGTTGGAAACACTTCGGCAGAGTAGAGATAGATGACCGCAAACGAAGCAGTGATGCTGCATTTTCCTATAATCACCAAGGTCGTGGTCAGCCACTGTATATCTATAGAATGAAAAAGTATTCATAATCAACTGCCATGCACTGACAATATCAGCCTGGAGCCTATCTTTTATACACATTTTTTGGATGTATGTATTTCCTTGATTCCAAGGAGTGTTTATCAACAAGTGTGGCATGTCTTCCTTCCTTTATATCGTGCGAAAAGTCAATCACTGCAATAAATGTTAGAAACCTAATGAATTATGAAGTCAAGAACAAAAATGTGAGCTGCTTTGGATTCCGGGCACACTAAGTACAATGCTCGGTGTTGTGGCACAGATAGGATATTTGCATGGAAACAGTATTGGTGCTGTAAGATCTGTTAGGGTCCCTCTGTAGGTCACAATGATTGACTTTCCGTATGCTCTGGGCAGGTACATAGGTTTGCAGCCGTAAACAGTGCAATTTAGAATTGAGCAAATATGGCACCTTCTACATGCTTTCTCTTTCAAAGGGGCCATGAAATGATAATTGGGCTTGAATGTTTATGTACTCTACAAGTATTCTGACGTAAATGTGACAGAAGTATAATTGCTTGCAATTACACTGAACCTTCATCTCTCTCACAGTGTAACTTGAAGAATAGAAGCGGAATAGTGTACTTCTTTCAGTTCCTCCTGTAAACTTGCCAAGGATTGCAATGCTTATGCCACAGGGTTCACCCCAGTTTGATCATAGACGAATGCAGCTTGTGGATTAGGCATGAGTATTAGTATACCTTGCGAACCCTTTACCTGGGTTCAGCTATGAGCAATGACTTGTCAAGCATTCAGTATGGGGCTGATGTCGTCACAGGAGTAGTGGGAATAGGCAAACTCCAACAATGCCTAGAGCAGCGTGTGCACTGGGAACCCCAGCATGTGGCTACAGCGAGCATTATGGGAAGTAATTGGCACCGGATCATGTGGTCCCTTGTTCTGGCTGCGGGTTGAAGTAAATCCTACTGCTCGTTTTTTCTTAATTCTTTCTGCGACTGCCTGCACACGGAGATAAAAGCTAATGTGTGTTGCATAGGTTATGAACATCAAAAATGCACTCCGAGCAGTATTTAGCAGAAGTAACAAGGTTGTTTTATGGCCCCTTTAATTATGTTTTTTGTTTTATAATTCTGCTGTAGTTCAAATATAACACACAATAAATGCCTCATCACTCAAAATTTAAAAAAAAGAGGAGGGTAGTGTAAAAGTGTGGACTGTTGGAGTGTGGTAGGTGTAGGGTGACTGCCCCCCTTGACCACGGGTAAGAAAGGCGCAGTGTTGCAATCTGGAAAACAAAGTGTGGATGGATGAATGAATGCATACAGCTGGACGTTTGAAACGGGGTGGCAGCTTGCACCACCTAGACAGCGTTTTACCGTGTTTTCCTCCCCCCACTGGTCTATGTGAAACTTGAGGCACTGCAACAGCGTGGACCCAGAGAAACTAGATAAGCTACGCTTAGAGTAGGGGCACCGCCATTTTGGTGCTTGGCGAAGAGTGGGCTCAATTGGCCATCACTGCGACTTAGAAATGCAACTTCCTGTAGATACACTGACAGGAAGCTCGGGCAATATCAGTGTTCTCTGCCAAGGACCATTTTAACATTTCTGGAGGACAGAAAAGCCTGGCCTGTAATTTCAGATAAAGCTTCATATAACCGGCAACAATGATTTTAGGCAGCATGATGGCCGAAGTGCGGTTACTCTGAAGCATGCCTTAATCATTGACTCTGCTTCGAAACAAGCAGCAGTGTTTCTGAGCCAAAGCTCACCGTCGGGAACAATGGGGACGATGGCGCAGAAAATCCCGGCAACAATGAGGTAGAAGGAGAGGACGTAGCGACGGCCAAAAAAGCGCAGTGCCAGCACGGACAGGACGACGCCAGGAAACTCAATGAGTGCCAGGAAGATGAAATTTTTGTAAGTGCTCCCTGCCAAATCTTCAGCGCTGAGACTCAGCCCGTAGTAAACCATCGCATTCACCAGCCTGCACAGGGTATAGAGCAGGTGCTGTTAAAATGGTTGGGCACCGGACATGTTAAGTTTCCTTTTCCCGATTGTTGCATGCAAGAAGTAAAATATATTAGCTGATGCATTGTGCCACTGGAAATCTTTCACGGGCAAATGGGATATAACAGATATCAGTTTCTCTAGGTGCTTTGTTTCGTAATGTATCTGAAAGTGTCACTTTTGTGAGTCACCTTTCCCGTTTTCTCACAAGAATGCTCTTATAACAGTAGTAATTCTGTTATAGTAATATGCGGTATGCATAATAGACAAGCTAAATATTATTGTACCTGCAACACTTTAATAAATCTGCACTCTAGTATTCCAATGAGTCATTCTGAATGCTTCTATAGGAATGTTGCTTTTTGTAGGAAAGAAAATGGGTAAAGCTTTGTGGCATGTGATACAAATGCAAAATTTGCAAAATAAGGTGTCCCCCCCCCCCCCCCCCCCCCCCCCCTTAGCAAGAAAGAGCAGCGACCAAGCAGTCGACTCCTGTTTGTTTTCACACCGTTGAAACGGGGCTGGGTCTGTTGGCGTGCAAAACAAAGTGCGTGCTAGGGTAAGAATCAAGAAAATAAAAATTGCAGCAGGGGGAGTGCTCTTTTATGCTTTTGCCTCCCAGCTATGGGGTTTCCAAACCATCTCCAGAACTTTGAACATGACTGACTAAATTTTTTTTTTCTTCCCCAACAACTTAACATGCCATGACTATGACAAACAACTCGTATATATAAGACCAATGCTATACCCTGTCGCAAGTTAAGAAAAACAGGACCTTCCACAAAGTCCTCTACTCTTTCTACTCTAGTGGAGCAAATGCCAGGGAGCAGGCAAGTCCACTCTTTTCTAGCATTTGCTTTGCTAAAGTGATAACGGTGAAAGGCTTTGCAGGAAGAACCTGTCCTGTCTTTCTTGAACAGAGAATAGTGGAAGTTGGAGCTCATCACAGGATTAGGGTGTGTACTCAACCAGTTGAAGCTCACGTTGAGGGTTCGACAACAAAGGCAAGACGACTTGAACAGGTTGTTCAAAGACGAAGAGGAGCTCTCCTGAGAGATGCGACGGCAAGCCCGGCCGCAGGACTGCTCGCACCCTTCTTTGCAGCCGTGGCTGTACAACTGCAAAGCCGTAAGACATGGGGAAGCTTTACGTATAGCCCAAGCTTCTTGCTTTTCATCCTGCGCCTTGCGCACACCATAAAAGACCGAGTGTGCCGATTCAAAAGTGGTAGCTTATCATGGTTAAATGGGGACAGGCAGGCGTTTCCCCAGGAATTGAAATTAGGGGGGGGGGGGCATCGAGAATAGAGTCGTTGCAAATGAAGGGGGTGCCTTCAGAAAAACAAGGGGGGGAAGTGCACCCCCCCCCCCCCCCCCCCTAGGGGGTGTGTAGGGAAATCGCTGGTGGGCAGGTGCTTGTTAGGTCCGAAAGCAGAAAAGTTGGGGAAGAGAACACGGCATGGTAGGCCCTCGTTTCAGCCAATCATACGGTATAGGATCAGTGTAGGGGTCCAGTGGGATGTCTCGTTTGTAAAGCAGCTGTGCCGCTCGCATCAGGCTTGTTTTGTGCCGGCGTTATTGTGTAGGCACATGTGCATAGATACGGCTCCGCATAGATGCACGTGCGTAAAGCTTCCCTGCTTCGCACCGGTGCACACACGTAAAGCTTCACCGCTTGACACCAGCGCTCGCGCATAAAGCTTTGCGGCATTGCATTGGCTTTTTGGAGATGCATCCTTGGTTAGCTTGGTCAGTACTCAAGTTTGCCGTGGTGAACACTTGAAATGTCCTTGCTTATATTCAAAATGTTTGAAAAGTAGCGGAGCAGGAACTTATTGTGACATGGGCATTTAGTGCAACAAGGGCATAGGCTCAGTGTTTGATGGTAGGGTTGTTCAAGAAAACATGAGGAATGGGTAATTGCAGTACTTACCATGTCTGGTACTGGAGGTTTCCCATTCCATCTGGCCGCCTTATTTATGATATCTAGAGCCTGTGTATGCTTGCTGTTATACAGGCACCATGCAAAGCTCTCTGGAAGGAGCCTGTGAAACAATTGAGTATTAAGATCTTAAGTGCATAGTACTTATTTTAATCTTGACACATCATTGCATGCATTTACTGTGCGGAAAATCTTTCCGATAAGGCCAGGACATCATTGCATCCATTTCCTGTGGAGAAAATCTTCCCAATAAGGCCAGAACACTTATAGTTAAATTTCCTATGCATCAAATGATATAAAAGATGGCATACTGGTTTTATTCAATATGCAAAAAAAACTCGTGTACCAAAGGAGGTATACACATCAACATATTGGAACTGATATCTCGAAAATCTGATACTGGTTTGAATCAATATATTGCAGTATACTTGCATATTCACACCTTGTTCTTGCACGTGCTTTTTTAAGAGTTACCTTGGTTTCTGTAAGCAGGCTGGTGCATTATGAATATATATGTTGTATGAATACAGAAAGAATCTGTGACAGTATGTCTTTTCTATTTGTGGTTTGTAAAAAAAAAACTCAAGTAATGTGCCAAAAGAGTGCCTTGGAGATGATATGAAATGATGGCGGTTAGTTTCTTAACCCTGCATTTTGAGAGAGACATTCAGGATACATATTTGAACTTCCTCTGAATCTGGTTTCATGTGAGATGGAGAGACTTTTGACAATTGTGCACCAGTCTGCAGGCTCGAGATTCACTTTAAAAAGTAAGCTGCATACTTCACAGATTTCAATGACACCAGAAATTAAGCACGTCTTTGTTCTTGTTTACCAACCCGTACCCAGTTCTCTCACGTCTGGGGCCTCTCAATTGTACATTTTGTGAACCACACTAGTGCTTTATTTTAGCAGGTTTCCAAATGCAATGCACTCTAATCCTTGCACTGTAGAGTTGAACTGGTTCACGTCAGCACGCTAGCTTACCAGTAGTAGGGCAGGAGCAGAAAGACTGGAATGGATAGTGCAATCTCCAGAGTCCTCCAGGTGCGTAGGTAGTATGCCGATATGGCAAGGAAGCACTCTCCCAGCGGGAATGCCATCTGGTAAATCAGCATGCTTAAAAGCCGATGGGATGGACCAATCAGTTCAATCGCTTTGAGAGGGGAGAAGCGAGTGTTAAAGCCTGTTAGAACTGGTATGCCTACACGCTTTTTACATACACGGTTAGCATGTACAAGCTGTCGCTTTTCCTGCTTTGATGACGGCAAGTTAAACGCCGTTATCAAAGCTTCTTGTATGGTGGAAAAGCATCATCCAAAGCATCAACCTACAGTCAGTGACAGGCTGAGAATTCAGTAGAAGCCCTGCCTCCAGAATGCGCTGGTTGCTGTCTGCCGGGCTTTGGCTGTGCGTGCGACAAGGTGTTATCAAAGGCAGAAATCTTGCGCTGGAGGCGGAGCAGTTACTGAATAACCTGTCGCCGACTATAGGCAGCAAACGTTTCTGTTCTGCAATACACTGTGATGCTACTGATGCAGTGTAGCAATTGCTTGTGAGGCACGAGTAGTTTGAGAGGGTATTGTTTGCATGCCTCCTTAGCAAAACTCACCCAAGACGAAAGACGTCTGAAACAGGGCGCTTGAGGCGATGGCAGTGATGAAGCGAGCTGACGTGAATGCAGCGTAACTACTGGTGAACACGGTGGCCCATGCGGATATGAGGAAGATGGGAGGAACGACTAGGAAAGAGATTCTTCGGCCGTACCTTGGGGAGAAAAGAAGCGCACAAGTTCATGCAACGAAAGCTGCTTGCACCGGTGAAATCGCTTAGTAGAGACGGGCTTACCGATCTGATATGTGTCCAAACACCACGGCGGAGACCATGACTCCCAACATAAACAGTGACTGGGAAAAGCTGACTAGCCACTCATCCTTGCAAACTACGTTGAACTATGAGGGAAAAAAAGAAGAGGCGTTAAAGGGACACTGACAGGGTATTTATGCTCGCCAAAGTTTTTATTTGTACATGACATATGAGAGCCCAACTACCCAGAACACAATTTGCAGCTCGAAATTCGTTTTCTTTTCGCCCAAGAACCGCTGATCGAGAACTGGCCGGTTGGAGTCGCGCTCACTTTCTTCTCTGTGGTCATGTGCCGCTTTCTATGGTTTAGACACAACCACTAAATATAATCAAAGTCGTGGGTCATCGAAGGCACACACTCAATGTTAAAAAATATACAAAGAATACGATATCCATTTTTTGTGACTTGTAAAATGTTGCAAATACGTTGATTGAAAAAAAAAAAAAAATGCACAGTTACGTGATTTCTGGAAACTTTCTCCTCCTATATTTCTTCTTCCTCCCCAGTTCAGTTTCGGTTTCGAGCAGTTGCGTTTTTCTTTTTTTTACTTTATTAAAAATATGTGTGACGCTGCAGCAAAATATTGATAGGGTAGTCCTCTGGCACCATAATGAATCGCCTGGCAAAAAAATATAAATTTTTTTCCTTGGGGGTGTTAGTGCATATTGATTGCACCATAAAGTCGTTTGATGGAAGAATGCACCATTTCTTTATGTCGGTGACTTTCGAGGGGAGAACGATTATAGAATATATTTGGTATTCTATATTCACAGTCAAATCAAGAACCGTAGTAAAATAAAAAAAGAAGGCCTGCTCCTTGTGGAGCGTTACTAATTCCCCCTTCATGTTGTGCATTAAGATACTTGTGAATGCATTTAAAATCATTTATTTGTTAACCTACACATATTTCAAATGCATTTTTTTTTCTTTTTGGCAATTTTGTAAGGATTATTTGGTGCAGAGCATGAACATGAAAGGTGACGAGTAAAGTTCTCTGCGAGGTTCTGTTCTCTCAGATCTGAGAACCAGTGCCTATTCTAGGGGTGTACGAATAGTATCGGATTATACTCTATTCGATATTCGTTTCGAGATAAACTGCGGTATTCGTACTTTTCAAAGTGCTAATCGCGGCGGGTTAGCCCCGTTGAGTGCGCTTCTCATCGAGCACCTGTGTGCTGCGGGGAAGCAATACCCGCGGAGTTTGCGGGCTTCGCAGGTATTGCTTCTCCGCAGTGCACAGCTGCTCGGCGAGAAGCGCACTCAACAGGTCTAACCCGCCTGTCTTGACAACCCACATGCATCAATGATGAACGTGCACAGGCACGTTCATCACGATGAATTCAAAATCCACTATTCGCACATGACTAGCAAGATCTCAACAAATGGCCATGGAGTACTACGCAAAAATACCTCGGTCACTATCGTCTCTTCAAACTCCGTCGTGGCGTAGATCCATCGATCACACTCTCGCGATATGTTGGAGAAGTCTGCAGCAAGGCAGGTGCTATTGGTCGGGCTGACTCGGGAGTGCTTGAAGCACTGCACATCGCTTGGGGACCCTTCCGGTATCGCAAAACTTGCCCAAGGTTCGTGGAATCTTGTCTTATTGTTGTCACATCCTTCAATGTAACACCTTGGAAGCAAAAATGGTTAAAATTAATTGCCATTCACGACTTCATTAAAGCGAATGTAAAATCATATTGGACTGGAGAAAAATACACTTTGAATCATTCTCATTCTATCTTCAGGATGATCAAAATCACTTTTCAATTTGATGTACTTTCACTTTAATGCATTTTGAAAGCCGTAAAAGCGGCTTTCCAAATACCGCCGAAGCAGGTCCTTCTGAGCATGGTCGGTGCAAAAACAGCTGAGGACTGTGACGTCAGTGTTCAGGGATCGCAGTATCTCCGCGCGTTGTGCAAGTATTTTTTTTTTTCAACAGTCAAAACGCGTTCGGTTTCGTGTTTTGTCCTTGTCGTGGGCTCATCTATTTGCTATCGTGGTTAGTTCGTCTTTGCGCTTGATTTTGCCGTAGTTTACGGGTGTCCAATCGTTCTACGGCTTTGCCCAGCGTTCATGGTGGTAGCTTCACAATGTCGGCCTTCTGCGGCAAGGTGTGCCGGCATTCGAGCACCTTGACGCTTATCGTGCACTCTACATTTCTTCAAAAATTCCACAAACAGTTGTGCGATTTTCCAAAAACTTCAATGGGAAAATGGGGCATGTTCTTTGTAGCTGGCGCCATTAATCTCTGTATTCATGGACTTCACAGGCCACCATAATTTCGCATTAAAAATGTCCGAAATTTGTTTATAACTTTTGAGTAAGGTAATGATCGACAAGCTTTAACACTTTGGCACCTGGCCCGGACCGCTACCGCTATATTTGGCTGGAGAACGAGCGTTCGACGTTGCAAAGTTTATTTTTGTAATAAAAAAACAACACACATTTCTTTTTCTTTTTTTTTTTTTTATTTGGGGGGGGGGGGGGGCTGCATTTTTTTTTAGGCTGTAAAGGCTGGAACACATCTGCGTTTGACTGCGACCGACTTTGCTGGTTTTTAAGCCTCTCGTGACTCCTTACGACCGACAGAGTGACTTCATACGTACACGCACTTTTGCTTGAGTGGTCACATCTCAACCATTTTCCGCCCAATCGTTTTTTTTTGTGTGTGTGTGTGTGTGTGTGTGTGTGTGTGTGTGTGTGTGTGTGTGTGTGTGTGTGTGTGTGTGTGTGTGTGTGTGTGTGTGTGTGTGTGTGTGTGTGTGTGTGTGTGTGTGTGTGTGTGTGTGTGTGTGTGTGTGTGTGTGTGTGTGTGTGTGTGTGTGTGTGTGTGTGTGTGTGTGTGTGTGTGTGTGTGTGTGTGTGTGTGTGTGTGTGTGTGTGTGTGTGTGTGTGTGTGTGTGTGTGTGTGTGTGTGTGTGTGTGTGTGTGTGTGTGTGTGTGTGTGTGTGTGTGTGTGTGTGTGTGTGTGTGTGTGTGTGTGTGTGTGTGTGTGTGTGTGTGTGTGTGTGTGTGTGTGTGTGTGTGTGTGTGTGTGTGTGTGTGTGTGTGTGTGTGTGTGTGTGTGTGTGTGTGTGTGTGTGTGTGTGTGTGTGTGTGTGTGTGTGTGTGTGTGTGTGTGTGTGTGTGTGTGTGTGTGTGTGTGTGTGTGTGTGTGTGTGTGTGTGTGTGTGTGTGTGTGTGTGTGTGTGTGTGTGTGTGTGTGTGTGTGTGTGTGTGTGTCTCTCTCTCTCTCTCTCTCTCTCTCTCTCTCTCTCTCTCTCTTTTGAACTGCGTGCAATCCGGTGGGACTCCGCTGGAGCGTGTAGCCTTGGCTAATGCTTAGACGCCATTTTACCGCACAACTCATGCACTGGGTGCGCGAGCGCGTCGGCCCACTCATTGCAGCAGAGGATGCACGCTGCACAGCTTCGCAGCCGGTGATCATAATTTCAAGTACATTGTGCCTGCCCTTCAAACCGAGGACATGTAACTCGCATATTCGAGTGTGGAATACACGCAGTCGAAAATCAGCACCTTGATTTGCAATGAAAATGTTCATGCCATTGAATGCACGCACTTAATTGAAATAGAAATTGTTTAAACACTGTTTCACTGTCAAGCCTCTTGAAAATTTTCGTTGCTTTTCTAAAACCGACAAAACATCCCCATCATGCAGTCTCGAGCTGGAAAATCTCATACTCTTTAGCAGGGATGGGCAGTATTTTAAATACAAATATTTGAAATACGTATTTCAAATACTTTGTGTATTTTGCATTTGTATTTAATTACAAATTGGGTAATGTATTTGACGTGTGTATTTAAATACTAAAACGGGAGTATTTTAAATAAAATTGTAATTAAATACAATTTGTGGGGGAAAATACATCCCTCAAATTTATTGTCACGGCTCATTTTGCTCATCCTAAGACGTGTCCAGAGCAGGAAAAAAACTACGTTCTGCACCGAATGCAGTGTCTCTCAATCAAGCACAAGCGTTTAGTGACTTTGTGATTACGGTGCTTGTCCAGGGCAAGAATAGTGACGAAATCTACGTTCAAAGGCAGACTGGCTAAATAAGTGCCAGGGACAACTTGTGATGCTTTCCAGCCCGATTTCCATTCATATTTTTGCCTGGAACATTCTAAATGCGCGGGTCGTCCAGATTGTCGTAACTGATGCGAGTTGCAACAATAAAACATTCTCTAGCTAGTGCTGCGCGTCTTGGTTGTCTCGGTTCTTTGTGTGTCTATACCAAAATGTAATCGACAAAAAAAAGCTGCTTGACGCTTTGTACTTTTTTCACCTATTACGTCCAAGCTGATTACATTTTTCTGTGATGATATTTCTATTACGCGGCTAGAGCCTCGCACACTAACTCCCGAGTGTGCGATGCAAAATTAAAATGAGGTACCCAGAAACCCGTTGCAGGTGCCCTGAAGTCGCTGACGCAAATTTTGAGGTATGTATTTGGAAAAGTATTTGGAGGAGACCAAATACATTTGGTTGTATTTGTATCTTGTACTTAAATGCTTTTTTTTTTAATGTAATTAGATGCGTAATTAAATACATTTTGACGAAGTATTTTGTATTTGTATTTCGATACATATTTGAATGTATTTTGCCCATCCCTGCTCTTTAGTAACTAATACAGATAATACCAACCAGAAATACAGTGTCTTCATCTGCTCAAGGGCTCTCTTTCCAAGGAAGAAATATTGACCTCTTACAAAATGTGAAGGTTCTCGGTGTGATATTTAATGAGGACATGAGCTGGGACGCCGAAGTACAATGCATAGCTGGCAGACTTTCAAAAGTTGTGGGCATTATTTATAAATGCCGACATATATTACCCCTTTCGGTCTCAGCCCTTCTTTACAACTCCCTCTTTTACTCTTGCTATAATTACCGCTTCCTTGTTTGGAGTAGCACAACGGCTACAAATATGCATCACTTGCATGTTCTCCAGGACAGAATCATCCGAATTGTGTACAATGCGGAACTCACACATTGCAACATTTCAAAAACCTTGTGTATTGACATAGTTTTAATTACAGGGCATTACACAATTATGAACTGCTAACATATCAAACGTCTGTAAGGCGAAATCAACTTGCTTTTACCAGTCGCCAATATGAAGCGGATGGTGCCTGTTGTGTTGACGCATGGTCAATGCCTCGCTCGAGAACAGGCTACAGCCTCCAGATGCTGCAGTTCTCGTTGCCTAATGTTATAAATGGTATACACATACATTTGGCACAGGTTTGATGAGTTTGAGCAGGAAGGATATTCGCGCTTTGTTTCTCTAGCCTTATTTGTGCCTAGCTTTGATGGGACCTTTGACCTGTAAGAAATGTTCGTAATGTATCTCGGATCTTTTTTGGTCTAATGGCGTGTGTTTTGCTTCTACATAAACTTCGTTGTACGGACCAGTATGTAAAATACGAGGGTGATTCAATAAATAAGGTGAATTTTTTCGCATAAGGACTTCTAATACAGATTTCTTTGTTATTTTTATTGTTTTACTACTCTTCCACATGGATTTAATTTCTTAGGCAGATTACAAAAAAAAAAAAAAAAAAATGAGAATTTTACTAAGTAACAAAGATGGCCGACCAAGAAGCATGCTCCAGGACTGAACAGCGGTCAGTTATCAAGTTTTTGGATGCTGAAGGGTGCAACCCTGTTGAAATTCATAGGAGAATGTCAACTGTGCATGGTGCCACATGTTTCAGCCAAAAAATTGTCTATAAGTGGGCTAAATTGTTTAAAGAAGAACGGAGCAGTGTTGAGAATGAAGACGGGCCTGGGAGGCCTACAGAAGTGAGATCTCCTGAGGTGATCGCATCAGTCAATGACCTTATTCAGTCTGACAGAAGGGTGACAGTGGATGGCATTGCAAGGACTTTGAGCTTATCTGTGGGGACAGCACACAAAATTGTGCACGATGACCTTGGCTACTCGAAGGTCAGCAGCAGGTGGGTGCCGAAGATGCTTACGGCGGAGCACGAACAGAGGAGGGTTGAGTTGTCCCAGCAGTGTCTTTCCCGCTATGAGAAGGACGGTGATGATCTTCTGAAGAAGAAGGCCACATCTGTCGAGACATGCGTTTGGCACCATGAGCCTGAGTCTAAACGACAGTCCATGGAGTGGGAGCACGCAGGCTCTCCAGTGAAGAACGTCAAGTCCCAGCGGTCCACTAGGAAGGTGATGCTCACAATTTTTTGGGATATGCAAGGCCCAATCACCATTTCATTCCTTGAAAAAGGAAGCACTGTGAACAGTGCCAACTACTGTGAACTGCTGAGGCAGGTCAAGAAAGACATGAAGAACAAACGCAGAGGTCATCAGTCAAAAGGAGTCATCTTGCATCATGACAATGCAAGGCCTCACACAGCAGCCCTAACGGTGCAGACCATCAACGAGCTGGGCTGGGAACTGCTCCCTCATCCTCCTTATAGCCCAGACCTTGCCCCTTCAGGCTTTCACCTGTTTGGTCCCTTGAAAGCGTTCACGAGAGGCACGAAGTTTGAAAGTGACGATGAAGTCAAAAGTGTTGTGAGCGACTGGCTGAGACATCAGTCTAAAGATTTCTAAACTGAGGGAATATGGAAGCTTGTGCACAGATGGGAAAAATGTGTGACAGTG